TGCCAAATACCTCTAAGAATGGGGGGTGGAATTGTGGAAGGGCAAATGTAATCTAAACTCACAAATTAAAGTTTCTCAATTATAGACCATAGTCTCAACAGCCATTTGCAACCATAATAAGCTCTAGGCAAGGGCTACCTTTTGCCATCTTTTCACCATTAACATTCATTGATTGTCTACATTAATTTGCATACATTTATTAGACTTCATAACATTTTATTTAATATTGTGAAAATTTCAAACTCCATGTTCATAATTTTCTACAACTATGTCTTTTTGTCTTAAAGAAAAATCATAGTAATTCTATTCTTTTCAGCTCATTTCTTACTGTCACTTAGTTTTGTCAAAATTTATTCTTTTAATAATTACAGCAACATTAATAATAATTATTATCATCATAAATTAAATACAATTAATTTAAAATAATAATAATAATAATAATACAAAATAGATATTTATAATAAATATTTTTTTATTTTGTGGAAAAAGGCCAGACACATGCATACATTAATCAATTTAGCCTTAGAGAAAGTCTTGGTCAAATAGAATTTTCCTTAGAGTCAAACTAGAATTTATGTGAAGTGGCCCTAGGGTGTAGAAGTTATTAAATGTAGCCCCAAGGGTAGATATAGTCAATGTAATTTTAGGCATTGTTTTTTTTGAGCTCTTGGTGGATTGCTCTGCCGTATTAAAATCTTTTCCGCTTATGCTAACACTTACTCTGTTCTACTAAATATACTGCTAAAAAGTTTAAAAGAACAAAGATTTATGATGTGTTTGACAACAATCTTTGGAGTAGGTTTAGTATTTTAGTGATGAATAATAAATTTTAGCTCTTCAACTAGATCAATGTTCATAAGGAGTACTAAATTAAATTTTCTTTAGAATTTTCATTATTTAAAGTGTTCTACTATATCAACAATTAGTTAAATTTCACAACTAGATTAGCAATTACTCGGACTACTAAGTAGTAAGTTATTGGTAGCTGACATCTATTTTTACAACTAACATCTACTTTCACAACTACGGAGTAATATTTATCAATAGTTACCACCAATTACAAAATTGAAAGGGTTATCATCTCTTGTGTTTTTAATATATTTTGTCCAAAATTTTAATTCTAAATTATTTTCTCAATTACAACTAGCTATTGTTTTTAATTAACGCAATTGTAAAAAGTCCGGAGTAGATAGAAACATATGATGATAATTAAAATTATGATTAATGATAAACCGAAAATGTAGTGAAAAATAATTAAGCGTGTTTATATATATATATATATATATATATATATATATATATATATATATATATATATATATATATAGATGTTAATGAACATTATTGACCTAAGCATGAACACAAGTTATTGCATATTTGCATGTGGTAATATGGAAATAAGGTTTTCTTTTTCCCCTTTAAATTAATGCAATTGAATACAGGTTAGAAAAAAATCACAAATGCTTTGATAAATGTCATAAGTACTGTATAATATACCAATAATATGTCATAAATTTTAATGAAAAATGATTTGTTGTTTGTATAAGTTAAACACCAAGTTATAACCTACTCCGTAGTGTGTTAAGGTAATCAACAAAATTGTACGAGTATAGATTAATGGCAACTCAACTCTAACACGATAATTCACTCGTTTTGGGCATATTTGAGTTAAATTTACACCCTCTATTCAATTTTTCGTCGATAATTATGTTAATACAAAGTGAAACAACTAAATGAAACAACACGATACCTCCGTTTCATATTATTTGCAATGATACCAACGATTAGACATTTTTCCTCTGCAAATAATATAAAACGGAGGTAGCTTATACATATACAAAATACAATATACTCCATACCACTTGTAAGCTACAAACACAGGCAATCTCCAATTCTAACATAAATGGCTATCATACCGTTACAAACTGTTGCAACCCCGCGAATTTCATGGGTGTTCCAGCTACCTGAGCGTAGCTCATATTCTCATTACCCGCCAATAATAGCCTTCTCAAAACTGAAATCAATTTGCAAACCAATCTGCAATTCTCTCTCCTTTGACCAATCCTTCACTAATCTTCCACTTGACTCCACCAATTATACTTCAATTCTTGAATCTTGCACAACCCCATTTCTGGGTAAATCAGTTCATGCTCATGCCCTTAAATCTGGGTTTCATGGGCATGAATTTGTTGAGACAAAATTGCTTCAAATGTATGGTAGATGTGAATGTTTACATGATGCACGTATGTTGTTTGATAAAATGCCTAAGAGAAACTTGTACACTTGGTTAGCATTGATAAGTGTTTATGTAGATTATGAGTTGTTTGAGGATGGTTTTTTGCTGTTTTTGGATTTGTTGTTTGAGGATTTGAGGTTGGATTTCTTTGTTTTTCCTGTTGTTTTGAAGATTTGTAGTGGGCTTCAGGATATGGAGCTTGGGAGGCAAATTCATGGGTTTGTGATAAAAGCTATGTTTGTTTTGAATGTTTATGTGGGTAATGGTTTGATTGATATGTATGGGAAATGTGGGCATTTGGGTGATGCCAAGAAGGTTTTTAGTACGATGTTCGAGAGAGATTCTGTCTCGTGGAATTGTCTGCTTTCAGCTTGTTCTGTGAATGGCATGGTTGATGAGGCATTGGAGAATTTGGATAAGATGTCGAGTTCAGGAGATTCTGTCCCAAATGTCATTTCTTGGAGTGGGGTTATTAGTGGTTTTGCGCAAAATGGGTATGTAAATGAAGCTATTGAGTTGTTATCTAGAATGAGAGCTCGAGGGGTGGAGCCAAATGCACAAACAATCGCTGGTGTGTTACCAGCTCTTGCTAAGCTACAAACACCAAGGTTAGGTAAGGAGATTCATGCCTATATTACTAGGCACGGATTTATGACCAACCCCATTGTAGTGAATGGGCTGCTTGATGTGTACAGGAGGAGTGGTGATATGGAAAATGCTTGGAAACTGTTTTCAAAGTTTTCAGTGAAGAATGTAGTGTCCTTCAATACTATGATTGTTGGATTTTGTGACACTGGTGATGTTTCAAAAGCCAAGGACCTTCTTAACCAACTAGAAAAGAACGGTGTTAAGAGGGATCTTATCACTTGGAATGCGATGCTTTCAGGATATGTTGATAACCTCCTCTTTGAAGAAGGATTAAACTTGTTTAAGGAGATGCTAATAGAAGGGATTGAAGTGGACTCATATACTCTAGGAAGTGCTCTTTCTGCTTGTTCTGGCAAGGGTTCTCTAAGACAAGGAAAGGAGATACATTGTCAAGCCATCATTAAGGGTCTAAACTCTAATCCTTTTGTGGCAGAAGCGTTAATCGAAATGTACATTACATTCCAAGATCCTAAGGCTGCTCTGCAGGCATTTGAAGAAGTTAATGATAGTGATATAAGCACATGGAATATTCTAATCTCGGGCTATGCTCGGTGCAATCAGATGGATGCACTTCCAATTCTTTTAAAAACAATGAGAGAGTATGGTTTTGATCCAAATGTATATACATGGAATGGAATAATTTCAGGCCATGTGGAAAACGGCCACTATGAAGTTGCTTTACAGTTGCTTAAGGAGATGCAGAATACAAATTTAAGGCCTGATATCTATACAATAGGGATAATTTTACCTGCTTGTTCTAAATTGGCTACAATTGAACGAGGCAAGCAGGTTCATGGGTATTCCATCAGATGTGGGTATGATTCAAATGTCTATATTGGAGCGGCCCTTGTAGACATGTATTCAAAATGTGGGAGCATAAAGAATGCAATAAGGGCAAATAGCAGGATATTAAAACCTAATCTGATTTCCCAAAATGCGGTGCTTACTGCCTATGCAATGCATGGCCTTGGAGAGGAAGGTATATCTCTTTTCAATACCATCCTTGCCAATGGTTTTGTACCAGATGAGATTACCTTTTTATCAGTTCTCTCTGCTTGTGTTCATGCTGGGAAAATTGACATCGGCAATGAGATTTTCAATTCAATGGATCGTTATAACGTGAAAGCTTCACTGAAACACTACACGGCTTTGGTTGGCCTGTTAAGTAGGTGTGGTAAAACCAATGAAGCTTACAAGCTGATTAGAAACATGCCAATGGAACCGGATTCTGTGACTTGGGGTGCTTTACTTGGAGGCTGTGTAGTTTCTGGTGATGTGAAGCTTGGTGAAATGGCAGCAGAAAAGCTTCTAGAATTGGAACCAAATAACTCAGGGAACTTCATTCTATTGGCAAATATGTATGCACTTTCTGGTAGATGGAATGATTTGTTAAGAATACGAAAGATTATAACAGAGAGAAGAATGCGAAAAAATGCTGGATGTAGTTGGATTGAAGATGGGAATGATGTTCATGTGTTCACCGCAAGTGATTCATCTCATATAAGAACAGAGGAGATATATTCTATGTTAGAGAATTTAACCATGCAGATGAAAACATGGGCGTATACTTCGCTTCCATACAGTGAGTGTACATATTGAAAGTTGGATTCAAGAATCAGTATATTATCAGATAGAGAAAATTATTTCCATACATCATATGTTATATGTATGCAGTATTATGTATGGTAATGTATCACCATACTATGATCCAATTAGTAAGATAGAGACATGTTTGTGATTAATTATGTGCACATAGATCATAAGCTACTCGGACTGTATGCACAGGGGCTTAGATAGTCCTAAGACTCCTAACCATGTACTTCGTATCGACTAACACGAGAAATATGCAATTCCTACAATGTCCCGGTTGTTTGCTACTGCGCTGACATTATATAAAGTATTTATTTTTTAATCTACGACTAATGTACCTTTGTTTAGAACTACTTGTATTTTGTTTAGTACGCCATAGTTGGCATCTATTATATATGCTTAGTATAATTGAAGAATTATTTGGTTTATGTATGCCATGATTACCATTTATTTCCAACACATCCTATAATATTTGACAAAGGGCTCATTCCAAGTACTCAAAAGGCCAAAACTGAAGGCAAGGACATACATAAAGAAATGGATTAGTTTATGAATTAACAGTACAATGGTACAAGAACTCTCTAATAAACAAAAAAATAATAATAAAAAAGTATAATGGTACCAGCAATATATCTTTAAAATTATCCCTCTAAAAAATTGAAGTAAAATTAAATTAATGTGAAACATCAAAAGGCACATTAATGATACAACATGAGAACAAAGCTTCATTGAGAAAAAAAATCCCTCACTCATCATCCATGCACACCAAACTTATTCAACGTTTCCTTGATTTGAAGCCACCTAATGGGGGGAAGTCGTTTGTTTGGAGGACGAACGAGTTCTTCACTGTTTCTCTTGAATTTGACAAGCTAATTGTTTCTTGTGCATCTGATTTATCTGCTTTGCCATTAACTTTACTACCTTGATGTTGATTCTGAACTGCTATGCCTACTTTGGGCAATGAAGATCGAACAAGAGGTTTTAAGTTCAGCAATTCAGGATCATCAGAGAATTGGTAAGGAATTTTGCTATCATCCATCCTTCTAAATGTGACAGAAATCCTATAAAAAGGCAAGATATCAAACGATGTCAAAGAAGAGAACACAAGAAACAGGAAGAATAAACATTAAAAGTTAGTAATGTACAAATGTTACATCAGATGTCTCTAGGCCATAGAGTTATCAGACAAACCTTTTTGTCGGGACAGCAGGAACGCAGTGTTTAGCAACATCAGCTCCATTACCATTTAGAACAAGAACAGATCTGCAGCATTAAAAGAATATCAGCACCGTGATAAGTCAGAAGATAAAAAAAAGTTTAAAGGTGAAGAGCTGCCAACTGAACACCAAAATTATCCAATCTGAACATTATCTGATGAATGAAATTACTACTGAATACATCAGTGTCTGTATTTAAACAAAAGTCTACAGAAGAAAATTAACCCCTCCCCTAGTTTGGCTCACAAAAAAGTCGATCACAAGATTCACAACATATTTTATCTTCTACCAATCCTTTGTTAGTGCCACTTAGTGGTATATTGCCATAATTATAGATTTGCAGTGAATTATTTGGCGAGCATCATAATAATGTTTTTTTACTACATATCAGCTGTACCATATCCATTATCCACTAACGATAAAGGGGATGACATGTAGTTAAAGAAAAGAGAGATCTTGCCAAAAAGATGAGCTATACTTAGTAGTTAGTAATATGGAATATCCCCAAGAAGCTATATATGTTTCAAGACTTTTAACTAATACAGGACAGGAGTGCATGTAACTATGCTACCTCTTTGATGGATGATCATAGTACAAAACATTTGAGATTTTCACAGCTATACTAACAGTTCAAGAAATCAACAAATTAAATCAAACAATTAAAGGACATACCCAACAGGAAGAGGAATGGAAACTGGACCAGTGAACTCTCCAGGGCTTAAGATTTTGAGATTTGAACCAAAGACGATATTACACTCTGTCAAGAAAGAGACGGTGCAAAATGGCCGAAGAAAGTCATGGTGATCGATGTGAGGAGGGATACAATCACCTTCATCATAAATATTCACTATGCAACTGTTAGGGACACATGTAGGAGGCAGTATATGCCACTTCACCATTCTTCTGATCATCTCTTTAAATAGAGGAGGCATAGGATCAACTTCCTCATCCCTAATTATACCAGGAGGATTTCCATCTTTGTCCTGAAAGTAAGTTAAGAAAATACAAAGTATAATGCATGAGATATTCTAAAATGATCACAAAACATAAAAGCAAAAGCTAGAATATAAAGGCATTTAAAAGAATTACCACTGCATAATTGTAACAACATCCAAATTGAATGGTCACACGTCCTTTTCCAGGCAACCACTTCTTTGGTTCAGAGTACGTACGTTCTGCAAAAATTCAAACCAAACGAAAGATTAAGACAAGCAACACCTTAATCACATACATATTACAGAGCTTGCTTGATATCATTTAGAATATTATGATTTGGGGTTTGTTTGAAAACTGAAACCGAGTATTTGAAAAACCATGTTTCGTTATTTGATCACAAACCTACTAACAAAGATTCAATGCATATTCTAAAGATACACTTGGACACTAAAAATAAGAAATTCAAACCCTTAAAATATGCAAAGAGATGCACAAACTTACCCATAAGCTGCCCTTTCCGTCCCAATTTCTGAAAGTTGTAAACAGATTCGACAATTTTCTTCTGTTCTTCAGCATTAAAAACCCCAGTATGAAGTTCCAATCCTTGCACCACATTTACCTTCCTCCCATCTACCCTCTCATAATGCACAAAATCCTTTTTCCTCCTAACCTGTGAATATCTGCGCCACTCCTCATCTGGCGATCCATTAGCACTAGTAGATGGAGAAACATGGTTTCCATTACTCGGAGATGAGTTAAGGTTACTGAAAAGATCACGCAGTTGTGGCTTCGGATTAGCTGGTGAAGGAGATTCATAATCAGTACTGGTTTCTTGTCTCATTGAATGCACAAATTCTGTGGTAAGAGGGGTTTTCTCCTGGTTGCTAAGTTGTTGGTTATTGTCAGAAGGCGAAGATGGTGTATTTGTTTCAGAAGATACAGGAATTGATGAGCCTACTTCACTGGTTTCTTGGACAGTATGTTCTACATATTACAAATCATAAACATATTGATTTAGGATAACATATTCATCTTCAATCAGTCAAAATTATTAGCAGAGAAAGTTTATAAATTTACTATCACAATCACTTGTAAACTCACTCAACTGTGTAAGTGTGTATATTAGCAGAGAAAGTTTATAAATTTACTATTTCTTCAACCCAAAAAACTTAAATTTTAAATCTTGCATAATCGCAACTTCACAATTATTGAATCACAATAAGAAGAAAAAAAACCAAACGCAGTAAAAAATCAATTAAGCAAATAAATTAGTAATTTAAAGAGCGAAAAAAAATTAAAATCAATTCTTAAAAAAAAAGAGAGAAGTTTGAAGTAATCTTACGATTAGAGAGAGAAAGAATTCGAGATTTAAGAAGAGTTTGACAATCTGAACAAACCCCATCAAAAACCTCAGCAATCTGGGTAATTTCCAAGTTCTTCAATAGATTAATCCAATCGTTTTCCGGCGATTTTCCGGCAGAATCTCCGGCCATGTTTAATGTTAAATTGGGTGAAAATTAAAACAGTTTAATTTTGAGTTGTTTATGCTTTTTTTTGAGGGGTTTATAAAAAAGACAGGAGTGCTGACTTAATAAGAGTTGCGGAGTTGAAGACAGCAGCTTTTATCAAGTAGGTGTAGGTTTTGTGGAACACGTGGGAAATTGTTGGTGGATGTTGTTTATATGACTTCTTTAGTTGTAGCTTCTTCACTTGCCAATTACGTAACAGGTAACACCTATTTTTGGAAAAAATTGATATTACCAACTAGGAGTAGATTTGTTAGTTGTATTAACACGGTTTTGGTTTTCTAATGTGTTACTCCCTCCGTCCCATAATTAGAGGCAAATAACTCTTAAAAGCACAGTTTTTAAGAAAATGAGAAGATTCCTTGTACATTAATGATTGGGAGTACAATGCCTATGTGGGGTTGTTTTAATGCATTGTTTAAAAAACTTTAAAATATCATAAAAATAGCTGTCATTTTTTTACCCAATGGATATTGATCCTTACATTTATTGTTAACCAATAGCATTCCAAAATGAAAGAGTGTGGTCCAATAGCATTTCAGTATTGGAAGCACACGGATTGCTCCACAAATCTCACAAGTTTTCTGGGAAAAAAAAACCGCCAAACTTTTAAGCCACAAATATGGCGCCATATTTTCACCTTTTCAAAGGTGGTTTAAATTTCTGACACAATGACCTTACATATACATATAAATACCACTGCATTGCCAGAAAAATAAAGGAAGGAATGTTTCAGTATCCAACTTAAGGAGTAATTACATAAAATTAATTGCAATTTTTGAATTCACTTTTGTGCATCATTGCCTGCTGTTGAAGGCCTCAGAAATGGACTTGAATGAAGATTGGTCGCCAAGTGATGATGAAATACATGGAGGTGAAAACGATGTCAATATTAGGGGACATTCTTTTGATTTAAATCAGCTGCCAGTTGAAGAAACAGGGGCAAATGTCCATAATGCTTCAGGAAATCAACATATCAATGATTCAGCGACCAATCAAGAAGAACAAAGAACAAATGCTCAGCAACAAACCAAGGACCAACTCATCACAGGCATCAACAAGTCAGGCTCAACAGTGAAGACAAATTTAATGTCCTCATTTTCCTGTTAAAATATCATGAGGGAGATGATATTAAAAGAGGGGCAATAAAAGCAGCCATGGAACATTTCAACCTCAAACGAAAATGTGTCAGCTCAGTTTGGAATGAAGTAAAGAAACAGAAACAAGCACTGGGAAAATACAAACCATGCACAAATTATCACCTGGCTGGAAGGAAAAGAATCATTGTTCCAGTAGGGGATATTACAAAACTTGGGATTGGTAAAAGGTCATGCATTAGAGATGTAGCAACAAATCTCAATATCTCAAAATCAACAGTTGGCAGAATGATCAAGAGGGGAGATATAAAAGCACATACAAATGCAATTAAGCCCCCACTGACTGAGGCTAACAAGTTGGCTAGACTGAAGTGGATACTTGGTCTCATAATGGGTTCATCACCATGGAAAATGTCAAGATACTTCCCAATGTATGACTTTGTTCATATTGATGAAAAATGGTTCAAACTAACCAAAAAAAGTCACAGGTACTACATTGCCAAGAATGAAAAGGGTGTACACAGAACAGGGTCAGCAAACAGTCATGGGCCGAAATTCATGTTCACAGCAGCATGTGCAAAACCAAGGTACAATGATCAGGGGGAATGTTATTTTTGATGGGAGGATTGGAATCTTCCCATTCACAACACAAGAGGCAGCCAAAAGAAAGTCAAAAAATAGGGAAAAGGGGACATTGATAAGCAAGCCCATTGCAAAAGTCACTAAAGAAGTCACAAGAAGAATGCTCATAGATCAAATAGTCCCAGCAATTAAGGCAAAATGGCAAATGATGGCACCTCAAGGACAATATACATTCAACAAGATAATGCTAGGGCACACATAACTCAAGATGACCCTGAGTGGCAAGAAGTACATATGCAGGATGGCTTCACATTCATTTTGGTTCAACAACCTCCAAATAGTCCTGATTTAAACATACTTGATTTGGGTTTTTTTAAGAGCATTCAATCACTTCAAGAAAAAAAAAATGGCCTCAGATGTTGATGACTGACTTAAGCATGTAAATGAAGCTTTTTATGAGTTAGATCCACAAGCTTTATATTTTGTGTGGATCACCCTACAAGGAGTAATGAATGCAATGCTAAAAGTAGGTGGCTCAAATGCTTATGATGTTCCACATATGAACAAGGAAAAATTGTGGAGAGAAGGAACACTCCCAGATACACTAGAGGCACCTAAGTGGGCTGTATTAGATGCATGGGAAGCTGTTTATGGGTCCTTACCACCAGTTGAAGAGGAAGGGGGGTCACCAGAGTTTGTCAATGAGTTTGACCCACATGTGCAGCAGCAAGCCACAGAACAAAGGCCAATTTATGGAAGTACAACAAACAATGAACAAACAGAGAATGATCAAACAACAAATCATGCTTTGTGGGAATCACAAGAAACAGAAGACTATGTTTACATGGCATCACAATTCAATGAAGACAGAGATGAGTATGAAGACAATGACCCTTTTTGGGATGCAATGGTACATGAACAAATTAATGAGTTCACATCAACAACTCCCACCAAATATGGCACAAAGGTGTGTGCAAATGATCATGAAGCATCAAGTTCAAAACCATCATCAAAGTAAGTAGATCATGCATAATTTCTAAAGTACTCAGTAGTTTATGCAAATGGTATCATAAAGTGTCATCATCCCTTTTTGTAGGCAATTGATACCTTCTGTTTATGTTTATCTTTGTTAGATTTGAAGTTAGTTTGAAATCATTACTTTTTGTATGCAAATGGCACATAATATATCAATGAATTAATGGATTTCAAACTTATGGGATAGAAATCATGTTTATCTTTTTGGTTTTGGTCTCAGATGTCCCCATTCATCATTGAACATCATCCCACAATCAACAACAATTGCCTAAAAGTCTCAAACAACCTATATGAAACAAACATAGGTGGAATCTAATGGCAAAGTGTTGTGGACTTATGGGATGATACTCTCACATTGTGGACTTTCATCATTGTGGACAGAAAAAAAATAAAGGGACAAAAATTAAAGCAAATGGAAGATAATATAAACTTAAAATTAGCCTCAGTTTGCCCCATCAATCATTGATCCAAATCCAAAGTGTTTAAAAGCTCTACCTGATTGAGCATGCAAACAGTCAACACCAAAACTTAGTTTAAGTGGACAAGAACAATGGCAAACACTCTTAAACACAAGGGGATTTGGGGTCTCACCATTCAGGTTATCATCATTGACTTTTTTAAGCACAAATGGCAAGCATAGAAATCAGTCACCAACTTCAAATCATATCCAACTCAGATCATACCAAGAATAAAAATCATATCCAACTCACTAGTAGCATCATAACATACTCTGATAAATCATACCATATGCACCTAATCATCATAATCAAAGCATCCTCCTACTCATATCAAATGAAAACATATGACCCTCATATTCCAATCAAATCATGCATAATCAGTCACCAACTTCAAATCATAAGTAATTCCTAATCATATCAAATGAAAGCATAGTTAAACATGTTTCACAAAATAAATAAAATTTTGGTCCTAACATGCTCCTAATAGCAATTCTCCTCATCAAGCACACATAATTCCCCTGGCCAGCAAGAGATCACACTTGCTGGCATACACCATCAACAACTAACCTAATATAAAATGCGTTAAAACAGAGATTTATAGGGAGGAAGAATACTTAGCTATGTGATTCATATGAATCACTTACGTAGCCGCCAACATTACCGTCGTCCGAAGGTGAATTAGTGTTGCTGGAGTTACTCACATTGCCTAATGTGTAATTAGGAACTGGAGATGGAGGTGACACGGTGTTTTTGTCAACAACAGGGGACTTTTTTTTCAACATCACGAGACTTTTTTTCAGCAACAGGGGAGGAGTTAACTTCATCATCATTTTTTTTTTCCATCCATTTTTGATGTCACCTCCTCACCACTTAGGGTTTTACCATCACCGTCACCAACAGACCACCCATACTGCTGAAAATGTTCTGTAGTGTAGAGGTAACGACCAAAGCGACTCCTCCAAACCTCTAAGTTGTAAGAATGGTCGCCATTGCAGTCAGTCGGCCAATGACAGTCACGATCTGAACACTCGTAAGGCACACTTTCCCCATTATCCTCATCACTGTCGGTACGAAACAAAATATCAGGATCTGGGCCAAACCTTTCATCCCAAACTGGAGGATTTTGTTTTGGAAGATTGGAACTCGAATTCTTAGACATGTTGTCGAAAATAAATTGGAGAAAGAAACTCAATTTCTGCAAAGAAATTGCTTAAGATTGTCGAAAATTAACACCTCACCTAATCGAGGGAATGAGTCGTCAGTAACTATTGAGCAAGCTAACCCTAGATTTGATGGTTTTTTAGGAGAGAGAAAATGAACAGTGACTCAGACAATTTCAGATCTACGACAAACCGAATCAATTTGCGCAAAATTATCATGGGGCTTTTGTAGAGGGGACTATTTAAGAGGGAATCATGTAAATTTCGTGAGATTTGAAGCAACAAGCCATGAGAATTAAGGAGAGAGAGTGGCGGAGGATGAAGAACAGAAGAGAGAGAGAGTGTAGTGGAAGAACCCAGAAAATAAATGGAGAGAGAAAATATTCAGAGAAAAGGAGTAGAAAATGAGAGTAAGTGGGAGTACAAAGAATTAATTGCAGGGTATTAAAAGTACACTTATCCCCAAAAATAAGGTTCCAATTCAGCTTAAAATGAGGATAAATTCGTCAATTAAAAACTAAGATGAGGGTATTATTGTCCAAAAATATAGTCCAAAAATAGAAAGATTCCCCTAATAGATTAAACATTTTGGGACACCCAAAATGGTATATTTGCCTGTAATTATGGGACGGTGGGAGTAAAAGTTACCATAAATCTGTCTTAACAAGTCTCCCTAAATTGTCTATCCAACCTATCCAAACATAATTAGGAATAATAATTTTACAATCTAATTTCAAAGAAATTGACTTTTGAATGGAGTGCAATGCAATAATATCACCCTATTTAACTTGACCTATTTTATTGTCTATTTTCGGCAACAAAAATTGGTTCTCATAAATTCATAATCACAATAAAATTGCATCAACCTGCTATACTCCCTCTGTTTCGAAATAATCGTAATGATAGGGAGTGCACATAATTTAAGAAAATATAGAGTAGGCTTGTAGGTTTTAATTTAAAAAGTATACGAAATAGTTATTATGAGAGGAAAATAATAAGTAAAAAAAAAAAAGTTACTGTAAGTGGAATTGGTACAAAAAAAAAAGAAGAGAAATACGATAATATTTAATTTGTGAAAGTGAGGTTAGTAAAAGAGATAATTAATAAAATAATAGTGGATCCTTACCAAATAAGAAAGTGTTGCAATGATTAGAAACGAACGTAAACAGAAAGTGTTGCAATTAATACGACACGAAGAGAGTAAACTTTTTCCTTTTTTGGATAACAACCAATCATAGTATATTAGTATTACAACTCCTTGGCCTAGTAGAAAGATTGGTCATTTATTAAAGCTTTTGATTTAACTTTGCCCTTTCTATGCAAGGCCCGAGTATCACTTACTGTGCTATAATTCCATTTAAAAAAAAAAAAAAAGTATTAGTAACAGAGAAATTGGATAAGTTCTGATCTCTGAGAAAACATTCTCAAGCAAACTCAGGGAACAGAAAAATCTATTTATCAAATATAGTCTTGGAAAAAAAAATCTTTTACTTTAATCAGGAATAAAGCATCAAAGTTAATGCCGATTGTCAACAGAAACTATCATTTACAGTAAAGTCAACCAACAATGTACGGTCATCTATACATCGACACATGTTTAATAAACCATGGTCCATGACTCCTGGGAGATGAACAAGCTCTATACAGCAACCCAAAGTAATTGACATACAAAAAGTTGCTGTGTAGCATTTCCAGGCAAGAGTTAAAAAGCAGTCTTGTAGAGAAATGGTAGGAACACCAACAGAGGATGGCAACAAAGGCAGCAACTCGGCTCACCTACACTCCTCTAAGCTTAGACATGATAGGAAGTCAAAAGTGTTGGCACCAATCCTCTGCATATAGATTGTCCAAACAAAATCAGTAGATCATGTACTCTTAACCTTCCAAAATCACTAATTGTCTGCTACACTCCAAAGAGATCAAGCGATTCCAGGACTCTACGAGCTTGGATGTGCAAAGCTGTCATCCTCTCCTCCGGATCAAGAGTTGAGCCAAATTGACTAGCTGCCCATATCAATGACGCAGATTTTTCCCCTAGAAGTCGACGTATGTCCTCATGCACTGTTGCCATTGGCTGCATATCTCTCCCATCCACGTGCCCAATGAGTAATAACAAAAATTCTCCACATTTCATCCTGTTTATAGCAAAGTGAGTGTCAGCAATCAGCATAAGGATCGCAGCAGAAGAGTCTAATATGGACAAATTTATTATCTCCATTCAAATTTGGCTGTCACATTACTGGTTATTTTGAACAATGTTACAGTTAATTCTAGATACCGGAAGTAATAGATAAGAATTACATGTTTGAACTAATTGACTTGCAGGCAGGAGAAAGTCAAACAGCTAGATCACTTATCATTATGTGATTGACAGCAAATTTACTCCATAACATTCTGACTAGGACAGTTCTGCCTAGTGTGATACTACGAAGTGTACCAAGGCTCTGGGATTCAAGTTATTAAGCGAGAAGTGATTACATATAAAGTACACAAATAACCAAGGTTATCTTACATCTTCCCGGAGAATTACAAGAAAGGCAAGGTATGGATCATGGATGACTGAATGGATATTTCTATAAATATGTTTCTAGCACATCAAGCATTTATATGCATGTCTACCACAGCTTACTATCAAAGGTCCCAATTATAAAACAAGAAAAGAGATAAAGCTCTTGATAAATATTGGATACAGGAATTGAAAATACCTGAGATTTTCATCAACTTGTTTGTCTCTAATAATTGCAGCAACTTCCTCAATACCATTACAGGTTTCAAAATCCTAGAAAAAACAATATATTATAAGAATTCAAAATTTCAAAATAAACACATACTTGTATAATGGATGATAGATTTTATACTGAAATTAATTAACATGTTATACCATTTGATTAGCTGTTGAATCTAACATCAAAGCAATCAAAGCATCAACGCTGGCACCTTGCTCAAGAGCTCCTCTACTCGATAATATATTCATTAGCACCTGCATATGATTAAATATTCATAACTCGGAACAGGAAACTAATCTTCTCAAGTTTTTTATGTAGACTTGAATCACTTTAATACAAAAAATTTCCTCCCTACCCAATAGTCAAAATCCTTCAATTGTCATTTAAGGTGCATAAGCAATCATACATCTTCCTGAGTTGTTTTCAGCCATTAAATTTTCAATCTGTCCTTCGAAAAGTTTTCATCTTTTCTTCGACAGAAAAGTAGCATGTAAAACTTAAAAGTAATAGTGCCAAGGAGCTAAAAGTCAATGCTCCAGCAAGAGCTAATCAGCTACGAACCCTCCAGAGAAGGTGACACCAACACACCAGTTTCCATGACTACACTTTTTTTTTTTTTTTTTAATTATTGATCCCAACCAAGCATCCTCTAAGACTACCTCAGACCTGAACAACACCAGCCACAGGCTTCTTTCTTTTATCTCTCTCACATAATCTCCTCATTCATCCCTACACCCTAAGATGATGGTAGAGAAATGCCAATAAAACATTTACATAATCATGTTAGAGACTAATGAAAAGCAGGTTTTTACAATAGCAAAAAGAGCATGTCATACCGGAATTGCCTTGTGCTGGTGAGCCAAAATTGTACTTTGCCTATGACTCAGGCAGCATCCTTCCAAAACACGAAGTGCAAGTGCAACTTCAGTATCAGTTGAAGGGTTTGTTAACTTCATAGGTTCAACAGTGAATATATGATCCAAACTGGTAACCCTATCTTCTTCCGAATCTTTTAGTGAATGTTGAAAAAGTACAGGAATCACTGCTCATACATAACCAACAGTCAATGCATCACCCAAAACCATCAAATTAAGAAGGCATATCACTTAAACCTTTATAAACCTTCAAGATTCCCAAAAGACATATTTTAGTCTAAATCATCTCAAAGAATGAAACAGACTAAGATATGATGACTGAGAGCAATCACAAGTGAATAGCTTCGTATCATCATGCAACAAAAATCAATCTAAAGCTATTTGATGCTCCTTGCATTCACAAATACTAGTATGTGCAGTTTTTTGCTTTCAGAAGTCCAATCGATCGACAAATTTACTCGATAATATTGGTTTAATCATAAAAGTAATTAAACTTTCCAATACATTGAAGCTGAGGGCAGTTCCAAACTTCCAATATAATCAAAATTACAAATTAAGGCGTCCTTTGGTCCAATAAAATACAATATCTTCAATAAAATGTCCTCAAACTACATAAATTGACAGCAAAAAAAGAACTTATTCCGCCTTCTACCATTTCAATCTTCCTCAAAAACTCAATTTCCAATAGCAGTTTCTATTATACAGAATCACAAATTCTTCCAATGTCATATCTTAATGAAAAAAACCTCTGAATTTTGCTTCATAGCATCAATCACCAATTCAACCAATAAACACCACTAATCAAACCTAATATCTCACCAAAATCACCTACATCAATTCAATTACATCATCCAAAATTTCACAATAAAAAATCAATCAACAACATAAAAACAAAATTCAATTCAATTCAATTCCACATTTGCAACCAAAAATCAAACCTTAAAACACAAGATGAAAAAGAGGAAAAAAGAACCTTGAAGATCAGGGAGAGATTGAGTAAGGCAAAAGAGACGAATAACCGAGTCAGACTCAGCAACAGAACGAAGGAACTTGAGAAGACAACGAAGGCCGCGAACTCGGAGGAAGGAGAACTCAGCTCGCGCGTCTCGGAGACCGGATCGGAGAGCGAGTGTAACCTCTCTGTACATTTTCCGTTGATTAAGAGATTCTACTAGCTCCTCCACCGCCGCCATTGCCGCCTCCGCCGACGGAGATGGTGACTGTGAGTCCGGTTGACCTGTCGGAGAGTTCGCCGTTGGTGTTTGGGAGTTTGGTTTTTTCAAATTCATGGTTACGTCTCTTTCTTTGGGTTTGTTTGGTTCAACCATTTTTATGGAGGAGTATTTAAACGCTGCGTATTTATCAAAATCAATCGGATATACTCCCTCCGTAACGTTTTACTCGCAACAATTACTATTTTTAGCCGTAACACATTACTTGCAACAAAGAAAATTATTTCCTATTATGGTATGTTTTTAATGGTGAAATGACTATTTTACCCTTAGTTATTTCTGAATTTTTTTTTTTAATCCCTAAACACTACTTATCTAACTTATAATCAAATACACTTAACCTAATCTAATCTAACCATTCCCACCAAAAATTACCCACCCCTTTCTGATTTCATTAGAAATCATTCAACTCCCCAACTCCTCAACTACCAGAACTGAATGAAGATCAATCAATTCTCCTCGTTCATGGTGCCCAGACTCTCCTTATTCTGGAGAATTCTCCAGATGAACATTATAAACCCTAAATCTACTCTATTTCCCTCCTTTCTCTCTCATCTTCGTCCTCTGTTCTCTCTCTTGAGTGAAACCCTAGTTCTCTCTCTGTTGTCTCTGTTTAATTTTATGTGAAAATGAGTTCCAAAAAAGCAAAGAAAGAGTCCCAAATTCGTCCAAAAAAGGGTGAGGAATCCACTATGTACATCGCTCGTAGGAGATCTGGTGTTATCAACCAGTTCGTCGTTGTTCTTCTTCGTTTTCTCGGTACTCTGGAGGCAAAATTGGGGCAAAATTGTATTTTTCCAGCGACGAGGAGGAAGTTCTGGAAGTAGATCCGGTGCAGACCGTCCCTGTTCCGGCGGAGGTGGTTGCTGAACTACCTCCTCCTGCTGTTGAAGTTGTCGGTGCTGAGAAAACGTCGAAGGAAAGCCCTAAAAATGCTGCTCCGGACACCGTGGTGACGCCTAAGAAGGTTTCAGGCGACGACGCGTCTCCACGGGGACAGAAGAGGCCTAGATCTGTCTGGAAGGACGACTACAGTGACTGGGATCCCTGCTACATGGCGTATTTGAGGGTCAAGTACCCTCATGACTTTCCCCCAGATCTCTGAGCATGCAGCGTAACTATTACTAAACCCTAATTTTATGAATTTTGCCTAAATATGAGTCCCTTTGACTGATTTTTGGTTGTGATTTTCATTCCTTGTTTGATATCGTTGGATAAAACTGTTGTTTTTTGGTTTTTTGTGTACAAAATAAACAATTGTGGCTGTTTTGTCCTGTATTTATGTTGGGTATGGTTGTTGATTGTACTTGTTGAGTTGAATTTGTTGATTTCGTATTGGCATTGTTGGTGATTGTGGTTATAAATTGGGGGTGTTGCCTCGTGTGCTTATGTTGGTTGAAATTGTTGGTTTGGGTAAGGGAAATTTGTTGTTGTTTTGTTATATTAGGCACTTGACTTGAGTTCATTGCCTGTCTGTTGTTTGGTTATATTGTGAGCATGAATTTTGGTTGTGATTTTAAGTTGGGATCACTTTGGTTTTTTGTTACTGCCTCTGAGTTGCTTGGCTTGTGTGGTTTTATTTACAACATGGTATATGAATAGGCTGTTGTGGGTTGGTTATTGTTGATATGAGTCTGTAGTGATGCAACTTGGAGATGTTTTGATGTATGGTTGATGACCTTAATAGTGGTGATTTAGCCTTTGGAATACTCTGGTTTGATGTGTGTTGATGTTGTTGCCTATGAGTCCCCACAGTTTCAGTGAGTCCCTCTCATTGGTATTTTGTGATGATGCATTGAGTCCCTCTACCCACATTGCATCATAGTTGTAGGTTTTCCAAATGATGAAGGGACTCTTATAACTTGAGCCCATTACTTAAGGGAGCTCCAACATCTTCTAACAGAGGATGTTGTTGAGGTGCCTGTTAATGGTGGCTAATATGGTTAAACCAATCCCATATGATGGAAAAAAAAGACAATAACCATGTCATTCTTTAAACACAATGTTTACTTGTTAATGCTATGATTTGATTTGCCCAAAAAATTGTAGATTGTACATAATTCCATTTCATTAATAACTACCTACTAAGACTGCCTACCTACTCTATTTAACAAAATACACCTAACCATTACAAAACAAACAAAAACTTAGTTTTCAAGTTAATGGTTATGTGCGGCAGTCTTTGGTCTTCTGACTTGGTTGCTGATGAGTCCTTCATTTACAAAAAATTACTTGTTGTCTTGTTCATTTACAAAAATTTGCATGTTCTTACTTGCTTATGTGAACCTCAATCTGCATCTACTTCCATATCTTCACTTTCTGGTTGAGGTCCTGTGGTTGGAACAAAGAGGGTGTTGAGATATTGCACTGTGTCTGCAATTAGTGTCTTGTCTACCTTCAAAATGTCCTCCAAAGTCCCTTGCCTGTCTTGCCTTGCTTTTCCCATGTGTGGTGGATTGAAGTTGTTCCCACCTTGTTTTTCCAACACCTTAATCATGCAAGCCTGTAGTGTGATCCAAGTGTACCTATTTAGTATTGGATCAAACAACTCAAATGCCTCTGCCACTTTCTCAATTAGCTCATCAATATTTGTTGGGAATGACTGGTATTGTATGGATTGAATTGCCTTGAACAAACCTAGGTCCAACACATTAACGTCTCTTGGGCAGGTTGGAAAACAAATTGAATGTTAAACCCATTAGCTTGTGTTGCTGCCAAAAACTCTTCATCTCTTGGTACTTGATATGGCCTAGCATTATCCCATTGTATGATAATATTCTTTGATAATTGTGCTGGCCATTGTGCATGAATTGTTGGGATGATTTTGTCTAAAATCATGTGCCTGATAGCTTCTTTGTTCACATTCTGAATTGCTTTAGTCTCCATTGTGCCTGCTTCTCTGTTTTTGCTTTTCTTTTTTGCCCTCTCATGTTTCACAAAAGGGAACAAACCATACTTCCCTGAGTGTATAAGAGTCCCATCTGCAGCATAAAGTGGTTTGCCCACCATTCCCATGAACATTGCCTTTATCTTAAACCTTTTAGACTGTTGTGCTCTGTATGGGACCTCTTCATTTGGGGTTAGATAGAAAGTCCTTGTCTCTGGGTTTAGGTAGAACCACTTCTCATCAATGTGTATGTGATGTTGCATATCCATAATTGTAGGGTCCCCCTCACTTGGAATTGGATGAATGTGTTGCAAAACCCACTTCAGCCTTGCAACTTTGTGATTTTCTGATGATGCTGGGTGATTACTTGCTGACACTGCCCTAAGTCTGCCCCTTTTCTTTAACCTGTGTATCACCATATGATTGACATGTAGAGCAACACTATAACTTATGTTTGTGGTTCTCTTGTAAAGTGGGATAGACATAAGCCACTCATCAGAGTTTTCAAATGGCTTGCGACCAGTTTTCCCTAACTTTTTGGTTCTGACATCCACTACTTCTCCCAGTTGCATGTGTTGTTTAATTACTTTTAGCAGAATGTCATCAACAATCTGCCTTTTCTCTTCAATGTTTAATTCTCTGTTGCTCCTCCCAAATAATTGTTGCTGATTTGTTGCTCTGTATCTGTTTCTGATTCTGCTGATGAGATGTCTTCATGTTGTTGCTGCTGAGTTGCCTCTTGAGTTTTTGACCCGGAAGAACTGGAATTCTCTTCCATCACCAAATCCTGCTCCATGAGCAGTTGATTTATGTTGAAAAAATCATCCAACATTTCTGCCATGAGTCCCTTTTTTTTTTTTTTTTTTTTTCAGATTTGATGGTAGGTGATGAAGTGGAGGTGACTTGCCTTTTTTTGGGAGCTTTCAATGGAGCCTAATTCGTGTAAAAATTCACTAATGCTGCTACTACTAACACAACAATTAGGAATTAGGACTAATTTCAGATTATGGTTTTTGTAATTTTCAAACAGTTGGTGTAATTCTGGGTTGTATCCTCTAACTTCTGATTTTGAAGAATTCTAATTCCCCCCCCCCCCAAAAAAAACCCTCATGTGTTTGAATGAGGATCTTGAATGAAACAGGTACTCCTTTTTATAAGGAGTTTTTGATTGGTAAAATTGTTGCTTTTGCTGCCTTTTGAATTTTTTTTGAATTGCTTTTAAAATTTCTGAATTTTTTGGGGGGAAAATGAAAATTTTGGAGGCTAAAAAAATTGCCTCCCAAAAAAACCACTCCCTTTACGTGAATAAGAGAAGGAAAAAAGAGGGAAAATAACAACAAGGCCACATGGCCTCCACTAAAAAAGGGACCACCTTTTTTTCCCTCCCTTTTTTACTCCACTAATCACATGCACTTTACTTTAACTTACTCCCTTTAAAACTATTGCCTAGGAGTTCGTTCTTCCTTAGTTTGTTGCGAGTATAACGTTACGGAGGGAGTACTATATTTTTTTTTTTTTTGGTGGATGAGGGGGTAGATGAAATGGGTTTTATGGATAATTAAGCTTTTTTTAGGTAAAAGAAAATTATATTCAGTAAAAGATTACAAGTACTCCCTCTGTTCCACAATGATGTTCTTGTTTGGAATCTTTGACTTTTTAAAGAAAGAGATAATCTTCTAAATTTCTTTTAATCTATAAGAATAAATATAATCATGTGTGATCTAGTTTGATTCGTCTTGGCGAGTAGATAATTAATATCTAACTTTTATAATTTTTGCTAGTGTGAGATTAAAGATATTTACGGTTATAGTTGGGTAGAAATTTGCATCGATTTACGAAATAGGAACATCATTCTGGAACGGAGGGAATAATATTCAATATTTTATGCACAAATAACCCTTGATATTTCTAATTATTACTCCGTAATTTTTTTGGAAGAAAATTTCTAATAATTATTTAGAAAATTATAAAAAGTTGATATATTGAAATTGTTTATCAAAACGAATTTATCAGATCTCATATATAATTGTATTTCTAATCGAAAGATAAAGTGAGGGGTTAAAAATGAAAGATAAAGGAAAAAAATTGCCTAGTAGAAGACATGACATTTTTTTTTCTCCTTCATGCATATATATGAGGGATGACAATATAGAATAAATAATTATTTTCTTTTCTTTAGAAAATGGCCAAACCTATCCTTTTATATTTACTTTTGTTTATTTTAACCATTCAAACACACTTCATTTTTTTTATTACAAGTTAAAGCGTATATATTAACACTTGACAGTTGTAATGAAGAAAATGTACATATGACCAATTAAAGTTAGAATACCAAAGAACTCTATGAAATTAAACATGTACATTTCATTAATAATCATTAAATCCAACTTCTAGAGTTCTAGTAATTATAATTCCCTTGTAGTCCATATACTTCCCTTCATTTGGCTTCTTGGAGCCTTTAAATCATATCACTAACCCCCTTTGGAGAAATCTATTTACACTTAAAAAAAAATCTAATAAAAAAAACGCACAACATCAATATCTTTGGAAAGAATCTAAGAATTAAATAGATAGAATAACTTGAATGCCTAAAAGACGGGGCAACCATCCACTACAATCCCTTTAGCCGTAGGGCATTGAGCCAACGGGCATATCATATCATCTGAACGGTTCCCCCACCAGTCAAGGCTAATATTGCTAACATATTGCAAGCTAAAGAAGAGAAGAATCGTCATAAAAGTTGTTCCTGCATCAAGACCTCCTGAAAGGATGTAATTGTAGCGTTCCCACATCTTTGGGCGATACCTGAAAACAACATACCCTGAAAGGAAGCCAACAATGATCCAGCTAGTGAAGTTAACCGCGCTAGCAGGTGGCATCATCATGGTTGCACCCAAAATAACAGGCATATTAATGAGTCCTATCCACTTTTGCTTCGGGAATGCCTTCAGAGCAAGCCAAACTAGGCAAGGTGCCAAGGCTCCTGCTAGGAAGAACCAATTCATGTGCGAGTAGCACCCAAGGTCTCCAAAGATCCTACGCGGACCCACCAGTCCCCATATCACCGAAGCAGAAAAGAAGGTCCTGTCAAAGGAGCAGGTCCATGGACTGTCAGGTGGCAATTGTGACGGGTCACAGATGTGAGGGATTGACTCCATCATCCACCATGCTGTTCCGGTGTAGACTGCTACTGATACTAATCCTCCCACAATCTGAAACAATAATAGGCGCCTGTTAGCATTAATCCAAGGACAAGAATCCATGATTCTGCTCAATATTATTACCCAAATTGTTTAATTTTTCATTACAACCACCTATTGCTTCATCATTTTGACTATATATAAATTTAATACTTAAAGATAGAGTAGTGAAAACTGATAATTAGCTCAAGTTAAACAAAATGAAAGTTTAACATAGGATTAAGGTAAATAAAGGGAACAAACCTGAGCCATAAACATAGCTTTAGGTGGAATCTTCATGTAATGACCGAGCTTGAAGTCCCCAATAAAGAAAAGGGCTTGACTCATACTAATGTAGCCATACACCTTGAACAACATATTAGCAACAGGTCTCCCTGGATACAAGTATCCAATAATGTATTCTGTGATGATATTCAAACCTGGTTGCTGTTATGATAAAGGAACAACAGACAACGTTAAGGCTTTAGAGCAAATAGTCGCGATGATCATTGTTGAAGCATAATGGTTTTGATGATGAGGAACTTGAACTAAAAGCAAACTCAACTAATAAAGATTCTCTAGTGTGTGATCAGTCTAGGTGAATTTTGATCTTGGTGATTCTGAAACTAAGAAGACATGAAGAAAATCTTTATTGAAGAAGTTAAACAAATCAGAGGAAGAGTTCTCTAACAAGAACTAAGTTCCCTAACAGGAACGTTCCCTAACAGGAACTTGAAGACAAGCAGTTTAAGTTCTTTGGTGGAACTTGATATGCTTGGAGCCCAAGTAATCTACCTTATCAAAGTACGGCGCAACAATAATAGTTAAGGTTTTATCTTAGAAATTATTGTTAATATGTTAAGTAGGTTAGTGCACAAAATTTATTAGAAACGTGATATGTTTGCTTGGTAAATAAAATAAATATGGAAAATAATAAAAGATAGATTTTAGGAAAAGATTTTCTAAAAAGATTATTTTCTCTAAAGTCGGTTTGTTAAAAAGATAAGTCTTCTTAATAAATATCTTTTTAAACTTATTTTCGGAAAAGATTTTGTTCCACTTGATTTTCTAAAACCGCGTTTAAAAGATAAGTTAAGTTAACATATTTATCTTTTAGAAAACCTACTTTCTATACAAGTGTTACTTGTATAAATAGTAGAGAGCAAAACGGTTTAGGTTTTTGTGAGTTTATGTGTGGAGAAATCACAGTGCTATAATTGAGTAAGTTTACCAAGCTTTTAACTTGTCATATTAGTTTCGGATTTCGTGCATTGCTTACCTATCATACTTGGTGTCTTATATTTGTATTGGTTGGGTTATTTGGGTGAATTTATAGTTTGCATCACATACAGTTTTGTGTTGGCTTCTAGGTGAGGTTGTGAGTTTTGTACTGGGGTGGTACGAGTAGTGGTACTTTGGTAGTACGTGTAGTACTTTGGTGGTACGAGTGAATCTAAGTGTGGTGCTTAGATTGGGTAGGATAGGGTCCTATCAAGTAGCAAGTCCAGTAAGGAACTTGTGAAATAAAGGTCTGTTTCTAATAAGTTGTAACTTGGTGTTTGCCCTATTATAGTGAAGTGTTTTGTGTTTGAAATCCCTAAGGTAGGGTCGAGGTTTTACTTCCAGTTGGGCCCTGGAAGGTTTCCTCGTAAAATCTGTGTGTTTTATTAAGTTCCTATACGCATTGTTTATTTATCCGCAAAAAAGTAGTCATTAGGAACTCGATACAATTCACCCCCCTCTTGTATTAATCGTCTCAACTAACAATTGGTATCAGAGCAAGGTACTCTCGTGTAAGCGAATAACTTTGCTAAGTAAGTTCCTGGAGAGATGAATTACAAGGAGAAACTTGAAGAAGGGTATTCTACCCAACGTCCACCCATGTTCAATGGTAAGTTTTACACCTACTAGAAGAACATGATGGAGATCTTTATTAAGGTGGTGATTTTGAAATAACCATAACCAATGAAAAGAAAGAGGTAGTTCCTAAACCTATTTCTGATTATGATAAAGAAGATTATCATAAACTTGAACTCAATGCTTTAGCAATAAAGTATTTGCACTGTGGACTTGGACCTCATGAACATAATCATATCATGAAATGCAAGTCTGCTAAACAGATTTGGGATCTACTAAAAGTAACTGATGAAGGTACAAATGAGGTAAAACGTTATAAGATTGATTCGTTGATGTCAAGATATGAAAGGTTTGAAATGCAATCAAAGGAAACTATAGAGGAAATGTTTACTAGGTTCAATGATATTATTAATGAACTGAATTCCCTTGGCAGACACATTCCTATTGATGAACAGGCTAGGAAGATCTTGAGGAGTCTACCACAAGATGAACGATGGAGATCATAGGTTACTGCCATGCAGGAAGCTAAGGACTTCACAAAGTTCAATATGGAACAACTAGCTGGATCATTGATGACTCATGAACTACATCTGAGTTCCAACTCTGAAAGTTCCAAAAACAAGAGTCTTGCTCTTAAGGATCAAGACTCAGAGGAATCAGAAGCCGATGAAGAGGAAATGGCAATGCTAGTTAGAAAGTTCAAAAGGATGATGAACTACAAGAAATTTGATAGGAACAAGAAATCTGCGAGTTCCAGAAACACAACTTGCTTCAAGTGTGGCTCGAAAGATCACTTCATTAAAGACTGTCTATTACAGATGGTGAGAAAGGAAAGACAAAGGGCAAGGAGCAATCCAAAAAGTCAAGAGTCTATAAACCTTACTTCACCAAGGACAACGTGAAGAAAGCCATGTTGGCTGCTTGGGGAGATTCGGATTCAGAGGAAGAGGAAGACCAACCTCCAGAAGAAATTGCCCATCTGATGGCAAAAATTGATGAAAAGACAAAGCTGAAAGAGCTAGAATCTGAGGTATGGTTTTCTACAAAAAGAACTTAGACATTTCACTAAAGAAAACCTAATATTGGCTGTTTTAGAAATTCAAGAAGAACTTAAAGAATTGCATAAAGCTAAACAGAAAAGTAATGAAGCTTTGGTTACTTTTAAAGAAAACAATGAGTGGGTTGATAATTTAAAATTTGATATTCAATATAGATTCTTTAGTCTGTTTGAAGATAATAATTATTTAAAAGAAACTATAAACAGGTTGAAACATGATAACATAATGTTAAATGTGGAACGATCCTTGATGAAACTCTGTCTTAATGCTCCTGATTCTGAAGTTCCTCCACTTGCTCAATATCCGAATTTTGAAAAACTAAAATCTGATTTGGAAGATATAAAAGCGGATAAGGCAAGACTTGAGGGGGAACTTGAGAAAGCTAGGAAAGGCAAACAACCTGTAGAATACAGAGTTCCAGATTGGATCACCAAAGCTCAAACCAAAAGAACAGAAGGTTTGGGTTTCAAAAGGAAGTTCCAAAAGGAAAAGAAGTATGTTGACCTTCCCAGTAGTATAGTTTGTTATTTCTGTGGAAATACTGGACACAAACAAGTTAAGTGTCCTAAGAAAGAAAAGAGTACACAGAAAAATGAAAAACATGTACAACAGATTTGGATCGAAAAGAATAAACCTACTGTTGTTATACAGGAACCCAAGGAAACCTGGGTTCCTGAACCTAATGTTTGATTTCTCATGCAGGTTCCAGTGAGAGGGAACAACACTTGGTACCTCGACAGTGGTTGTTCTAAGCATATGACTGGAGACAAATCTAGATTTCTCTCACTGAATGCCTACTATGGGGGAACTGTGACCTTTGGTGATAACAAGACAAGAGATATAGTTGCTATTGGCAAGGTAGGAAGGTCAAGTTCCCATGCTATTGATAATGTATTTTTGGTCGAGGGTGGAACATCATCTTTAGAAGGAACTCGTAAAGGAAACACATATGTTGTTGATCTTAACGAAGTTCCTAATAGTAGTTTAACATGTCTTAGTGTCATTGAGAATGATCCTTTACTGTGGCACAAGAGATTTGGACATGCAAGCTTTACTTTACTTGATAAATTGAGATCTAAGGAATTAGTGGAAGGACTTCCATGTATTAAGTTCCTGTATGACAAAGTGTGTGATGCTTGTGTCAAAGGAAAACAGACTCGAGTTTCTTTTAAGTCCAAGAAAATGGTAAGTACCAAAAGACCTTTGGAACTTGTTCATATGGATCTATGTGGTCCTGTGAGAGAAGTGGTAAGAGATATGTTATGGTTATTGTTGATGACTTTTCAAGGTTTACTTGGGTTTTCTTTCTTGTTTGTAAAGATGAAACGTTTGATGAATTTGTAGCTTTTGTAAAGAAAGAACAGAGAAGAACAGGAAATCCATTGATACACCTCAGATCAGATCATGGTATTGAATTTGAAAATTCAAAATTTAATGAATTTTGCACTGAGCATGGAATGGATCACAACTTCTCTGCCCCAAGGACTCCTCAACAAAATGGAGTGGTGGAACGCAAGAACAGAAGCCTTGAAGACATGGCTAGAACAATGCTAATCTCAAGTGGGTTGCCTAGGAACTTCTGGGCAGAAGCAGTGAACACATCATGCTATATTCTTAACAGAGTATCAGTTAGAGCCATCACCAACAAAACTCCTTATGAGTTGATCAAAGGGAGAAAACCCAATATTTCTTACTTTAGATCTTTTGGTTGTAAATGTTTTGTTCATAACAATGGTAAAAGGAACTTGGGAAAGTTTGATGAACGTAGTGATGAGGTTGTATTCTTAGGATATGCCTCTAATAGTAAAGCATATAGAGTTTACAATAAAAGGACAATGTGTGTTGAGGAATATGTACATATTATATTTGATGAAATTGAACAATATCTAAATGATGTACAGGAGTGTGATAATGATTTCGAAATTGGACTTGTACGCAAGACAGATCCAGATGAAAAATCAACATCATTGCAAAAGCAGCAAGTTGAAATTGCTGAGCAAACGAATCAGGAAGCAAATGAAGAACCAGAAATGGAGAATGCACCAGGAACTCCTTCTCAAGAACAGAATCAAAATCAGAATGAGGAAAATCCTGTTGAATTTCCAACTGAGGTTCAAGAACAAGTTCCTACAGAAGAACCAGTCAACAATGATCAGGAAATATTGTATCCAGTGAAGGACTTTACACCTAAGAGATGGAAACATCAGAAGTCCATCCTGTAGATGCAATCATGAGTGATATTACAAAAGGAACTCAGACCAGATCTCAGCTTAGGAACTTCTGTGCATTCTATGCATTACTTTCTTCTATGGAACCTAAGAATTATGTTGAAGCTTTAACTGACGCAGACTGGATTAATGCTATGCAAGCTGAACTAAATGAGTTTGAAAGAAATAAAGTATGGCATTTGGAACCTAGACCCAAAGATAAGAAGACAATAGGTTTAAAGTGGGTGTTTAGGAACAAGCTGGATGAGCATGGTATTATTGTTAGAAATAAAGCAAGACTGGTTGTACAAGGTTTCAATCAACCAGAAGGAATAGACTATGAAGAAACATTTTCTCCAGTAGCTAGGTTAGAGGCTATTCGTTTACTTATTGCTTTTGCTGCTTATATGGGATTCACGTTGTTCCAGATGGATGTAAAATGTGCATTTCTTAATGGTCTTCTAAACGAAGAAGTTTATGTGGAACAACCCCCTGGATTTGAAAATCCAGAGTTCCCAAACCATGTCTACAAGCTTGACAAAGCTCTCTATGGGCTAAAGCAAGCTCCTAGAGCATGGTATGAAAGATTGTCAAAGTTCCTATTACAAAATGGTTTTAAACGTGGCAAAATAGATAAAACTTTGTTTTTAAAATCAAATGGAACTGACATATTAGTTGTACAAATTTATGTTGATGATATTTTGTTTGGTGCAACTAATGAATCTTTGTGCAAGTATTTTGCTGACCTTATGAGTGGAGAATTTAAATGAGCATGATGGGAGAATTAAATTTCTTCCTTGGACTGCAAATAAAGCAATCTGATAGAGGAATCATGATCCATAAACAAAAGTATGTCAAGGAACTGATCAAGAAATACAAACTTGAAAATGCTAAGACAAATGATACTCCAATGGGTATTGCAACCAGATTGGATGATGATCCATGAGGTATGATAGGATCTTTACTTTACTTAACTACTAGTAGACCTGACATATCTTTCAGTGTAGGTTTGTGTGCCAGGTTCCAAGCAAATCCAAAAGAGTCTCACCTGAAAGCAGTAAAGAGAATCCTTATATACCTAAAAGGAACTGATGACTTGTGTCTCTTCTATCCTATAAGTGACTCATTTAATTTACATGGCTTTACTGATGCTGACTATGCAGGTGATTTGGTAAATAGGAAAAGCACTTCAGGTATGGTATAGTTTTTAGGACCTTGTTTAGTTTCTTGGGGTTCCAAGAAGCAGAATACAGTTGCTTTATCTACAGCTGAAGCTGAATACGTGGCAGCAGCAGCATGTTGTTCACAAGTACTCTGGATAAAACAACATGTTAGAGATTTTGGTCTTATTTTTTAATGTGTACCTATCTACTGTGATAACACAAGTGCTATATGTATTTCTAAAGATCCAGTACAGCACTCTAAGATAAAACACATCCACATTAGGCATCAATTTCTAAAAGATAATGTGGAGCAAGGGAATATTAAATTGGAATTTTGTAATACGGAATATCAACTTGCAGATATTTTGACCAAACCCTTGAACAGAGAAAGATTTGAGAAATTGAGACTGGAACTTGGAATGATCAAGCTGAAATAATTGCTTTTGAAGTTCCTAGATATGGCAAAGTCGAAAATAATGGGAATAGAGCAAAAGAGCATTTAACACAATTTTGGTGTGCTAAGCATAGCTGAAGTGTCACCGTTGCTGACTACCAAAGGTAAGTTCATTAAATTGCTTAACTGTGTAAGTTATTAAATATATACATTGCACATATGTAAAAAGCGTGTTCCAATTGTGTATTTATAGAAAGTGTCTTTTAAATTAAATGAATTTGAAAAGAAAAGTTTTTGGGAAAATTCATCGAGTAATTTCAAAATTGGAAAAATTAATTGAATTTGTTTAATTAATGACTGAATAGTGAAATCCCTTAAAATCCTTCACACCGCTTCATTAATTATAAAAGACTGATTTCACCCACCTCTTTCACCTCACTGTCAAATCAATTAACCCCTTCTTAGTAAAAACCCTCTTGAACTTTAAATCCTTCCCTAAAACAACAATGGTGATCATTGCTGAAATTGTCTCATCAGAAAACTCTCAACACTCCGAAAACACCATTCAAGAAGAAACATCTCCTTTAGCCATGGTGAACTACAAATCATCTTCTACCTCAAACAAAACTCCTGAAAACCCTAAAAACCCATCTCCGAAACCTAAAGAAGTAGACAATAAGTATGTTCAAGGAGAATCTTCTGTCTCAAGTATTCTTCAACGGCTAAAAGAGTGGAAAGAGAAAAAACAAAGTGAGAAGTCTCTTGAAGAGCAAATCGAAGAAGTTGACGAGTTGGCTCAAGGAAAAAATTCAGAAGAGACAAAAGAGGAGGACGAAGAAGAAGAAGAGATGAATGAGGGAGAAGAAGATAAAGAAGATCAGAACAATTCAGAAAAGGAAGAATCTGAAAAGGAAGATGAAGAAGAGAAGGTAACTGATGAAACCGAACTTGAGTCACATGCAGGGAGGTATGTTGTAGGACATCACATTGATTTAGTTTGGTGTAGGAAAGCAAGATTTTTAGAATTTCTTGATTTAATTAAGTTCCAAGGCTGGGAATTCTTGCTGTCAAGAGTCTCAGCAAATTATCTGTACCCTGTTGCTATGAATGAGTTTTGTCAAAACTTTCAAGAAAAATTAGGGGTAATTTCGAGTGTAGTTGATGGGGTCAAAATTGAATTAAATATTGAAACCCTAGGTAAAATTCTGAAAACACCTACTGAGGGTTATGAGTCATATATCAAAGGAAAGGCCAGTGTAAAAGTAGGTAACTATTTGACATGTGACATTGTTGAAGCCCTAGGTGGTCAAAGGGGGAAGAAGGTCATGAGTCACAATGATCTGAGTCCCTTGAACAAATTGTTGTTTAACCTTGTGAAGAAAACCATTGTGCCTAGAACTGCTAAGAAAGGGGAAGCATGTCTGAGCAGCTTGTAAGGAAGAGCAGGAGGATTTCTGCCAGTACTGTTCCTCAAACAAGCATGGAACAACCACTGGAGTTGGATGTAGAGGAAAGTATCCTCAATGGGCAAGTTGCAGAATTGGTGGACATGATGGAAAGGGTTGAGAATCAGGTAAAGAATTCTGCTAGAAAACTTCAGATGCTGACCCTTGAAAAGCTGGTGCAGAAGCAGGGGAAGGAGTTAAAAGAACTCAAGGATGCTGAACAAGACAAGGAACTTCAAGAGCAAAAGAAGTTTCTGCAAGAACTGAACAAGGCTCTACAGGAACAAAAGGAGGAGTTCCTTGTGAAACTCAAGAGTCTTGAAGAGAATCTGGAAGCTTCTGCACAACAGACAAAGGAGGACTACAAGAAAATTCTGGAGTTTCTTGAAATCGAGCCTATCCTATTCCTTTTCGATCTATATTCAGCCTAGCCTATTTTCTCTATTTCAGTCATGAACAACTTTAATTTCTGTTTTAGTGTTTGAACAATTATTTTTTATTGTAAATTTTCTAAAATTGTTCAACTGGATGATATATCTTTTGGTTTTTAATGACTATTTGGAACTTTGTTTATACTTGTGTGTTTATGTATGTACTGAACTCTTATGCAGAAAAGTAGAATTTGCTTGAGGTAGCTTAGCAGCGCTGCCTTTAGTTTCCCGCACTCGATGAATTGCTTGTGGGGCTGTGGCTAGATGCTTAATAACTTGAAAAACAGGACTTTTTGATAATGCCAAAAGGGGGAAAAGAAGAAGCAAACTTAGAGGCTAAAGTTGTTCTGGGTTCTAGTTAATAAAGTATTAGAAATTTCTCTTATATGATGCTGAAGTAGTTTAGTCTATTTTAGCTTATTCTGTTTTATTTATTTTTGCTTATTTTTTTCTTTCTCTCTTAGTTTATTTTTATTTGTTTTGTTTCTACGAGTGTTTAATTTTCTTTTCAATAAAAAAAAAATATCAAAAATACGACCTTCTATTTTGTTTAACTTGTTTTAGAGTTTGCTTAAGTTTGTCATCATCAAAAAGGGGGAAATTGTTGAAGCATAATGGTTTTGATGATGAGGAACTTGAACTAAAAGCAAACTCAACTAATAAAGATTCTCTAGTGTGTGATCAGTCTAGGTGAAGTTTGATCTTGGTAATTCTGAAACTAAGAAGACATGAAGAAGATCTTTATTGAAGAAGTTAAACAAATCAGAGGAAGAGTTCTCTAACAAGAACTAAGTTCCCTAACAGGAACTTGAAGACAAGCAGTTTAAGTTCTTTAGAGGAACTTGATATGCTTGGAGCCCAAGTAATCTACCTAATCAAAGTACGGCGCAGCAATAATAGTTAAGGTTTTATCTTAGAAATTATTGTTAATATGTTAAGTAGGTTAGTGCACGAAATTTATTAAAAACGTGATAAGTTTGCTTGGTAAATAAAATAAATATGGAAAATAATAAAAGATAAATTTTAGGAAAAGATTTTCTAAAAAGATTATTTTCTCTAAAGTCGGTTTGTTAAAAAGATAAGTCTTCTGAATAAATATCTTTTTAAACTTATTTTCGGAAAAGATTTTGTTCCACTTGATTTGCTAAAACCGCGTTTAAAAGATAAGTTAAGTTAACATATTTATCTTTTAGAAAACCTACTTTCTATACGAGTGTTACTTGTATAAATAGTAGAGAGAAAAATGGTTTAGGTTTTTGTGAGTTTACGTGTGGAGAAATCACAGTGCTATAATTGAGTAAGTTTACCAAGCTTCTAACTTGTCATATTAGCTTCGGATTTCGTGCATTGCTTACCTATCAAAGTTGGTGTCTTATATTTGTATTGGTTGGGTTATTTGGGTGAATTTATAGTTTGCATTACATACACTTTTGTGTTGGCTTCTAGAAAAGGATGTGAGCTTTGTACTGGGGTGGTACGAGTAGTGGTACTTTGGTAGTACGTGTAGTACTTTGGTGGTACGAGTAAATCTAAATGTGGTGCTTAGATTGGGTAGGATAGGGTCCTATCAAGTAGCAAGTCCAGTGAGGAACTTGTGAAATAAAGGTATGTTTCTAATAGGTTGTAACTTGGTGTTTGCCTTATTATAGTGAAGTGTTTTGTGTTTGAAATTCCTAAGGTAGGGTCGAGGTTTTACTTCCAGTTGGGCCCTGGAAGGTTCACTCGTAAAATCTGTGTGTTTTATTAAGTTCCTATACGCATTGTTTATTTATCCGCAAAAGTAGTCATTAAGAACTCGATACAATTCACCCCCCTCTTGTATTAATCGTCTCAACTAACAATCATGCTACATTTTTGAAGGTAAAGAAAGAGTTTACAAGTCAATGTACCTGATTTGTTGTGGCTTGAATAATGCCTACAGGGAGGGTGAAGAAGAAAGCAAGCGCAGAAGCAAGCAAGACACCCCACCATGGCAATTGGAGTGACTCCTTGTAGTATTCGCAAGTAAACAGGGTCAAAGCAAGGTTAAGAACTAAAAGGACATGAAACCACCAATTTGGTACTTGTCCATAGACCTTCATCAGCTTCGTGTGTATGTCCACCTTCTTTGATGCTCCGAAAGCTCCCTTGACTTGTCCCCATATCTCTCTGTATGATCAGCAAAGAGTTAACCCAAAAACAGTACTAAAATCACCTATGAAAAGCGTTTGTACAACATGATTCAATCATATATACCTTCCATTGAAGATTAGGACATGGACAATGGTTGCAGAAAGTGCGGCAAACCCAAGGCCATACGTCACAGCAAAGAAAGTGCTAAGATATAGAGGACCATTTGTGGCATACGCAGCCTTATCCAATGTAAAATGTGGGGAAACGATGCTTTTGATATCATACTTGGTTCCATTAACCATGAAAAGACTGAGAAAATCTAGGGAAGTTCTTTGCCTTGAGCACGTCAAACCAATAACAAAATGGTATTATCGCATACATCATGATAATAAATCCTGCAGCTACATTGGCAGTAGCAAACCAAGGGCTAGCCAGAGGACTCCCTAGGTACGAGGAAATCGTAGTCCAATCTACAGCAAATGAGCCAATTCCAAGGGCCTGAGTTCCCGAACCCAACTGATTTACCAGAACAGATTTAGGAGCAATCCAACAGAGCCAAGAAAAACTAGTGGTCATAATGAACAGGTAAGTGGGTAGCACACAATAAGCAGCAGCACAACATAGAATAATGAGGAAGGCCTGTGTTCGGGACATGCCTCCTTTCGCCCTTGTTTCCTTCTCATGTAGAGCCCTGCAATCACAATCGAAAATTTCCCACAATTCATTAAATGCCTCAATGAAGAAAATACATTTGTATCGATTGAATCACATCTTTTTCAAATTCTACAAACTAGCTAGTATCAGAAGTTTCACCTGAATATTGAGACTTGAACCAGATTGCTAGGCCACCACATCTCTGCTGGCTCGACGAGATACTTCCGGAATAGACCAGCCCATCCAAAACCCAATAGCTACACATTGCACCAAATTACATCACTTTTTTGTTTGCTAAATTCAGTATTTAATCTACACATACATAATCATCTTAATTCCTATTGTTAGAAAATCAAGTCTAGTTACAAGGATATATAAAACAACTGCACCATTAACAAAAAAAATAAATCTTGAAATTACAATGAGGTATTGATCAAATCATTTTAAAAATAAATGCATAAAATCTGGGCCTTAATTAAGATTAGTAAAAAATAAAAAACCTCGCAAATTAAAAACAATCAAATAAAATAACACGAACGAAAACTTAAAGGAGATTATTAACCTGAGTGGTGAGCATAACAAGAACAGCAGGAAGAAGGGTGAGCTTCCTCTTATAAAAAAGCTTAACAGCACTCAATATATGGGTGGCGTAAACACTTCCGGCACCGAATTAGCGAAAATAGTGATCAAAACATGTTCTTTAACATTAAAAGGACCAGGGTTTAACGTAAACTGTAACCTAGTACCTTGAAAGAACACCCTCTTTGTGATTGTCTTAGCCATAAGATGTCCTAGAGGAACAACAGCAATCTGGGCCGAAATCGACGTAATAATCATGGGATTTTGTCTATACCACATGAACTGATTAACAAATGACAACAAAATACATGCACCTAAACCAAGAACCCACATTCTAAACGTTAAAACAGGCATGTTTGGATCGTCTGTTTTAGGCACGGTTAAATTAACTTGTGGTATTGAACATTCTTCATCCGTATCGCCTTTTTTCATTGTTGAATCTATTGATTCTGGAACAATTTCTTCCCCTAAACCACCCATATTATTATTATGAATAATATGGATGTAAATTCTAAATTTTGTGTAACAAAGTTACAAAAAAATTTGATGCATGGCACAAAAACAATGAAGATTCTATTTAATTTATCGGATTATAAAGATGAGATTCCTAGTTTTGGTGGGATTAACGAGAGATTCTTCGAATCAGAAATCGATACTAATTGAATCAAGATAAAATTACGTATGTAATATTATCGTTATATTAGAAAGATTTTTTTTTGAAGAAATTATTGGAAGGATATTGGAGGTGGGTAGTTGGAGGTTTATAATACAACCTAATTCTCACGAAATTCTTGGAGATATGTTTAAATAATAGCTGTAAAAAATAAATAAAAATCTGGGTTTTTTTTTTTCTGTTGTTATTTATATTTATGGGGGTTTGGAATTTTGGATAGGGTTGAGGTAAGAAATCATAAAAATTGTATGGTTACTTGGTTAGACTTAGAAGTAGGATGGAAAAAAATCATGGATATATTAAACCATTTTTAGAAGATTTCCTACCATAATTGTTGCACTAGTAATAGTATAGCTGTAATACTTTAACCAACCAATAGCAAAATAGCTCATATTTACAGGCTGTAACACTTTAACACGATTATTTTTAATTAGGAAAAAATAAAAAATAAAGCAAAAAGTCTCCAATTATGAAGATTCACAAAATATTTTGAATACAAGGTTCACTCATTACTACATCTATTTCATATTATTTACAACGATTAGATATTTTTCCTCTTTACTTTATGTCAAATTGTTACAAATAATACGTAACAGAGGTAGAATAACAGATAAAAAAAATTATACATTATCATTTTTGTTAATAAAATAACATTTTTTTTAATTAAATGTGGACACTACAAATAGTAATTCATTTACGAAAACAATAAATAAATTTTCAAACAAATATATAAAAAAAAAAGTTTTAATTTTAAAAAACAATTATTTTATTAAAAATAAAATAAAATAAAATTAATCTCAACAAAAGTAAGGTAAAGAGAGCAGAACCTTAGAAAAAATTGTGCAAGGCTTTGTCTCTGTTTCTTATTTTTGCTAAACTTAAATTAATTATATTAATCTGAAATTATTTTTACGAAAGAATAATGTGAAAATGTCAAAAGTTTGGAGGTGGAAAAGGTCTACCACAAAAACATGGCAATTTGGGGCAAAGTCAAAGAATAATGTGAAAATGTAGTATGATGTTTAAAAGCTTGCAATAAATATACGACTGTACGCGTAAGTGTAACCCATGGCCACTACTACAAGAGTACGAGTACAATAACAGTACAAATGTACAATAAGGCAATCCGTGACCAGCCTCTTAACCATGTGAACCGTCAATAGGCATCGTTTTCTGAGCATATGTGCTTTGAAATGCGAGCATTCCTCAACTTTCAACTGGAAACAAGTTGGATTATTCTGTCTATTGCGACTTGCCCTCTATTAGGGTTATGTTATGTATAACTAGACCCTATTCTGATTACTGAATTGTGCTGAGCTTGACTGAACTGATTGCACTTGAACTGAACTGGATTGAATAGAGCTGAAATGAATTGTTTATGAGAGAAAGAAATTAAGAGTTGAACTGGATTGAATTGATTAAAACTAAACTGAACTGATTGAAGCCGAAATGAGCTAAACTGAAATTAAGACAAAGAGAACAACCCTAGCTAAAAAATATGTATAATGTCAAAAAGACATCATGCATGTGCACATCGACTAAAAGTTACAGAGTAATAGATTAAAAAAATCAAATTTACGGTACACTATGATGGCCTCTAGGTATCTAGGGGCATTGAGTTAGAGCAATTATCAATTAAATCTCATACATGTATACATGATATATCATTTGATTAAGACAAATAACAATTGCGTATAATGGAAGAAAAAAAGATTGAACAAAATTATTTACATACCATTATCCACAACAAACATGCGAGCATATAAAAAAAAGAGATTGTTCAACTACTGCTTCCATTAAATATTACTCCGTATGTACAAGTTTGGAGTATTATTTTGTGAGATATAAAATATTCCAAAATTGCGCATAATATTTAACGGATGTAGTATATTTTTAAAAACATAACCCTAAAGCCCCTAATTATCATAAACAAGAAGCTGATAACAAAAACCATCATATAATAACACCATATCACGTGAAACGTTATCATACTCCGTATGTACAAAATAATTTAATACGCGGAGTATATACATGGTAGTTCTATGTAATTATATACGAAGTACTTTATTTTTAAATACTTTAACTCGTACTTATCCATTCCCCGTCCTTTTACACCCATATCATCCAAAAAAAACCCAAACCCCTATAATCCTTACTTAAAAAACTATAGTGCAAGCTGGCTACTAGCAATGTTATCGATGTCAGGCATTCGTTTTTCACTTTAAATTTGTTCTTTAATGAAGGCATTCAATTCTTGGTTGGCACAGTAACAATCAAATACAATTAATTGCTTTAATTCATGTCATTGGTTAGTAATACTTCGTACGTATATAAAAACACGAAAAACTTTAGAAATAATTAGAGCAGAAAATGGTACAAAGCTATTGCAAATTTGCAATATCTAGCAATTGCAAACTGTCTGAACGTTTATACCGGAGTAACCTGCATTGTTACATGTGATAGAGATGAAGTTTTCCCATTTATAAACAAATTATATCGAGCAGTCTTGTACGTAAAAGAAACGCCTATTTTTAGCCTATACCTTACTGGGTGGCAAGCGGAGCAGCATACCAAGAATAAGAAAAACAAGAAACAGCCAATCCGCTTGGAATCATACATGGCATGTTCGTCTCAGATCAAGAAGATTAAGGTTCCGTAAGAATGCTTAAGGGTAACACTCTCCGTATCATATAATACTGTCATCTTCTACAACTCCATATATGTTCTTAATTAAAACGAAATTTATATAGATTGCCATTTTTATTCTATTATCACAAAGATTTAAGTTGTTGCACTCTCAAAATGAATGAGACGAGGGTACAAATTACCCATTTCCATGTTACTTAACCTAACATAACAAAACAATACGAAAATTAAAGAGACGATGATACGAATTACCCATTTCCCAGTCCATTAACCTAACACAACAAAACATTACATAGTAGAAAACCTAATCATATATCATTACTCTTGTGAAGATAAACATGCTCATTTACAATAGTATAGTAAATAAGTATATACACGTACATGAATTGTGGATACTGTAAATTTTACGGAGTATGTGAAACCCCAAGATGCCTTGCATGTTCAAAGTAAAAACTTAGCAAATAATATATATATATATATATACCCATATAGGCCATGAATTTTAGGCAATACTACAAAACTTTCGAGCTGTTATGTAAATAGTTGAGTAGAGGTTAGCTAGAGAAATGCTGCATCAGTTCGGTTATTTTAGCTCAATTTAATATGCTAACATTTAAAGGAGAAAAGTAAACTTTGCAAGGTAAAGCCATACAGGTAGGCAGTAGCACACCAGTCAAGGGCGAGTGAAAGAGCACAAATGTCCCTGCTGAGCATAACTGCTTACAGCACAACCTAACAATTCTAGATTATAATGATCAGATCAAAGAATTCCCTACCCATTTCATATGGTGTACGATAACCACAACTCTATTGTGAGCTTAACCACAACTCTATGTTTAGGTCACTACCCCGATACTTGTCCAGAGAGTCAAGTCCAACGGAATGCAACAGAAACTGACAAAAACCAGTATTCACTTGAGTCACTTGAGTTCTGACTTCACAAACTTTGAGCAGACACCAATGCTTTTATAGCTAAATATCCTCAGAAATTACAGAATTTGAAACAAACTAATCAGGCAAATAAATCATAAGCTCATACAGCTTAATGTAAGTCCTAGACTCCTGGTCACACTATTAAAGACACTCAACACGACTGCATTCCGTTCTTAGTCATAAAGAGGAGCACCTGTATATAAAGTTGCTTTCAAAAAAAATGCCAAAGGCTCAACTCACTAAATGGTGGATTAGTAATGTACTGAACCACTGGTGTGTACAGTGCACAGAGATCTCTAAAACAAGGTCGCCTGACTAATTCGAACATTATGACTTTCCAAGTACTAATCATAAACCATGGTAATAGGTTAATAGCCTTGCTGCCGCACTAACTAAACTTAACAAATGACAAAAAGTTCAGAACTAATCTACATAAATTCTAAACTAAGTACCTAATGAAGAGCTCATATTCACTTGCACCATCAGTGATTACTTAATATGAGAAGCAACAAAGATCTTAACTCAGTTTATGGATGAATGCCTCCTCCAACCCAACTAGGCCTTGGTCAAAAGAAATGAAGAAATTGCATCCAAAGTTCCTCAAGAAACATACTACAATTCACTGCGAAAGAGTTTTCCAGAGGTTGACAAACAACCACAAGATGGATCGAGATGTAGTGAATTCAATCATACCACCATATGCTCATGGCTGAAGTAATCAACGACCCAAGTACAGCCTTAAAAATGGACAGTGTAGGTTATAGGGGATTGGAATACTCCATACTAGGTCAAAAATAATATTGTGATTGAAATTCCTGAGAACATACAGGCATACAGCTGATATAAGAAGTAACAGCAGCGGAGCAGGCAACAAAGTTCCAGTTGGCCAAGTCTTGTAGCTCCAATAGCAAAATAGTAATAATTACTCATCTTCCCATTCTATTGAAGACAAAAGGCATAATCTTTTCTTATCAGGATAACTTAAAAAGAATTCTCGACTCCAAATACGAAAAGCTTTGAAATAGGACTTTTGTTGAGAAATTTGAAGTGCTGACAGGTCATGAAAATCTGAAATTTCAGCAGCAATTTAAAAAATCTGAAATTTCAGCAGCAATTTAAAAAATCTGAAACTTCAGAAGCAATTTAATAAATCTGAAATTTCAGCAGTGATTTAAAAAATATATAACAGATGATGTAAATCAAAAGTCATGCCTGAGAAACATTGTTTTCTTTTTTCAAAAACTCAGTAAAAAGAAAGCATCCTGCTGAAAAAGAAGGAAAAGAAATGCTAGTATCTTGCAATAAAGTAGAAAAAGGTACAGAAACAGTATCAAGTCTATCAACCGCCCAAGCCCAAAACACCAAAAATAAAGAGCGCCAAGAAAGAAATAAACAAGGTATATAATTGAAACGCAGTAGGCTGGCTTTTACATTGGGTGATCACAAGAACTGAACAGATGAAGAGAGGTTATAACATTGAGTCACTCCTCATCAAACCATTGCAGGTGTAGATATTGATCCCTAGCAGTGCAGAAATTGCTATAAGCAAGGAAAACCAACTTCAAGACCAGGTAATGTCGACGATGTATTTCAGTCAGATACATAAGTAGCAAGTTTCAAAGTATCTAAAACTAAAAGAGAATACAGTCTGGCACTCTGGCATTTCATAACTTTCTAATAAAAGGGTACAAACTCCAAACTAGCTACAATCCCCCAAATCCCACGAGTTGGTACTATAACAAAAACCGTAGAATGAAATTGGTGCATGGATCTCAATTGTAAGGTGATCATATCAACCTCAATATTGCAGACGCCAACCTCCCATTTTGAGCGGATTCCTACATACAAACTCCCTTTGGTAATTTACAGCAAAAAATTGTTTGAGTTTCAGCTATAGCCTACAGAGCGAATAGTGCCTAAGCCTGATCAAATGGAAGACATTTGTCACCTGCAAAATCATACCGTTCAACGCTTGCCGCGATGGCCACCACCTGACCTTGCACCTGGATAACGAGCGAATTGCAGCCTTAAAATAGAAGTGTCACGGTCATTCTCATCGAACTTATAACCTGCAAAATCGAACTTTACTCACGCCGCAAAATAGACTATGGCCCAGGTTTACACGTATATTGGGGGGCCATCACAAACTACAAACGCACCATCGCTTAGCGTACTTGTTCAAGGCCAAAACAAAATTACATATATAGCCAATTAAAATTGGAGGATCATAAATTTAAGTCTTGATAGCTAGACTAAGGGACAAATTGACCCTATTCACCCCAACGGTCTCTTTCAACTTAAGAAGATTAGCATAGGAAAGAAAAGAGAGTGTCAAATTGTTCAAGGTTCATGCTGGTCACCCCATTCAAAACCCACATGGCCACATTAGTCCAAAAATGAGTCGAAGATGTCCCTTAGAAAGTTCAGAATTTAAAGTACTCCTCAAACCCAGTGACCCTTTGACAGTTCAATTAGCTATGTAGGAGGAGTTGAATAAATCCTCCTTCAAGAGCTTTCGTGTTCTACTATTACTAGCAAGCTAAAGAATTTCTTCAGTTCCATGATGAACAAGATATTTTGCTAACAGAATCAAAGCATTATGTACGGCTCTATAAATACTTTCACAAACGGTATGCCTTCAGAGAATCATCACAATTACAGATCATATAGTTAGGAAACTTAGGCATTTCTTTGACTATTAAAATGATAAAAAAAAAAAAAAAAACACAACAACAACAACACCTAAGTTTCAACCAGAAGATTATTGTAGAGTCGGAAGTTGATTGATTCGTTGCAGGATATTAGTGAAAGAACACTCAAAAATCTAGTTAGCCTGAATTTTTCAGTTGGTTACAGTTACAACTGCATCCCCATTCTAAAAAAAATAAAAAAATAAATAAATAAAAAACCAGATGCTAAGGCTATGATGGTTGGATGAAGATAAGTTAGCTTCGCAAAACAAAGTAAAAAAAAAAAAAAAAGTCCCAAGGGTTTGGTATGGGTTCAAAACATGTCGTCAATGGAAGCAAAAAAATTCACAAATTGTTTGCCCAGATGTCGCACCTCAAATCTCCAAATCAACCTTAAGGACCCACCAGATTATACCACACTTTTTTTGCATATAAATTATCCATTTAAAGCATATGCAATCAAGGGAGGTAAACAGATCTGCTCATACAAATCCATTAGACAACTGTAGATTCAGATTAAGAAAAATCCTAGATCCCAAAAGCCTCGATGCATTTCTGTTTAAGGACTTTAATCTCCTTGAACTATGCAAATGGATCTACAATTTGCAAATACTCCACTTTTTTAGACTAATATCTTGACTTCAGAACAACTCTTTTGACTTTTGAGTAGTTCAATCACAGGGATTTATTTTTTTAATAATAATAATAATAATAAAAATAAATAAATAAATAAAAAAAACCACATTAAAAAAGGAACCTCGCCTCCAATGATAAAAAATAACAGAACTAACGTGAGGGAATTGTAAACTCAAGTATTAGGTTACTACTGTGCATAGACAACGAGGCTTAGATTCATATACGTCAAGGATTTCTTAAGCCCATTTCCAACATTTGTATCTGTCACAAATCACCCATAGAACTAGCAGAAGGCCAGAAGAGAGAATTTGTCGCACAATAAACAAATGCAAAAGCACTCAGTTATGATCATTGACCTTTTGAAGCTCATATATTGCATTTCCATACTAGGTTCAGAAAAGTAATAAACACATAATAGATCACATAGATAAAAGAGTATGTTGATGTACAAAGTTGTTACACAGGGAAAAAGAAAACCCCCAACAAACTCACCTTGTAAGGCATCCAACGCTGTTGCAGCATGTGCGGGACTCAAAAAGTCAACAAAACACAGCACAATTGGATCTCCCCCAGACTACAAGAAAAACTACAGGTGAGTGCTGAACTGCTGATCCATGAAAAAAATGCTAAAAAAAGGGAGAAGTAGATAATAGACATACATGTCTTGCTTCCTTGGTCACAAGCCTGACCTCCTTGTAGCCCACAAAGGGACGAAAGATGTCTGACAAAAGAAGTGAAGGAAACAAGAAGTTTCGAGAGGGGAGGGATAGAAAACCGGAAATAAATGGCGAGTATGAAAATGGCAGTAATTAATTATTTTAAAAAATAAAATTTTGCAATGATAAAGGATACGAGCCACTTCCCTGCGCGTACAGTTTGCAGGCAAGCCCTCTACATAGAGAGTACTACTAGCATCAGGTGGAAGGGAAACCTCCAACCTTCCAGATCCAAGGTTGGAGCCCCGCCCTTTGACGGACATCCCAGGGTCCATAATTCCAATACCTGTCATTCGAGGGTCGCTACTGATTCGTGGATCAGTTACCATACGTGGATCGCTTAACATACGTGGGTCACCAGACATGCGAGGATTGTTTCCATGTCGAGGATCATTTCCAAGTCGAGGATCGTTTCCAAGTCGAGGATCATCAACAGCATGACTAGATATTCCAGAGCCAGATAATCTTCCTGAATCTGCCCCAGGGTAAAGTTGCTGGACAATATGATGTGTGTTAATGTCAAAACAGATCAAGGCCAAAACACATACTGAGTAAGATTCAGAAATATTACCGTGCTACGTAGGTAACGATCATAAGATTGGTTTATGGACTCGGTATCTCTAATTGCACGTTGAGCTTGCCTGTCATCATCACGAGAGTAATAACCAGCTACATCCCGTCCAGATGGAACATCTACAAAAATGCTAAAGTTTCAGCATATTATACATTATAAATTACCAAAGAAAGCAATCAACCAAAGAAATCAATCAATCAATCAAAGCCTTAATCCCATAAATGGGGTCGGCTACATGAACCAAAAGTGATTATTCTGACAAAAATCTTCCTCATCCATCCATTACAATCAAATATCTCACCCTCATGCAAATCCATATACTTCAAATCCTTCCTTACTCCTTCCAACCAAGTCATTTTCGGTCTCCCTCTCCATCATTAAACCTCTTCACGGTCCCACTCTTCCACTCTTTGTACCAGGGCACCCTCAAGTCTCCATCTTTTAAAAAATAAAAATAAAAATAAAATAAAATAAATAAAGTGGGGTTGGGATAAGAAGTTATCAAAACGCATGCATGTGTGTTAACACTGGAGTAGCATAACATGAGCGCTTATCCAAGTTAGTAATCAGTATATGCAAAGCTATATAGTGACCAGTTCGCAGGAATCTATATATTCTTTAAATATAAAGGTGAAGTATACAACTTTCAACGATGAAGCACAAAGTTGTATAGCAAATTAACAATGACCATATTATTAGTAGACCGCAACTTTTTATTGTGTTCAATTTTCAATGAATACTGAATCGCAATTAAGGATTTAAAAGAGGTTAGCAATGATTGAACAGAAAAATTAGAGCGAATTCTTGAATTTCCTCCACACCCATTCCCAAGCCATCCAACAACCCTTTATTACTTGCATGTTGAAGGCATATAGCTGAAGTTTTTTACAACCCAAACAATTTATTCAATAAGCCATACAACGAATCCATTACAAGCTGGAAACGATTATAAGTTTTGTAGCTTTTACAGAATCATCTATACTTCACTCAATCAAGAACCAATTAATTTGTATATATAAAGAAAACTTTATCAATCCATTATGTATCTGTTCTTGAAAACTCGTCGGCTTCAACAATCAAAGATTTTACAATTTGGCAGCAAATGTAGACACTTTAAGCCAATGTTGACATTATCAGTCTTAATTAAATATCTTTGGAGCTCTAAACTAAATTCACTACCAATCAATTTGAACAACAAAAACCACTTCTTTAAAGACTAAATCAAAGAATCCTAAAAACATAGCCAGAAAAACTGCATATACCCAAATAATATGTATCAATTTGAGAAAAATTAAAACCTAATAGAAACACCAAATCGTGTAAAATTGTAAATTAACAAAATAATAATACAAAAGGAAAATAAAGAACACAACTTTATCAAGCATCAAGAAAAATAAGCTCGAAGAATCAGGGAAGTGAGATAACTGGAAATTTCCTTTTTTTTAAAAAAAAAAAGAAGAATTGTAAATACAGAAAACCCTAGAATTAAAAATGGAAAATGGAAAAACAAAAAAGGAAAAGAAAGAAAGGGTACCATAATCGGAGCGAGGGCGCTTAGCGGGGAGTGATGAAACGGCGGGCGGTTGCCTTGAATCGTTGTACCTCCAGTATTGGTCCGACATTTTTTACCAAAACTAACAACAAAGAAGAGAAGAGTTTGCTGAGGCAGATGTTGGCTTCAACCGCTTAGTGCTAATTTTGCTTTGTTTGTGTTATTTTTCTTTTTCCTCTAGATTTTATGATTTACTACGTGTACAAAATGGGGCATATCCTCATATTTTCGATAAATTCAAGTTAATCTCTAAAATAAATGATGTGAATAAATCTCCTCTCACAATTTATTCATTTTCTTTTATTTTTTAAATGACTAGGGTGGCCAACGCGCGCAACGCGTGCGACATGGCTAACCAATGCGGAGAAGTTATCAAGCCTTGTCTTTGTACTAAAGATTTTAGCTTGTTCGTAGTTATGATTAGTAAGCATTTTGCATGTAAAATGTCTTATGCAATCTTTAAATACCTTTAAACTGGTAAGAATAAATACAATGAACCGTTAGAAAGAATAATAATCGACTATTAAGTTCAAAATCATATATCCTTAACCTTTTCTTATGTATTTTAAAGAGTAAAAAATAGCATTTACATGTTTTTCTTATAGAGTTTAGATGATTCTCTAGAATAAAATTTTGATACATATTACAAGCTGAAAAACAAAGAGAAACAAACAAAGGAATAATGAAATTTTGCATCAATTTGTTCTTGGGTACCATGAGTAGTTAGGACTCTCAGGTGTTAAATTTTAGTTTTGAGTTTGGATTTTGATCAAGTCCAATGCAACGTACATTTATACTTAGTATTGCTGTTAAGTCTAATACGATAATCTAATATAAAGTTTGGTAGCTTGAACCCAATGTAAAAATCCAAAATAATAAAATACGGAGTAGCTTTTTTTTCCCCTCTATTCGTATATTGGTCCAGGGGCTTTATTTTTTATTTTTTAATACTCTGTAATTAAACCCAATGTAAGAAGAGCTGAGTTATCCAATGCAGGCAAGCTTGAGCTCAACTTAATTCAACTCAACAGTACAAAGAAATACAGTAAATCATTAAACTGATACTCATTAGATGCAGAGCATATAGCATTATCAGGATGCATCATATCAGAATCTCACCAGAAAAGTGGTATCTTCTCTTCTAACAAGTAACGATAAACCTTTAAGGTAGATTAGGATTGATAAGAGAACTACTCACACCTCCTTTCCTTCAAATATAGAATATACATCCAGAGCCTAAGCACAAAGGCATTCTACTCCCTTTAAAAAACATGTACCTTGAAAAATTGCATCTTTTAAAGTTGTGGACTCTCATTTTACGCTCTTAATCCCAAAATTATAATCGAAATTTAGATATCATTTGCATCTCATAACAACGAATCTAATAGCAATGTTGAAAGCCGCCTTTGTAAAATTCTACAATCCCCAAAATCAAAACCAAAGTACAATCTAAAGATCATAAATAAAAATCCTAAAAAATCTTATAGGGAAAAAATTAAAGTACCTTTTGATCGAATTTGTGGTAGCGCTTAACTGGACAAACCACAAAGTCACTGACAAATATTCATGAAATGGTCAAATTGAAAGAACAGAAAGAGACATGAGGGGCTTCCATGGGGCAGTGCTCGGAAGTTGGTATATTTCCCTCGCTTATAGTGTTTGTGGTTCTCCATTCACTTCAATTATCTACTATATTTTTTTCTTTCAAAATTCTATCAAATTTAGGAAAAATAGATGAATACCCGGACCCTAAAATTTAAAAAGGATAATACCTTAAAATCTAAAATCAATCAAAACCTTATAAAACAATTGAAATTAAAATTGAAAAATATCTTTGAAGATTGTCAGTGACTTTGTGGTTGAAACTTGAAACCAATAATTCAACCGATTGAATGTGAAGATGAAAAAGTACGTAATAACATAGAGAAGATATACAATATTAAAAAAATCTTATAATATTAAATAGGGGCAAATGCATAAATACACATTTTTGGGGTTATAATTGTCACAACACTATTCATAAGAGCAAGATTCTACTTTTTATAAAGTAGGGATAAAAGTAAAATAATAAAGTGGCACGGATTTCAACACATAAAGTTGTGAGAAGAGATAAATTAGATTGTTAATCTATGAGATCAACTGGGGCTCCCTCTATATTTTGGAAAATATTAAAAAAAAATTAATAACAAAAATTATATTTTAAATATGGAAAGTTGATTTTTGATGTGGAAAATTAATTTTTATAACACCATGTGGTATAAAAATTATTTTGTTCTTTTGCAAGCAGCCGCACTGGTGCCTTGTCGTACAGAAACGTGTTGTGTATTTTTATTTTTTCTTTTGTAGATGATTATTGAATTAATGATAAGGTAGTTACTGAACGTTTATTTTTTAAAATATTAGTCAATGTTATAAAGGTTACTTTATTTGTTCATTTGTAAGTAGTCAAACAATGTGGCTAGTCCATATTATAAATTCCTCATTTGAATGAATTAAAAAGGGATAATGCATTATGTAGCTCTAAAGGCTAAAGGATAAACATTTAATATAGGAGTATTCTAATTTGAAACTCCATGTTAATTTAGAAATGTATGACAAATTTACACGTAAATTAGTGTAAATAATGTTATATTTTCATCTGATTTTTCTCTTTTTAGCATTTTCTTTTAAAAAAATAGGTTAAACTAATTTGGTGCGATACTATTGCACCGGATCCCTTTAATGACCACATAGTTGGGATTATTTAAACCTTAGTTGAGATTATTAGAAATAAAATGTCCATGATTGGAAAATTAGAGTATATTTGTTCAAAACAAATTGAATTCAATAATAAATCATTCTTTTTTTAAAGAAAAAACCTTTCGATAATCTATGATGACTTGTACATGAGTGATAAGAAAACTGAATTTTATTAAAATGAACTTATTTTTACTGAACTGAACTTATTTTTAGTGAAGTGAAATTAATTTTACTTAATATTATTTTTTAAGATGAAGTAACCGGGCTTAATCTTGATTTTATTAATTGAAAAACAGGGGAAAAAACGAAAAGAAAAGTCGTTGGATTATTACATCATTCTTATCCTCACTATGCCATAAAGATTAAAAAATAACACCCCATTTATTTTGCATATCAATGATCTATCAGGTCTTGGATCAGTATTTGATAATCTGTAATCTGGTTTAATTGATGGCTAACTCAAATAATAACCGATTTTATAGCTGCAATAATTGTTGGAACCCTGTTGCCTTAAAAGAGGACCTCCTTTCTAAGGCTTTTGTGGTAAGTTGCTTTGTTTTCTTCATTTTATTTTTATTTTGGTAATAATAAAGTTAACATTTTTATTTGATTAATATAGTTTGATAAACAGGCCTGCCATTTTTTTTTTTTTTTTTTTGATGGAAAGTCCCAACTTAGGCACTTAGCTTTCATTACTTGGGAGATCAGAATTTAACAAAGCAACAATACACTCAGGAAAAGTCGAAGACCAAACCTGCTTCCCTATAGCCCAAGGCATACAACGAGCAAGCTCATGAGCACTCTATTGCCCTCCCTCCTAACAAAGCTCAACCTAATCGACTCAAACAAACTACTAATATGATAGACATCATCTAATATAAGGTGAAAAGTACTACTCCCTCTTTCTCGTGACGAAACCGCATCAATCAAACTAAGACAATCGCTCTCCATGACCACATCATATTATTGTTAGTATGTTATTTTTTCAATCTAGTATTTGAAAATTTAGTGTTAATTATGTTTAAGTCTAAATTTGAGAAGCAACTCATTACTGGCAAGTTCACAATAGCTGATATATATTGCATCAAATGTGGCCAAGTTTTGGGTTGGAAATATTTTCGAGCCCATGATCCAAAGCAAGCATACAAGGAAGGCAATTACATTATAGAGCGTGCTAAGCTATTCAAAGGAAATTAATCCCGATTAAAGTTAACAAATACCCTATTTGATTATCACTTTTGAAATAATGGTTTGGTGATGATGTTACAAAATTGTCTTGTTGTATCTAAAATGACTTTGTGAATGAAGAATAATATGTGAAAACTTACCACTCATTATTATGTGCAATTTAATTTGTCATATGGTTCAATTTCTCAACATAATTAATTATTCCGTATAACAAGGTGTTTGATAAAATTATAGGTGATAATATTGGATAGTTGGACCACTTAATTCTTGAATATGTAAGTTATTTCGCTTCTAAGCTATGAGTTACGGAGTACATTTGATTTATGGTCGTGAATCTCATGATATACAGTATTTTGCTATAAGAGAATAATTACTTCATTGATTAAAATTCATTTGACATATGCAAAAAAAGTCAAATAACAAAGACATATACTACGTTAATCAGAGCTTAAAATATGATCGTTGTTTTTAGATTTGGCGTTTCTGCATACCGTATCCCATATTAGTATATTACTATTTGGGACAATCTTTTATGAGAGGGTTATCCAACTAATTGTAGTAAGAGAAATGATAACATATATTGCACAAATCCCTATCAATGAACTAGTTTGAAGTAGAAAATGAAATAAATATCTCACAAGATAAATAAAAACACAACTTATGACTAATCACACCGTGCGACCACTTGTAAAAGAATAAAGTAACCTATATAACACTGATAAAATCATATAAACGAGGTTTATATAGATAGCATTAAAGACAAATTGAGGCACTTAAATACACATAAAGACAAGAGTATTAATCATGTGTTTTAATTTCGTCAAGTACAAGTATTTCTTTTTTGAGTGCAATGAATCTTTTGATTATCTAAACAAAAGTTTACACTTTGCACGCCAACAATCTTTCGAGTTTCTTGTTCATTGTTTGCGCTTTTGCTTCGTCACTGTCATCAATTCTTCATCTTCATTCCCAGGTAAAATCCCCAAAATTTACCTAATTGCTTTTATCATGTATTTGAGATCCAAAAGCTTCCATTTTTCTGCACAATCTATAATCTTTACTGCTGTAAAACTGGATTTGATCATTTTTTAAATTATCGTTTGTGCCCTCTTGTTATAATTCATGATTTTTCAACTGGGGTTTGCTTATTAATTTTTTTAATTAATGGGTTTTTTGTGGGGTTTGCTCAAATTGTTAGGCTTGGAAGTGTGAATTGTTTTGAAGGCTTGGAATTTAATTAGGGGTGAAGTAATTGGATGGCTCAATTGGGCGGACCAAGAGTGTATAGCTGCTATAATTGTCGAAATCAAGTTTGTCTTCATGATGATATTATCTCCAAGGCTTTCCAGGTAAATTATCCTCATATTTCAATCATTAATTTTAATTGTATTGCCAATTCAGTGTTAGCTTGTTTGGATTATCATGTTGTACAATTCTTTATTACTGTTACTAATTGTTGTTTTTGATTAATTAATTGATTAGATTGCTTTAGTTGGTTAATAAACCTTTGTTTGTTTAGTAAAAAGTTCTTGTATTTGACTGTTAATCAGCGAATAAGCTTATTATTTAATTTGAGGGGTTTGTGAGATTTTGTGTTTTGATGAATATTGTGATAATGAGATATAATGTGGTAGTGATTATTGTGTAAAGTTTGAGACTTTCATGGGAATTTGAGGTGAGAGTGTGTCCAACTAGTGTGATTCTGTTGCTAGGGAAGAAATGGTCGAGCATTTTTGTTTTCCCATGCTATGAATGTTGAGGTTGGGCCTAAGGAAGATAGACAGCTTATGACTGGCCTTCACACGGTTGCTGATATCAATTGTGCTGATTGTCGACTAGTATTGGGGTGGAAGTACTTGCGTGCTTATGAACCATCGCAAAGGTATAAGGAAGGGAAGATTTTTTTCGAGAAGTCCAAAATTGTCAAGGAGGATTGGTAGCCTGGTAACCAGGTTTTCCTTGTTCCATCCTATTCTCTCATTGTTCTTTTGGAAGTGTGAAAATGTCTTTCTGTTTATCCTGTATAGAAGTTGTTCTGATCAAGTGTTCATTCCTGACACACTATGTGCACTTCAGTGTGCCATCAAGTGTTGCCTTCATCTATTGTGAATAAAATTGGATTGTTCTTTTGAATAACGTTGTTGGATTGTTTGCCAATTGCTTTTATATAAATTGAACTATTTCATAATATATTATACTTGTTTGCTAATTACTCAACGCTTGTCATCTTTACTCTTTCTTTTTTTAACCATAAATTATACAAAGCACCATTTATTCTCTTAGCTTCTGATTAGGCATCTGTTATACGGTGCTTGAGAAATGAGAATACACCCTTCTGCATATTCAATGTTTGTATCAGTCTAGTCATTACCCTGAGTTACGAACGATATGGTAAACATGATCTTTCTTAATCAAGTTAGTTTTAGTATTCAAGGGAGGAGAAGTCTCTCTCTGATGAGAGTGATGACACCCTAGGATCCACATCCACATGTACAATCTACGTCTTTCCCCACAACAAACCAGTCCAATGTTTTAAGGTCCTTCATTATCCCCAAGCCCTTTGGCATATAAGTCGTTTTGACATGATAAGCTCGCCAGTCACTTCATGCATTTCAAAACATTCAATGCTGCAAAACTCATCTTCCTTGGCTCTTTGGAAGAAGCCTTATATGACCAACTAAAGCACATTTTCTTTCCCATCATCCTCTAAGGCTCCAAGCTTTAATTTTGTGCCTTAAAAGATCCCAAAGCGGTCCAAAGACGGATCATATCATATGCGTCAAATAGCATCCCCTTTGGAATTAAGGAGCAGTAAGCACACAAAGCTTACTTCTCTATCTAGGTGATCATAGCTTAAATGTCTGCATGATCATGTCACTCCCCTCAAAGAATCAGTTATTAAAGCCTAATTGATTGTGGGACTATGTGCCGTCTTACGACCCATATGACACTTTTCTTAGTTTTCTACATACTGAGGTAAGTAGTTTCCCCCTGTCACCTCCTCGTATTGCCTCCATCCTTGTATTCTTGTTTCTAATTATTTTTTTTAAACTTAATTCATTTTAATAACAGTAGCAATTATTGTTAATTTTTTTCCAGTCCCCCCCCCCCTTTTTTTTATTTTTTTTTATTACGAAGTGTATATTAATTTTTAGCTCAATTTTATTTTTGGTATTACCCTTATTACCATATGACCCCTATAATACCACTATAATTACACCTTTTAGTACTCTTTTTGTTTCTTTTATTTTTTTTCCCTTAATTACTAAAATAATTTTTTTACATTCTCACTTTGTCTTTATATCTACTCACATATTTCAATATTTTCTTAAATTGTGTATCTGTAAAATATAAAAGAATATAATAATAATAATGTACAAAATGTACATAATATCAAAATAACTAAGATACCTAGAAAAGAAAGCTTTAATTATACAGAGGACACACGTACATACAGTAATTTCTAGGCTGGGAATAAGGAAGCTGGAGGCAACTCAGTCCACGATTTTAGCATTTTCTCTACTTAGTGGTAGAGTTGTCCTCCATTTACTCCACTTCATCTAATTCTTCAAGTTGTAGAAATTTCGGATGAGGGAGCCTTCCTAAAGAGCATAGGGATTTGCATGCTTTACAATGTGTAATATAAATTCCAATCAAATTAGGAAGGTGTCTCTCTAACTGATCCTGATCCACCATCCAACCTGGTAACCTCTCCCCTCCATAGCCACTTATTTTGAGGACCTTTAGATTGCAAGGGGGCCGGAGACATTCTAACACCCTCTCATCCTCTTTTGTGCCATTCTTGAAATATATAAACAACTTTAAGAGGTTCTTTTTCATCTCCAAGTTTACTGCACTGATCTCAGATGACATTATATACTTTGACTCCCTACGCACCTCAATATACAAATCTCCTCTTAGATTGTTCAGCTGATTAAGATCTGCCAATCTGCCCATAATATTAAACTTTGAGTCAGTCAGTTCACCCACTATAAACACATCCAAAGTTCTAAGATTTGTCAAATTCCCTAAACCCATGGGCATATGCGTCAACTTCTCACACCCTTTCAACTTAAGGTGTCTTAGATTCACCAACTTGCTCATATCCCTTGGCAACTCCTCAAGGAAAGAACAATAATTCAAGTAGAGTGATTGTAAATTCACTAGACGTGTGATTGTATTTGGGAGTTTCACTATTTCAGTTGCAGACAAATTTAGAAACCGCAAGCAGATTAATTCACCTACAGATGTTGGCAATTCTTTTATCCCCATCCCATATAGGTCCAATACTCTTAAAGGATGAAATCTTGAAATTAATTTCTCATACATAGACAAATTCCTCACCTTTAGCTTTTCACTACCTATTGAATTACCTCTGACTAATGATTTTAGGCGTTTGATTTTGGATACTGAAGAAGGCAGTTCCCAATATTCTTTCTTGTAGCCTGTTGCAGCTTTCCAGAAAGACAGATGACGAACCCTTTCATCAATATCATCTGTGTTTGAATCTACCACCTTGTGTTTGAACCCTGCTAGTCTGAGTACGAGCTCATACATCAAATCCTGCATCGTAAATATTGTATCATTAAAATCAGATAGTTGGAGAAACCCACAATTATGCAAGTTGATCATATATTCTTCCCCTGCCTCCTCCAAGCTTTGATTCTCATATTTTGGCTTTATATAATCCAAAGCAATCCAACGATGGATCATTTCATCTTTAAGAAATGAACCCCCTTTTTGGAATAAGGCACAGTAAGTAACACAGAGCTTCTGTGTTGCATCCAATTGATCGAAGCTTAATTTAAGCTTATGCAAAACGTCACGCCCATAGGATGCAAAATTATTAGCAAGCTGTTCATCTCTAAAGGCATGCCATTCCTGAATAGTACGTTTCCCTGCTAAGAGGCCTCCTATACTTTGTGTAACAAGGGGCATTTTTGGACACATTTTAGCAATTTCCTTCCCAATTGCTTCCACACCCGGCTCCTGCCACTGTGTAAAAGCAATCTTTTGGAAGAGAAGCCAAGAGTCATTTTCTGTTAAATTTCCAAGCATGTAGGGATTGACAGTACTCATGATTTCGGCAACTTTATGATTATGTGTCGTAATGAGAACCTGACTCCCACCAGCTGCATGTGCTGATAACAGGTCTCTCAGATCAATCCACTTCTGCCTCAGACTGTCATGATCCCAAATGTCATCGACAACTAGCAAAAATTTCTTCCCTCCAATTGCTTGTCGAAAGTGATGATACAGTTGATTGTCACATAGGTTGGGAGGCAGTTCCCCTGCACCACATGCTATTATCTTCTCCAACATCTTCTTGACATCAAAATCCCGAGTGGCTGAAACCCAGAATTGAACATCAAAATAACGCTTCATCCTCTCATCATTATATACATACCAAGCCAATGCTGTTTTCCCTATTCCACTTATCCCAACAATGGAGGAAATAGAGAGGGTCTTTGAAGCCACTGCCTCGGAGTCCTCAGACATCATGCTTACAATGTGGTCCCTGTCTCTGTCCCTCCCAACAACAAAATTGGTAAGAACATGAGACGAATCGGCTCTTTGAATGCTCCTTGTCTGTGTTGGCAAGCAGCAAATGCGACCAATCATAGCATGGTCTATTACAATGGAATTAAGTTTCTTCTAAATATCCTCAACTTTCCGAGCATCTTTAAATCGTGCAACAAGCTGATTTGATGCAGAGAAAAAGGACCGTAACTCTTTTATGTAATTACTTCCACCCATGACTTGTTTCTGCAATACTTTAGAAGCTCTTACATCCAACAAGTCAAGTAACCTGTCAAGCTGACAACTGAGCTTCTCCAGGGTGTCTTGTTGAGAATTGGTGTACTGCTCTGACATTGATTCTGCATCAAGGAGTGCAGCTTCAATGAGAGTCTTTGTATGCTGAAGCTTTTTCAGCTCGGAGTCGAGGTCCATTACATAATTAATTGCTTCAAAACCTTTGTTAACCAATTTCTTCACAGCAAGATCAACTATTGCAGTCTGTACTGCTTCAGCCATCTTTTTTTTTTTGGAGGGGTGGATTATTGGAGAAGTTTAAAGAAAACAAAAGTTAGGCTACGAGAATGTTTGGTTATCATAAAAAAAAATAAAAATAATAAATAAATAAATAATGAAAGGGCAGTGATTTTTATTTTATGAATGAAAGCTTGAGGACTGGTTGAAGGATTATTATTGGAGAAGATTAAAGGGGAAAAAAAAAAAATAAGTTACGAGAATGTTTGGTTCAATTCACGTAAAGGCAGGGGAATGGAAATAAGAAAGGGCAATGATTAGAAGCTAATATTGTGGTTTGTGAATGAAAGCTTCAAGGACTTGTTGAAGGATTATAAAAAAGGAATCTGTTAGATGCTTCGTCGAAATATCTAAGCATATTTATTGTATGCTACACAACTAACTAGCTTAGAATTATAGGCAAAATGTAGCTTTCATAAATTATACTGGGGCATTGTTATTGGTATGTTAGTAATTATAATGAAAATTGAAAACTCGAAAGTGATCTTTCATTTACCAGTACCACCCCTCTTTCCTTGCAATTGTGATTTTGAAATCAGCTGAAATTTCAAAAGGAATTGAATGTCGACCTTTATGAAAAAAAAAACTAAGGGTCTGTTTACTTCAACTTAATTTCAGTCCAGTTCAGTTCAATTTAATTCTTAATTTTCTTCTCTCATAAAATATTCATTTCAGCTCTATTCAGCTAGTTTTTTATTTGTTCGGTTTTTTGCAAGAGAAGTTGTTGATAAATAGGTCTAGCTTTGATAAACTCTTATCCATTCTAATGTATTATTGCTCTTTCAATGTACACTTCTAATCACAGGAAAAGTCTGTAAGCTGCATCACATCTAAGCATGTCATGGTCCAAAATATTATACTCAAAAGTCTTGTTTTTACATTAAAGGTTAGGATAGGCTCATGCGGTGATGCCACGTTAGTCTTCCTTGTAGAAATTAGCCTCACCGTGAAGTGACATCAGTGGTTTAATTTTTTATTCAGTAGACTTTTCAAACTATTTTTGAGATTTTTTGTTGGAGCACTGCTTTAATACCACAAGTTCTGTGAAGAATGATACGGAGTATATATGTGAGTCTAAACTACAAAATAGAGCACCAAATATTAATAACACGTAAATTGAGATATTTTTTAATACTAAAGAGGGGGCAAAAGGTAGAATTTGCAATACTAAAAGCTTAGATTGTAGAATTTTCCAAACTAATAAAAAATGTCCAAAAACTTACATCTAAATTTCAAAAATATTTAAATTTATAGTGTTCAATAACTTTTATCAGTGGACATGTAAATCTGGATTCACATGATATCTTCTCAAATTAAATTTGGGGCTATAAAATGCCATAATACCATGTGACACGCGTCCGTAAACCATGCTAGCTAAGCAACCTTTTTGTTGACTTGGAGGAATGCAAGGTTCCAACATCCAAGTCTGCAATAATACACCTTTTTTTTTTTTTTTTTTTTGAATAGCTGCAATAATACACCTAGATGGCTAATAAGTCTTACAAAGCCTTCATAACCACAACCATAACCAGGATACAGAAACGTCGTTTCTCATCCACCAGCAATCAACAGCTACGAATATTTTTATTTTTGTTATTAAACAACTGAATTAGAGAGAGATGGCTGAAGCGATAATGGCTGAAGTCGTGTCAGTTATTGTGGAAAAACTAGGTTCCGGAGCATACAAACAAATCTTGTTTGCAAAGGATCTGGATTCCCACATCAAAAGGCTCCAGGAGCTTAAGACTACCATTGAAGCTACATTTCTTGATGCTGCTTCCTTGGAGTCTTGGAGTAATTCGCAACGAGACGTGCTTGACAAGCTCAATCATGCACTGGCTGAGTTAGATGATTTCTTAGATGAAAAAACAGCTAGAGCCAAACAGCAAGAAATTATTTACGGAAACAAGTTCGTCAAAGCAGTACGTTCATTCTTTTCTCAATCAAATCCTCTTGTTACTCCCTTGAGAGATGCTAAGAAACTCAAGGGTATCATCAAGAAGTTTGAACGCATTGCAAGAGATCATGCTCAGTTTGGTGCCATAGTTAGCATACCGCCTGTAACCCAAGCACGGGCACTAAGCACTGATGCAACATGGTCTCAGGTTATCACTGATGTGGTCATCGGAAGGGATGGAGATAGGGACAGCATAGTCAGCATACTCTCTGATGACTCAGACTCGCTTGTTTCAGAGACTCTCTCTGTTGCCTCCATTGTTGGCATTGGAGGAGTGGGAAAAACTACATTGGCTCAGTATGTTTACCATGATGAAAGACTGAAAGGTTGTTTTGATGTTCAGTTTTGGGTTTCTACAAATCAAAACTTCGATGTCAAAGAGGTGGTGGAGAAGATATTAGAGTCTAGTTCTGACGAAATGCCTTTCAGTCGCAAGGTAGATAGGCTCTACAATCAGTTCCTTACAGTAATCGGCGGGAAGAAGTATCTGCTTGTTTTGGACAACAATGTGAGCAAGATGGTTTGAGGCTGAAGTGGCTAAAGCTGAGGAACTTGCTAGCTGTTGGGGCCAAGGGAAGTAAGGTTCTCATTACCACGCGTTTTCCAACAGTTGCTGGTATAATGGACTCAGCTGGCCCTTATATGCTAGGGGATTTAACAGAACGTGACTCTTGGCTTCTCTTTCAAAAGATAGCATTTACGCAGTGGCAAGAGCCGGGTGTTGAAGCGATAGGGGAGGAGATTGCGAAAATGTGTATGAATGTGCCACTTGTTATACGCAGTATAGGAGGCCTCTTAGCGGGTAAACAAACACTTCAGGAATGGAAGACCTTCAGAGATGATCAACTTAAACATTTCTCCTCCTATGGGCGTGATGTCATACAGACACTTAAACTTAGCTTCGATCAGCTGGATGCAAGGCAAAAACTTTGTGTTGCTTATTGTTCCTTGTTCCCAAAGGGTTTTGTATATGATGAAGATCAGATGGTTCGTCTCTGGATCTCCTTAGGATATGTTGTGCCTCAGTATAGAAGCCAAAGCTTGGAGGAAGCAGCTAGCGCATACATGCTCAACCTGGTAAACTGTGGCTTTTTCAAGATAGAACAAACCTATGACTTTGGCACTGGAGTCCGTTTGACAATGCATAACATGATGCACGATCTCGTGCTCTCTGTTTCTGGGTTCAGGTATAAGATGGCAGATTCAGACACACGTGAATTTGATGAACAAGTTCGTCATCTGTCTTTTGGTGGTACAATATCAGAATCTTGGGTAGTCCCTTCCTCTCTATTCAGAACTGAACATCTGCAATCATTCCTCTTAGTAGTGTCTAGGCACTGTAAATTGACACTAAAGAATTTGTCAATCAATGATAGATCAATTTTGAGACTTAAATCTTTGAGGGTATTGGACCTGCATAGGCTGGGGTTAAAGATCGTGCCAAGATCTCTTGGTGAGCTACAGTGCTTGCGTTATCTCAATTTGTCATACAATCCTATGGTTAAACTCCCCAATTCAATCACAAGGCTCGTGAATTTGTTGTCACTTGATTTGTTTGGCTGCTACAAACTTGAAGAGTTACCAAAGGACATGAGTAGGTTGGTAAGGTTGAGACATCTCACAGTTGGATACTGTAATGCATTGAGTCATATGCCCAAGGGGTTGGGGAACTTGACAGATCTTCGAACACTCGACATGTTCATACAAGGAGAGCAGAATTCGGAGAACGGATCAAAGGCCGACTGTGTAGGAGGGTTAGCAGAGCTAAATAGCCTAAAAAATCTAATGGGAAAGTTAACATTACGGATCTTTGGGAGGTCAATGGATACAGTTTCAGAAGCTAAGGCAGCAAACTTGAAGAGCAAAGATAAGCTTTTAGGCTTGAATTTAGAGTTCATTGATGGTAGCCTAAAACATGATGAGATAGTTATAGAAGACCTCCAACCCAATTCTAATTTAAAAGAACTGTTGATATATGGTTATGCAGGAGAGAGGTTACCAAGCTGGATGTTGGATCGCCTTCACTTTTGGCTTCCGAATCTTGTTAGCATTTGGATACTCCAGTGCGAAGGCTGCAGATACCTTTGCTCCTTTGGGAGGCTTCCTCATCTTAAAAATCTGAATCTTTTAGATTTAGACAATGTAGAGTATATTGAGAATTGTTCTGGGAGCAATGAAAGTAGTAACGACATCTTGCATAAGCACCATGCTCCCTTATTTCCATCACTCGAGAATCTCTGGCTTCGGAACATGCCTAAATTAAAGGGATGGAAGAGAATTATTTCAAATAGTGAAGCAGATTCAAGACAACCCACCCAGAATAATCTCCTTGAGCGAAAACTGGCATTCCCCAGATTGAAGCATATGCAGGTCGACAAAATAAAGTGGGTATTATTAATCACAGGGGAGTTTAGAGGTTTTACCTTGGAACAGCTAACAGTAAGCAGATGTGAAGACCTCAATGCCATACCAGAGTGGACAACCAACCTTTCCAGCTTGAAGATGCTTACACTTGAAAATTGCTCTAAGAAGCTACAGGAGAGGTACTTGAAGCCAACAGGCGAAGACTGGCCCAAAATCCAGCATATCCCTACTATAAGCATTTTCGGGTCTGGGGGTCCATGTTTACAGCGTGAGTATGAAAAGGCGGGTTGACACTTAACAAAGGGTCACAACTCACAAGCTTGACTTTAGCTTCAAGCATTATTTCTTTTTTCTGATTTTCTTTTTTGTTTATTTTTCTCTATTTTTTCTTCTCAGGGCTTTTCAGAGGCGAGTTCTGATTTGAAATCTATCTCGCCAAGTTTTGTTTATTTACTTATTTTTAACAAAATTGATGAAATAAAAAAAATAAAAATAAAAATTTACACACCCTTGGATGCACCCTAGATTTAAGATAAATATTCTTGAATTCTAAGAGATTAGGCTTGAAACAGATTCAACTTGTTCTTAAACTCTAGTAATTTTACATTCTCATATACATAAAGCACTATAGTACAATACAAGTACATTGTAATTTAATAGTCAGAAATTACTTTGGCCAATGTATTCTATCAGTACATATATTTACACTAGCATGATGATTAATATAGATAAAGCAGTAGCAAAAGTTAAAAAGATTTAACTCAAAAATAGCCAAAAGCAGGCCATGGATCTAACACATAATAGCCAAAAAGCAGGCAAAATCACAACCTCATGGACTAACAACCAACAGCATGGAGATTTCATGATAACTCAAAAACTATCATTTGTAGGATACGACTCAAAAATAATTAATAACTCAGAGAGAGAGAGAGAGAGAGAGAGAGAGAGAGAGAGAGAGAGAGAGAGAGAGAGAGAGAGAGAGAGAGAGGAGGGGGGGGGGGGGAGGCCAAAGAACTTACTCATCTATGCAAGAAAATCGGTATAGCAAATCTTCTAATGAATCTCCAGATGATAACACATTATAATCCATAGGTCTTTTAATTGATGTGCTTGCATGGAGAAAGCATTGCCTCTGCATTTCCTTCATTGAAGTTTACAAAGTTTGTTCTTCGTCTTATTATTACTCAACTCCTTCATCACCACTGTCATCCCCAAAGAGCGCAGCCATTTGCATGGCCAGCTTGGCAGCCATTTCTCGCCTCTGAAAATCAGGGATCAACCTTGAGCTGCTGCGCATATTTGCAATTTCTGACATTAAATGCTCCAAATCCTCAAGCTCCAGATGTGCACCCTTGTCAAGGTTATCACCATTGTAAGCCTCACCTGCTTTAAGCTCTACTTCCTCAACATTATCTCTACATTCAGAAGATGCCGCAGTTGATGGTTCAGCCCTTTCAGCTTCAGAAACAGACTTTAGGTCAGCGGATTCAACAGAAGATGCATTAGGAGGAGGGATAGCAGACACCCAGCCATCCTCTGTATCATCCCATAGTTCAGCTGAACCACCAGATAGGACTTCATACTCAGCTTCATACTCAGATTCGTCATCTGATGAATCTATAGGCAAAGAAAAACTAAATGGTCAGCTATTAAGACACTGTTAACAAAAGCAAACTGAAAGATATAATCAGATAAATTTAAACCTTGTCTTTCAGGTAGAGTTGGTGCAAGAATTCTGTTTCCAGATTTTAAAACCATTCCAGACCACATGTGGGCGGAAAGTGCACCGAAAAGCCGTTCGACTCCTTGCGAGTCACCATCAATGGATAAACCTGACAAAGAAAAATAGTTTATTAACTGCATATTTGCAGATGACGCAATAAAAAAGCTGGAAAGTTAGCTGGTCTCAATATTTCTGACATCATTAAGAGTATGATGTACGCTATGCTTCCACATTTCTGCAATTCATTTCATGGAGGAAGTAAAAAAAGAGCGCTAGGGGAAAATAGAAATGGAGATAGAAAGTAGCAGAAGTGCTTCTAGATCTCTAGAAAGAAGCTAGAATTTATTAAATGGTAGGATGGTGTTTTTTTTTTTTTTTTTTTTTTTTTTTTTTTTTTTTTTTTTTTTTTTTTTTTTTATTGTATACAAAAGCTTAAGATGAAATGCAGGATTCATTGAGTCCTTCCACTTAATTCTAGTCTCAAAGAAAAGGTTTACTTTGTCAACAATAATTTCTGTTTTCCTTAAACACTATCCTTAGGTCCCCAATCACTTTGTCTCTTTTCTTCTATAAGCAGTCGTTCACAAGCATTACAAACCCTCTTAGTTCTTCTTTCAATTTATCCTTATTCCCATTTTATTCTCCCAAGGACCAACTATGGATTATAAAACAATTACTAATGTTTCCTCATCTCACCCCTGTTTTATCTTGTTTGGGCAAGTTCACACATCATAATCATGGCCCATAACAATGTGACAGACTAATGGTAGCTCAGGAAAGTCTTAGTATTTGATACCACATGCCCCCTTTTCCCCTCCTAACACCCTTAACACCCTAAAAATAACACCTACAAAGTGATGACAGCTTAACCTCCTCTGGAATAATTTCTCCAGGCCCAAACAGAACAGAAACATCACCTGCCAGCTTCTCTATACCAAAGAAGAGTTCAATCAGAAAAAAAATCACAGGGAATCAAGCACATTTTTAATGGTATTGAGTGTTCTGGACCGTGGGTCACATTTTGGGCACAGTAGGAGTAAAGAACTAAAGACAGCAACAGCCGGGCATTGAAGAACTGAGCATGAAAAATGAATGGCACAACTTAGCATTAAAAAAGCAAGGCACAGACATGTTACTGTGTGCGCTGGACCATGGGTCGTGCTTGGCCAAAAATGTTCACCTTTAACATGGACTCTCTATCTTTTTTTTTTTTAACTTAAATTAACCTATATTAAAGTTAGCCTCCAAATTTTGAATTATTACTTAAAAAACCAACCCCACCCCCCCCCCCCCCCTCCAAAAAAAAAAGGGTAGTGTCCAGTGTACTGGCAAATTGATATTGATAGAAACCAAGGAGAAAACACATTAATCTAGGATTTTAGCAAGCTAGGCATGAACAAATTTTAAATCCCTTCAAAAGCAAGTCAAGTAGAATACTACAAAAGGGGGTTTATAGGTACACATTGTCTTAGGAATTTAGCCAACTAGACATGACTTAATCTACACTCCTTTATAAATGAGGCAAGGAGAATAATACAATAGCGAGTTTGTTTATAAGCAAGTTTTTCTTAACATACTTCTCTGATTCATGTTTCCATACACCTCAATTTATTAAAGTAGCATCAGATGTTAACAGTCTCTTCATCTTGTATTTGTACTTTTGTAGTGTATTGTACTTTGTCTTAATTAGTTTTCCTTTATCTTAAATAATAATATAACACAGAGTACATTCTTTCATCAATATTAATAATATCAAACCAACAACATCACATCGTCTAAGTTCTCCTGCATTTTTTAATGACAGTAAATGAAACCACCCACCAGTAAGAAGGTGACACAAAAGATGAGCACACACTATATGCTATCAACTCACTGATAAAAACTGGTCGAGATACTCACATTTATCAAATTCAGCATTAGAAGCGCAGGCCTCCACATATTCAATATTACACTCCATGCACCATTCCAAGCAAGATCTCTTAATATCGCATGATGGCTCTTCATTGCCCAATAGACTACTTCCCTCAGATTCAAAAACTCCATACTCTAATGAATCCACATCTGAACTAGCAAAAGGGTCATTGAGCCTCTGTAAATGTCTTTTGTATTCAGCATGAGCTGGGTGACCTGGAACAAGATCCACTTTGTTTCCAACACACAATAGGATATCAGATTTCTGAATATCAGTATGAGAGACCCATTTTTTGAGAGCAGTAAGAGAAGATAGCTGTCAAGTGCATAACAAAACGACAATAGAAAAATGTAAAATCAGGCAGTGTCATTTCAGCAACATTATAAAGTTAAACACAAATGTGCCACACATGAAGTTTTGGCGCCAATATTTGAAAATATATAATGAAAGTAATTGATCGGTAAAGAGTAAAAAGGTAAGTGATGCATGCCTCGCTCATGTCAAAAACCATCATTATGGCAGCAAACTGAATGTCTGGCAGGGAACTGGGGGAATATCATCATTAAGGTGAGCCATCCATACAGCAACATCAGCCGAATAATATTTTGTGTCAATAGTCCACCTGTTGGACATGAAAAATGGTAGAAACATTTACATAATATTTGATGAATAAAAGATGCCTAAGATGTGCATGTAAGATTCTGAGTATGGGAATAATATTCATAATAGCACATTTCTATCCACATGCTGAATTATGGTATTCAATCAGCATACCCTTGTATAAGTACTTCAGATGGTGTTTCAAAAGCATCTTCATAATCCACTGACAATAGTCCTGAAGTAAGAAAAAAATATTAGTATAAAACTGAAAATGCTTACAGACATGGCACGCCATTTACTCACAATTAATAATAGAATAACGTTATTTCATATTCAATAGCTAAAACTCAATACTTCATCACAAAACAAAAGTATACCACAATTATTACAAAGTGATAGATATTTAGTTCTTCACAAAAGGTTGTGTACTTGTGTTATATACCAATAACAAGATTCAGATGAGTTAAGCATCTTCCGAAAATAGTGCATCAAATAGCATAAACCACTGTCAATCACTCAGGTATTAGTACACACGCCTAGAAGAGCATCGAGCTGGAAAAAAAATATACAAAAAAAATTAAAAATACAACTGTGATTGCTATAACGGTAACAGTCAAAATATCAAAAACAGGATTTCACGGGTTTAGCAGCAGCTATCACAACACCATGAATTGAATATGTATGAGAAAAGGCACCAATTTAGCATTGTAATTCGAGAAGAAAGAATCATTTTGAACCTTTAACTTGTTGTTTTACGAGGTATAATTGTAAACGTTTACAGAGTGACTTGAGATGAATTTAAGGTACTCTTATTGTCTTATATCTGCACTCAATTTATCAATACACATCAACGACAGTATATAAGAAATGTTGCAATGCTATGGAAAAGCTTTCACGAACAGTAAGTAGAAACTCTTCTACAAAAACAGCCCTTTAAAAGTTGAATAAAACCAAAAAAATTGACCTATCTCTTAACTGATCCCGAACTCATTGCAAGAAGACTACTTGGATACAAGAACATGATGCATATGCTAGCATGCTGCTAGACTAATCATACTCACACTCGAAACGAGTCTGAGTAAAATTACTACTCCTTGACACAAGAAAAACAGTGAAAAATAATCTTGATTAATCATAGAAGCATCAATTTAGGTTAATTCATAGTACTACAGATATACTTAAACTCATTTGCATTCATAATAGCTGGCTTTGAAGTCCGCTAATTGCTAAAAATTCATTCATCAATACCCCAACATAAAAATTCCAGATTTCCAGGTTATCAAATTATTCACCCACATCACAAATTAACAATATCAACACAATTTACCACCTACCCAAAACCTAAAATTCGCCCAATTGAAGAAATACAAAAACCCCTCAAATCGATCGATTATGATAAGTTACAAAAAACTTGCAAATTGGAACATTTTAGCACAATATATTCATCAATTGATCAAAAACAATTGAAATTCTTCCAAAATAAACTTGCAATTAAGCTGATCAAATTAATAAAAATACAATCAACAATGAAGGAGAAAGATGAAATACTGGAGAGAATGGTGCGCTTTCCGACGCCGAGAGATCCGATAACCAAGATAGCAGGTCTCTTCTTAATAGCTTCGTTGTCAATTTGGTGCTCCATTTTCTGTCTTTTCCAGAAAATTGTTCTCTTTGCTTCAGATGTTGGTTTCAGAATTAGTAGCAAATTAGCATTATTAAATTTGTTCAAAGTGGAAAAAAGTGATGCATTACTATGCCATTTTAACTACGAATTTACTTCAAGTACACTGTATCCGTGCTAATATACAATGTGGAAAATTTGTTAGAAACTACCTTATAAATGACTTTTTTTTTGTAAGAAATTATCTTATAAATTTTTTTTTTTGTGAGAACATACCATTTTAACAACATTTTTTGCAAGGACATACCAGTCACCGGATTTTCAAGTTTGACCTCAAAAACACGGCGTTGACCAGTCATGTGTCGGGCATGTGACTTCATTAAACCCATTTCTTTTCTCTTTTCCTATTCTTTTCCCTAATCTTTCTCACGACTTACCCCTTTATGATACCCAATTTCTTCTCTCTCCTCAATTTATCTCTCCTCTTAAAGAGAAAAGAAATGGGTTTAATGAAGTCACGTGCCCGGCATATGACTGGTCAACGCCGTATTTTTGAGGTCAAACTTGAAAATCCGGTGACTGGTATGTCCTTGCAAAAAATGTTGTTAAAATGGTATGTTCTCACAAAAAAAAAATTATAAGGTAGTTTCTGACAAAAAATGTCATTTATAAGGTAGTTTCTAACAAATTTTCCTATACAATATATATACTATATATAACATGTGTATTTAAAAAGAAAAACAATAGAAGATGTTGAAGTTATTAAAAAAATGGAAAAGTGGATGTTATTAAAAAAAATGGAGAAGCGGGAGTTATGAGTAAAAACAACTTCCGATTTACGGTATTTTGAAGGGTCAATATATAGTTACTCGATTCTCCTTTGTTATTACTATACAGTATGGGATGATACGATGCCGATATCATATTGCACGGATCTAGGTCGGCTCAAACCCAAAATACTGATTGGGCATAAATGCATAATGGCTTGCATCTCATATCGGCATATGTTATGCCCACTGCGGCACTGACTATTGACCATGTGGCGGACAACTACTAACACGTGGCACCTTTGTTACTTGCATGATATGCAGCTACCTGACAATTGGTTTTCCTATAAATAGCCATCTATTTCTCCATTTGAAGGTAACTTCAATTATTCTCTCTCTTTTCTTCTGACCATTCTCTTATCTTCTTCTTCCCAAAACCATCACTAACTTTACCATCGAAATGGGTACCCCAAGATTCATTCTGGTTGCGTTGATTGTGTAGGTACTTGGTTAGACGATATAGTTTTCGCGGATCCTGGATACGGGTTATTGGAGTACATGAGTAACAATTGCAATTTTTTTTTTTTATTATTATTAATATAGGGACCAAACGCCCCGTATTGGCCTAATCTTCAAAGTCAAGGCGGGCTAATATGAACAAATAAAAGTATAAAAATTTAAAATTTGATAAAAATAAAATAAAATGACATGTCATCGTCTCTCCACCACACGTGTAATAGTAGATAAATAAGGGTTTTTCTTTTTTTTTTTAAAAAGTTGGAGGATAAATAAGATTAATTTTTAACTCTTTTAGAAAATCTGAATGGTCAATGTTAGCAACTAATCGTGATTTGTAAGTATTTTGTTGTACACTATTTACAGTATATGGAAAGTTCCTAGATTCATCCTCTCAAATTGGGAAAGAAATGAAGAAATAGTGTTGTCATTTCTGATCTCTCTCTTTACTCATCCAATTTAAGATAAATCCGGAAATTTGAGATTTGCAACATTAATGGAGGAATTACCAGTGGAACTTTGCCTTAAGATCTTCTGTTTCTTGGATTATCAAAATTTGTCAACTGCTCAACAAGGTTAGTTCCCTAAACCAATACTTTTCAAATGGAATTATCTCATTTTCATGTGGGAATTCTCTCAATTTTCCTTTCATTGTTTAATTTTATGGTAATTTTGTGATTTATGATGATCTAGGTTATATATTTCGAGCAATTATAATGTTGACTTTGGCAGTATGATTAAGAGATCTGAATTGAGGAACCTGAATTTGTTAAAATAATTGCTAATTTTAGACCTTTGTGAAGTTATTTGTTGATGAATGCTGTATAATGTTTTTTGTGGGAATTAAGTTATGATCAGTTTGGAAGTAATTAGATTGCTTGAGAAATTATGATCCAATTTAATTATCATATTCATCATCATGAATAACAATGTAGACCCCTGCCAATTTTAATCTTTTTTTTTTTTTTTTTTACTGATGGTTGTCTTGAGAGTAACTGAGTAACAATGTAGATACCTGCCCAATTTTTAATGTGGCTTTGTAAGAAAATAAGTTACCCTTTGCCTTGGTAAATGGCGTGTGGTTGCACATCATGTTTTTCGTGTTGTTCGAGTTCTAGACTCGAGTCTAAGGTATATTAAGCTTAAATGTATATGAAATCGAATTTGCAGGCTGGCGTTTTAAATTATGCTTGTGGCTGAACTACCTCCATTACATATTATTTGCAACGATTAGACATTTTTCCTCTCTACTTTATGTCAAATTGTTGCAAATAATATGTAACAGAGGTAGTATATGACATGTATATTACAGAGTAGTTTATTACTTGCAAGGAAACCATATTGTAGGCATGACTTCTCATTTTGAGAACACAGCACCCTCCTCCTTTAGTCTCTTAGTACTGTTATTTTGCTGTGGTAGATGTATAAATATGTTTCCTTACTTGTATTGGATGATAAATTACAAGGCTTATGTCAGCACGATTCATCAGTTTATGCACCTAATATGCATCTAATTCATAGTTTCATACTCCGCAAAATCAAATGGTTAAATTCTTCTGGATGGCTCATAAAGTAAGCAAATAGATTAAGTAGGAGCAAAAACCCCTTCCCTTCCTCGGATCCTCGTCCCCTTTTTGTCCATTTCTTTTGACAGGTCTGAACTGTCTCATTATCTGGAGATTGAGGACATAGATCTCACTAAACTTAATTAGGCTGCATATTGTGCTTTTATGATGGCTGAATACCTCTATGGTTATTAGCTCGGTAGAAAGCACAAGACTTGGTTGTATAACATTGGTCAGTAGGTATGATGAAAAGAAAAAGGGGGCTTTATTGGGCAAATGTGTTTTATTTAGGGGTATCCTTCTATCTGGTGTGCTCTCAGTTGAGTGAATGTGGATCTTTGGTGTAAAGTTTGCAGGAAATGGAAAGTCTTGGGCTCAGATAACATTTTATGGGCTGACCTCTTCAAGGAGAGGTGGGGTGAAGATCGCGCTGTGTTCTACACTCCAACTGATTCGAAGTCATGGAAAGATGTGTACATAGTGCAAGACCGTTGTGATCGTGTTGGATTGTAAGTTTGAAGTGCTATATGGTTCCATTCCGTATTTTAATTTCTAGTTTTTGCTTGTATACCCTATGTTTTTACATGTTTTTGAAAATGGAATTATAATGAAAAGAAGCTAGCATACAGCAGCCTTGGTAGTGTGTTTATTTAATACTGTTGACTGTCTTGTCATTTCTTCAGAGGATTGAAGATAATTAGGGAGGGAGCTGATTATTACCTAATATACCGTGGTGAAATTCAACGCTATTTGGGTTCAAGGAGGCAGAGGAAGCGGCAGGAGGCCACCACTTTGAGCATACAGGGTGAACTTACCCAGGAAGGGTCTTTGGCAGGAGGACCCAGCTATGGGATCCTAGAGAGGATCCTTTTCTTCATTGGGGATCTGGAGGTCGCTTCTAATGAAGTAAAACGAAGTCGATTAATGTGAATGAATTGAAGTGTACAACCCCTTATGTTAACCACAATGTTTGTAAGCTTACTTCGCAGTTGTATGTAAAACAAATCTTCGCTTGTAAATCTCAGTGGATGATTTGCGTCTGTTCATTCCTTCTGTAAAATTTAAGTTGGTCGAACCATGTAATGTTAAAAATGGTTCTATATGTATGAGATGATAATTCTCGTTCCTAGTACACTGAAAATAGTTCACATACGTTACTCTGTAATTCAAAATAAACTTTAACTGTATATGATAACTGATAAAGTGTTTAGTAGTAATTTTTACCTCGTCAATTTTTATTTTTTTATGGAGTAATTTTTTTGGATGTTTGATTATTAAGAAATCTCATTACTCTTTTTTTGGGTGCAATATATATTACAAATTAACACTACTTGATACGAGTATAAGAAGGATAACAGCTTTTTCTATGGAATTAGTTATCCATTGCAAATTAATCCTGTTAATGCTTTCATTTGTTAGGCTTTTTTCTGTGGAATTAGTTCTCCATTGCAAAGTAATCTTGTTAATGTTATCATTTGTGACTTGTTAGGGACCGACTTTAATCTTCAATTTATCTCATTACATAATTTATTAATACTTTCTATTTACAAGATTTCTAGCAAAATTGCCAATACATATATGAGTGTGATTATTTTGCGAAACAGAAGCAAAAAATGATTTTGCTAGATATAGTTGATAATTTGCCTCAAAGAAAGCAACAGTTATCTGGAAGACTGGTAAATCAAAAGCCGAAGATGAAGATGAAGCTTATGAAAGTAACTAGTAGGAAACATGTCAAAGATCAACTCTTGAAAAACTATTTTTCTTTCTAATACTCTGTGAACAGACTAAACAAGAACAATTGGATATGAAACTTCTCGATTGCTCTCAAATAAATTGTGATAACAATCTCATAATCACTTGCTCTAAATGTTTTGCGCAAGAAATTGCTTACAAAGTCAATTCAATATTAAGAGGAAAAAAAATCTCCAAAAAAATCAAGGGAGAAAAATACAGTATATGATCAACTGTTCAATGGCATAACAAATAATGTGGAGCCTAAAGAAAAAAATTGGCATATACTCACCATTCTCTGAACTCTTGGATAGGAGAGGACGGGAGGTTATAGGGTAAAAAAAAAATCGCCATGTAATGCATTAATGAACTGCTATGAAGACCTTAAACTACATACTACTTCTGCAGAACTGAAGTACCTTGTATTTCCGTGTATTCTTACTCGAGTTTGGAGCAGCAAAACTAATTCTTATAAGAATGATCACACCATTTAAACATCAATATGCTTCTGAGTTATATCTGTATTGACTCTATCATGACGCTTTGAATGGTTTTGATATCTATCTTTCATGCCTATTACATCTCAAGCTTAGATGCTCAATGGCTCTGCTTCAGTATCTCTTTCCTTGAGTCCATATGATTCTGTCTCTGTTGATAGATTGATACCAGTATTATAAAGCAGTAAAGCTAGATTGGCATAAGAATAACAAGAACCATTATTAGAAAGCAAATGAGCATTCATTCTACTTACTATGCTTGTCGGAAATCACCATGAGTCGCCTCTGCAATATAGAAGCCACGAAGAGGAAGATTGAGCACATGCCAAACATGATAGTAATGGGAAATGCATTGACCTTCAGGGACAGAAATAAACATGTGTTAGAAACAGAGCAGAGCAAGAGGCAAAGAGATTGAGCGAAATTTATGAAGAGACTAAATAACGACTACAAACTTGAGGAGAAATCGTAACACAGAACCACACACAATGACACTCTCTACAGCCACCAAACCAGAAAAAAAAAAAAAAAAAAAAAAAAAAAAAAAAAAAAAAAACTTGGGTGGAAATTAAAATAGAACAAACAAAAATATAAAGAGGGATGCAGAAATAGTTCACATGGTAACATAAATTTTTTTACAAAATTAATACTAAGGAGATAAGGATATTTGGTGACATACGTTATATAGAACAACGCAGACAAAGATATTAAGTGGAATGCGGAAGAAGTTCATGATAGTACTCCTAGCTTCCTCTGGAATATACTGGGATCTCATCTTCATGATAGATGGCCAAAATATTCCCACACATGCTTCAAAAGCACAGAAGCCGAGAACCTGGATACAACCTGAAAAACTGATGCCACCACCCTTCACCTTTGATGGCTCTACAAGGAACTGTAAGAATAAGAAAGTCAGAACTACTACAAGAAATATAAATCCAATCTAGTTTGAGATAAGAAGTGGAGGTCAACATACATTTGTCACAATTGGTAGCAAGAGAGAGGCAGCAGAGATGGAGAAAACCACTTGCATATAGCTCTCAACTCTAGGAGATGAACGAGCCAAAAGCCGAGATGCAATAGAGCTTCCTAACATTGAAGCCAGCATGAAAGTTGCAAAAATAAACCCATGTGGAATTTCCTCGTCATTTGGGCTCAATGCAGGGGTCCAGAGGAATACAAAGGTATACATAGAACCCTCAAACAATGACTGAATGGCTCCAAGTAAAGCTATTTTCTCATCTGAACATCAATAAATAGCATTTATCCACAAATTAAATATCACAAGGACTGAAAAGAATGTAGTCACAAATATTACAAATTTACAATCACTAAAATCATATTTTTTTACACATCTTATAACTTTCACATTTAAGAAAGTACCAAATATGTCAGCAGCTCAAAACTAAGATTAGATTACAGGGATAATGATTGGAAATATAATATACCGAAATACAAGGCATCTACCCTCATGTTTCAAGAAAAACTTACCCGAAGCAATAGCTATTGCAGCACCCTTGAATTGTGCAAGCAAGTCCTTATTCTCTGAAGGGTCTCCATAGTTCTCAGTCCATGATGATAAAATAATGGCCATGCCTATAGCAAGAAGACATGCTGCAGCATCAAAGGGCGCTACAGGCCCAAGCCCAAATGTATCCACCAATAAATTTCCAAACAAGCCAGAAAGAATAGCGACAAGACCGTTTCCAAGAAAAATTGCTTTTGAGAACGTTACAGAGAGCCATTGTTGTTCAAAGCCCCTCTACATAAATCATAGGAGAGAAGAAAGCCATAGTCAATAGAATAGATAGCCAGAAGATAAAGACGCAACAAACAAATAAGTATCAACTCAAGGATAGAAGAAAAAAATTGAGATGCAACAAGCCAAATATAAGGTAGACAACACTCAAATTTAAAGTGAACTAAATCAGACAAAGAGCAATAATTCACTGACCATATAAGCACCAAACCAGAAATATAACAATTAAAATAAATAAATAAATAACTATTATTAAGATGAGTAGATGAACGAGAAAGATATACATAATCCAACCATTATGATTAGAATTTCATGTAAAGAAACAATATTCCAAAGACCGAATCGTAACCCAAGGAAAATAAGTGCAGAAAGGAAAGAGGAAATAATCAAATAGAAACAATTTCGAAACAGAAAGTGTTAAAAGCTTAAAACAAACATCCATGTGGTAATACACATATCTGACCTAAATCTTTTTTTAGCACGAAAATTATACAAAGCATGAAAAATGTCACAAATCTATTTTTTCATGCAAGCAAATTAGCAGAGCTATCCAACCATAAAAGGGAATCACATTTTGGTCACCCATATGATAGAAAAGCCTAGTCTCTTTTGTTACTCAATATAAATTATATCCACTTTTATTCAATATTTCCAAAGGCACTGTAGCGGCATGAACTTCTATTTTCACAAATCAGGAATTACAAATGTCACTATGTCGTGAAGACACTGGAGGTATTGTATAAGATAGGATTTCAAACAAATGTATTTATGCCAAGAAAGCAGATATAATCATACCAAGTGATCTGAAACTCACCTTGTTGTGCTCTGCAACAAGCCATGACTCGAAGGCAGAGAATAACAGTGATGTGGCAATGCCTCCTAATATTCGGCCCAGCATCAACACTTTGTATTGAGGAGAATGTTTGGTTATGCAACTCAAGATGTAGGTTATGCAATAAGTCACACATGCCCTCTTCCGGCCCCTAAATTTTTGCACAGTATTAAGATTTAAGAGAAAATTAAAAAGCAATAGAACATTAAGAAATATCAGAAAGAAAGTACAAGAAAATATTACTGTTTGTCAGCCAAAGATCCGACAATAGTCCCAAATAGCATTGAGGATCCAAAACCAGCAATAAATAGCTGTCCAATGTCCCCTTTCCCAAAACCATAAGTACTATACAGGTAGTATACATAAGGACCCTGCAACCAGTCGCCAGCTGTTCACACATAAAGAGTTCAGTTAGAATCACTTATACATTCTCATCCACAATTCAATAGCCAAATAAGATCAATTCAGCTTTTGGACGCACTGATTGTGCTTGAGCTAGCCCCTCTTAAACAAACTAGAAGCTGGTTAAAGATTGTAAGAAAATTGACTTCTATCCAGATATGAGATGGGCAATGAACATACAATGGTATAAAAGCCGTAATAAAACATTATTGTAAAGTCATCATCTCATAAAAAACAAGAAGTATGATTAAATATAGCCCACATACTCTAATACCATCAGCATGTAGTGCATACAGATGCAACCACTTATCATCAAGTCAATAAACCCCTAAAGCAACTCCAACAATTTGTCTGATAACATGACCTTTCATAATCTCTACAAGAAGGAAATTATGATCTTTTACCTTTATACTCTTGGTCATTGATCCTAAGAAGTCATGTTTCTAAAAATCAGTAATTGTATTTGTACAACATGTCTGACTAGTATAACTGAACTCCTGACGCGAGTACCTAAGGATCTATACTACCATGATGTCACAATTCATAAGCTAAAAGTACCTTTCATAGCTTATGAGTGCACATTATTTTGCAAGTATCTCACAACTTGGCCTTGATCACAAGAATGCATAATCTTTCATTGTATCTGGATACTCCCTTTAAACAATAGTCATTTAAGACTTTCGCTCAAATGGTAACAAGTTGAAGAAAGTTATCCAAAATCTTATTCAATCGCGTGTATTAAATTAAGGTAGTAGATTACAAATGAGGTTAAAGTCAGGGTAATGCAAGGAATGAGGTCAAACTTTTACACCTCTAAAACGACACTTATATTGAATCAAAGGAAGAATAAAATTATGGTTTCGGGATAGAATTCTTTCTCCAAAAGTCGAATGAGAAAGAAATTTGGCACAAAGCTCCCACTCCTAATACAAGCACTACATAATAACTCATTAAGGTATGCAAATGAGCTAGTGGGACTAGAGGAGAGCAAAAACCACACTCCCAAATCCCAATCTACGTCTGTATTTAATTTTTCTTATTCCAATGTATATAGAGCCACAAAGACAGACAATGTAGACGTGATTTGATCCCACGACTTAAACCAACTGAGCTAGCCTTAGCTATTTACCGATACCAATCTAAAGCACAAAAAAATATTCTAAGCAATAACCCACATTAATCTTACTTTAAGTTTCTTCTTCAATAATTCACCTACAAAATCTATATTGACAATAATTCTATAGGACCCACATGATACAATGTCGATTATTTAATTTCAAGTAACAAATCAATCTAAATCTACCAAACATTGATCCAACAACAATAAAAACGCATATAAATCATCACAAAAACGTAACAAAACATCAGATCAAACCTCAAACAAATCAAAACTCAACCAAACAACCATAATTTGGGGAAAAAAAATTGAACCCCACAAAATCTACAAACAAAAATGCAAGAGTAAGATCTAAAAACAAAAATGGGTGAATGATAATCTTAATAAAAAATTACCCATCATAAGAGAATAAACCAGAACATAATTATTTTTGAAGGCATTGAAAGCGGTAGAAGTATTGATACGATCTTTATTGTTCTTGCTGAGCTCAATTGCTGCGACAACAGCAGCAAGAGATCCAAAAACCAGGTAAAAAAACCACTCCATTTTTACGAATAAAGAAAATTAGGAGAGAGAATTTGAAGAAAAAAGAAACGAATTAATTTCTGGGAAAAATGGAACTTAAAGCAGTGAGATTATATAAACAGAGAGAGAAGGAGAGAGACGCGAGTTTGATGATGTTGAAGAGAAGAGAGGACACGTGGCAGAATGAGGGGAAGCGTGAAGAAGGGCGTAATTTAGTAAATTTGGGTGTCGGTGGATATTGAATTTGGTTGGTCCACGTCCACTCTTAATTTAATGCTTAATTAATCACTACACTCACTTACTCACTCACTGAGCTCACTCACTATAGTGTCGTTCGGTCGATCTGCAATATTAAAATAGGTTATCTATATTTGGATTAGAAATATTCTTTTGATTTAGTTATGGTGTGTCAATGTGCCATTAATAATGGTGCAACCTTGTTCAAGATCTAAAGGGTAAGCATGTAAAGATTGTTTAATGTGGAGCAATACTTTAAGTGAGGGATGGATCTCTAATATGAATACTAGTTATTATACTTGGTATGTTTTTTATTTTGTATGTACAATCGGTTGTACCTTGTGCATGGTATAATAACAAATATCATTGATTCATTGTGTATTTTGAAATATACAATTGGTTGTACGTTGAAGTTTCTCTTCAATAGAGTTTTTTTTTCAATGAATCTTAGTTAACTTATTATGTAAAATTAGGACTGAGTTCACCCGAGTCCCGTAAGCTTTGTTTGATGATTGGTTTTTTTATTTATTATTTTTTTTAAATGACAAAAACTAGATTGCTAGACTTTACCTATAATCAACTCCTTATTTATCAATCATCTTCACATAAACTTGTATTAAATGTTGCTGAGTACATGAATATAAATAACACTACTAATAGATCAAACTAGCTAACAACAGGTAGGCAAACAAGGCTCATATCATGGCCTTGAAAGTCAAGAAACAATCTGTGGACTCGTATACAAGTAACATCATTGTATGTGTTTTCACATGCCAATGACAATTTGAGAGTTCATACTTAGATTAATAGGTATGGTGCTAATACATCAATATATATTTTTAGGTAAAAAATAGAGATAATTAGATGTTAATACGCATATAACAAGTACTTCATACTACGTATTAAATATATCAGCTCGAGTACACTTTTATTGGCAATGCTACGTATACTCAATTAGTAAATTATACTCCGTATCCCAACAATATAAGTACTACAATTATCCATATTTTTTCAATGTTTTTCCAGAATACTCTTGAAACTTATACGAAGTATTAATCAAATGAATTATAAATCCAAAATCGTGTGTTGTAATTCCTTCTAAGAATAATTGCCATAGTATGATAGTACTATGAATCATTCATGTGTTCATCATAGTCCATAAGAATTTAAATCATATAAAAAAAAAAGACATGGGTCAAAATGGGGATGAGGATATATCCAATTAAGATTATCGCACCAACGGACCACCACAAAACCAGATTGTTCGCAAACCAAAATATCTTCATCAGGGTATTTGTGGTCCACCACTTGAAACAAAACATCAATCTCATTTTCTGTAATCAAAGAACTGCAGTTTCTAACCCAGAACAAACTCCAACCTTATTGATTCTAACTTTGAAGCTTTGAAGTATATAAAAAATGGCCACTTTCACTTCAGTCACCCAGCACCAATCGATCTCGTCGTCGTTGTACCATAAATTTCATGACTCAACACAATCTTACTCCTCAAAATCTAGTCTGTCCTCTCTGATGGTCAGCTCAGCAAGAACTCCTGCAGGTAGCTTACACTACCGCGGCTCACCAATGGGTTTAACCATCCGTAATGCAGCTACTAAACAAGCTAAATCACCAGGTATTTCAAGCCTATCTTCATCATGATGATAATTTAGGAATTAAAGATTCATTGACTGTTAGGATTTTCTGATATTTCTGTTGACTTTGTCTTGGAGTGATTAGCTGAAGAAGAGTGGAAGGTAAAGCGTGAAGTTTTGCTCCAGAACAAGGTATCCCACTTTCCCTGCAGATTTCTTTTTTCCAACCTCAGGACATCAGATTAAATGATGAACTAAACAAACCAACAAAAGCCTACAATTTCCGAGGTCGTTCATCAACTCCCAGATGATGATCATCACAGTAATCACCCAGTCACCCTTCAAAAGAATAAATCACACTTAATATATTCACAAGGAAAATCTATACATGGTAAAAATTTATTATCATTTCCTTCAATTTTAAAAGTCAGACGATTTCCTCTCTAACATCTGCTTATCTGACTAATCTGAGATTTAAGTCTGATAAGTATGAGGCAAAATTACATCCACTATAGAAGTATAGAACAATAATCTAGGATTCAAACAAAAAGTTTATCACAAAAGGGATTGGTGTGAGAGAAATAGTCAGTACCTAGCTCTAGATAAAGTGCTCTGTAAGATTCAGTTTCTGAGACTCGTGTCAGTCCTAAGATAAGAATATAGCTACACACAGTTAAACGAGGGTGTAATTTGCAAGACTTTCATAAATGGCATGACAAGTCCTAATATCTGGTTTCCTCAGGTAAGAAGTGTAGATGTTAAAGAAGCTCTGCGCCTGCAGAAGGAGAATAATTTTGTGATGCTCGATGTACGACCAGAGGCAGAGTATAAAGAGGTTAGTCTGCTAACTTGGTTGCAACTGAACTTAATGCAGTCTGAATTCTGAAACTCAGGCAACACAGAAACTTAAATTTTACCCCATAGTTGGATAAAAAGAGACTTGCTGATGATTAAAAGATTCACAAAATTTTGAGTTAATTTAAAGTTTCAATTACTGGGCAGGGTCACCCACCAGAAGCAATTAATGTGCAAATATATAGGCTTATAAAAGAGTGGACAGCATGGGACATTGCTAGGCGAGCTGCATTTGCATTTTTCGGCATCTTTTCAGGCACAGAAGAAAATCCTAATTTCCTACAAGGTAATGAGCAGATTTCAGATTATCAGACTCACTTGAAAAGGCAAGCAATCCCGAAACCAACTAATCATTTGCTTTACACTTACAGAGGTTGAATCAAAAATTGACAAAAATGCCAAGATTATAGTGGCCTGCTCAGCTGGGGGCACTATGAAACCCTCCCCAAATCTTCCCGAAGGTCAACAATCAAGGTACATAACCCACTTGAGATATTTCCTCTTTTTCCTATATTTGATGCATTTGGTTGCATGACATGTTCAACAAACTTTCTTCCTTATCTTCACATAGGCATGCCAAACCAAAACTGTCATCTATTCTAGACCTCAACTAAACAACAATCAAAACTTCCGCTCTTTCACATAGCATATATGTGGTCATGATTCACAATAATATAATACTTTGCTACCTTCTGGTTTCTTTTCCTAGTAGGCTTGGAATCCTAGACTCCTAGTTTCTAATCTACAATAGTACAATATATCACATTAATTGCTCACTAACACTATCTACAAAACTTTATATCCAGGTCTTTAATAGCAGCATACTTGCTTGTACTCAATGGATACAAGAACGTCTTTCATCTAGAGGGAGGTCTTTACAAATGGTCCAAAGAAGATCTGCCACTAGTTTCAGAAGAATAACTTGCAAGTTACATAGATAGCATTGAGGAGATTAATTTTGTACGTGTGATAGATATCATTTGTGTATAGACAATGAGTTTGCCTTACATAGGTGCAGTTTACCTTTTTCACCATGACCCATGCATTTCCTGTACAGTTATCATTGAGAAACTTGCGTCTCTGCAATGGTGAAAGTAGACTACCACTACATAAAATCAACTTTGGGAAGAGAATTTGTTGTGGAATTCCAAAAAAATAAACAAATATGAATCTAGGATCAGTAAAGAACTAATCAGCTTAGCATGGGTAAACAAAGATCAAGATTATGTACTTTCCAATGGCCTAAAAGGATTTTATATGATAAGAAACTGAAAAAACAAAAGGAAAATAAGGACTTATTCTCATAAAGATGATTGAATCAATAGAATTACAAACATAATTCAATTCCTAAGATCAGACAAAATTTTGTTTAAAGAGAATGATACCTCCTCTGAACAGTGAATACTTTGACCAACAAGCATTTCAGAATCCAGAAGCTGATAATCTTTGAAGGCTGGGAATGAGTTTGCCTTACATTTGTCTTGCATTCATTAATCAGAAAATGAATTCCGTTAACTGATTGGATCCACGGGAAACTAAAGATGAACAGATTGTGCATACAGGTACTGACTGCATACCCCTGGACATCCTTAAGCTCTAAGATGCCTTTATCTCCCAAATCCCGGAAATTTAATGTAAGATATATGTATAAAATTGTATAGTGGTTTAAACCTGCTTTATGCTTTCAAGGAAGCTCTTGCCATCTCAATAGCACCCTCATAAGTTTGATTCCCACCGATAAATCCACTCATGTGCACAAATACACAGCCAGGGATCCCTGCTATCTCCGAGAGTTCTTTGCCCTCCAAACCCCTCCAAGGATGAGGCAAGGGCTTTCGGCTTTCAAATCTATCGGGTCCTAAAGCCACTGTGTTAGAATCCAACCTCTTTGTTATGTATTCTTCTTTATTTTCCTTATATTTTCCTTATGTAATGTCTCTTTAGTCTTTCTTTTTATTTTTCTAGACCCTAGGGAGAATTATTGTGTTACTGTCATTTCAACGTTCACTTGTAATTCTCTACTAATGCAATATAAAGCTCTTTAGGGAGCGAATGGTTATTCAATCAAAGCTCTCTACCCCGTTTTTATTGCTTTAAGACTTGTGTGTTGTTTAAGCCTTTATAGATATTGTGCTTGCCTTGTTTTAAAGCATCCCCCACCAAACCAAGAGACCCTAGAGACGTCCTCATTTTCGTCGGTTCCGCTTGTGCCCGCTTCGAAGTATCGGCCGTCACAAGCCCCGACTCCGCACTCGTTGTTCTCGTGCGCCCTCTTGAGACACCGTAGGTTCGTGTTGCTGTGTGCTCTAGAACCTCCTTGCTTTAGGCTTGCGCCCTTGTCGCCAAAAGACGAGAGCGCGCCGCACGATCTGGTGTTGAATCACTCGGGCCGTGACAGTTTGGTATCAGAGCCAAGTTTGCCGTAGAGATGGCAGAAGAAGGAGAGATGCATGAATACACATTCGAGGAAAGACTTGCTTGGCTTGAAGGCAAGACCGAACAGTGGGCTATGCTTGAAGAAAGGCTGCCCAAACTCGAGGATATTGTAATAAAACAAGCCGACCAAATAGAGAGGTTTGCCGCTACTGTGGATGGGTTAACGGAGCAACTTAACTTCGTGCAAGGCGTCGCTGATGAAGCACATGATAAATGTGCAACCTTAATGCGTGCCCAGAGAGGGCTCGGGGGAAGTGGAGGTGCCAAGATAAAACCTCCCAAGCCCCGGACCTTCAATGGCACGAGAGATTCAAAAGAAGTCGATAATTTCATTTTCGACATGGAGCAATACTTTCGGGTCTGTCAGTTGGAGAATGAGTTAAAAGTTGATACCGCCACTATGTATTTGGTGGATGATGCAAAGCTTTGGTGGCGCACCAAGTACACCGACATCCAAGCTAAGAGGACGTCAGTGGATACTTGGGAGGATCTGAAGAAAGAGCTGATGGCCCAATTTTATCCCGAGAATACCGAGTTTGTTGCTCGCACCAAGCTCGCTGCTTTGCAGCATAAGGGTTCCATCCGGGAGTATGTCAAAGAGTTTTCAGCGTGCATGTTGGAGATCCACAATATGTCCGAGGAAGATCGCCTATTCAACTTTGTGCGTGGTCTTAAGGAATGGGCCCAAAGAGAAATTTGGCGCCAAAAGATTGATACTTTATCGGGAGCCATCGCTGCAGCCGAAAGGTTGATGGACTACTCCTCAGAGAAGGACAAGGTTTGAAGAAAGGGGCCGACACCGAACCCTCCTAGGAACTCCGGACATGGCTCGCAAGTGAGCTCCAACAACTCGAACAATAGATACAATAGGAGTGGGGGAGAAGACTCTCGGAAAAGTGGAGCTTCTTCCTTCTCTAGTAGAGGAAGCACCCCTAGTTCATCTTCGACAGCCAGGCCATTGACGTGTATCCTTTGTAGAGGACCGCACAATGGTTTGAATGTCGACACAAGGGAGAAATTGACAATCTCCAAAAGAAACTGTCCTCCATGTCCTTAGAAAACCCCGAGAGTGAAGAAGCCGATGAGGTAGTACCTAGTGAAGGAGAACATTCCAGACTGGGGGCCATTCGCATGATGTGCGCTATGGGAAGAGAAGGCTCTGAGGGCCAACCCAAAAACTCTGGATTGATGTATGTGAATGTGTTGGTAAACGGAAAGGAAACTCGTGCCATGGTGGATACCGGTGCTACCCACAACTTCATTTCAGAAAAGGAGGCAAAAAGACTTGGGTTGAAGCTCCTACCAGAAGGAGGCAGTATGAAAGCGGTGAATTCAGTTGCCAAACCGATCCACGGCGTTGCCAAGAAAGTAACAATGAAGCTGGGAGATTGGAGCGGACAGGTGGACTTTACCGTTGCGCCAATGGACGACTTCAGCTTGGTGCTCGGCATGGACTTCTTACACTTTAGTAAGGCAGTCCCGATGCCGCATCTTAGATCTATTCTGGTGCCCGGGCAGCAACCATGTCTCCTCCGAACCTGCGATTCGGGAAAAGGGCCGAAAGGGCCCCTCCTTTCAGCAATGCAATTGGAGAAGGGGTTGAAGAGGAACGAGCCCACGTTCCTAGCAACACTTTCCACGAAGGAAGATGAAGCAAGTGGAGACTTTCCGCCTGCAGTTGCCGAGCTACTATCAGAGTTCCAGGATCTCCTCCCGAAAGACCTACCAAAAGTTCTCCCACCTAGAAGGACAGTGGACCATGAGATTGAGCTGGTTCCAGGGGCGAAACCCCCAGCACGAAGCCCTTATCGCATGGCCCCCCCAGAATTGGCTAAACTCCGGAAACAATTGGAGGACTTGCTTGAGGCAGGCTTCATCCGCCCATCAAAGGCTCCTTATGGGGCTCCTGTGCTTTTTCAGAAAAAACAAGATGGAAGTCTTCGATTGTGTATCGACTACCGAGCATTAAATAAGGTTACGGTGCGCAATCACTACCCTATCCTTTTGGTGGCGGATTTGTTCGATCAGTTAGGGGATGCAGTGTACTTTACAAAGCTAGACTTGAAGTCTGGCTATCACCAAGTTCGTATCGCCGAAGGAGATGAACCAAAAACTGCTTGTGTGACGAGATACGGGGTATACGAATGGCTAGTCATGCCCTTCGGCTTGACGAATGCACCTGCTACGTTACGTTCTGTACTCTGATGAACCAAGTATTTCGAGAGTACTTAGACAAGTTTGTGGTCGTGTACCTCGATGACATCGTTGTCTACAGCAAGACTTTGGAGGAGCACCTCGAGCACCTAAGATTGGTCTTCGAGAAGCTGAGAGAACATCACCTTTTTGTGAAACGAGAAAAGTGTGCCTTTGCGCAGGAAGAAGTCGAATTTCTTGGACACTTTGTGGGGAAGGGTCGATTGAGGATGGACCCAAAGAAGATATGTGCTGTTCGCGATTGGCGGGATCCCAAGAACCCCTCTGAGCTGTGATCTTTTCTAGGACTGGCGAACTATTATAGAAGATTCATTAAGGGATACTCAGAGATCGCAAGTCCCCTCACCGACCTATTGAGGAAAGATTGTCGTTGGGAATGGTCAGGGCCCCAGAAGGAAGCTTTCCAGAAGTTGAAAGAAGCAATGGTAAAGGAGCCGGTCCTTGCCCTTCCAGACATCACCAAACCATTCGTGATCGAGACGGATGCTTCGGATTTTGCTTTAGGAGGAGTGCTCCTCCAAGAAGGACATCCTATTGCATTCGAAAGTAGGAAGCTGAATAATGCGGAGAGAAGGTATGCGGCACAAGAAAAGGAGCTACTAGCCATTGTGCACTGCCTAAGAGGATGGAGGCACTACTTGTTGGGGTCAAAGTTTACCGTCCGCACAGACAACACTGCGGCGAGTCACTTTCTCACCCAACCCAAGCTGACAGGAAAACAAGCTCGGTGGCAGGAGGACTTAGCTGAGTTCGACGTGGAGTTCACCTATAGAACGGGATCCAGCAATAGAGTTGCCGATGCCCTGAGTAGGCGGGCCGATCTTGCTGCGATGTACAAGTTAGCGCCAATGACAGCAAGCAGCATTGCCACATCCGTTAGAGATCAAGTTCGTGCTTATCTCCCAGATGATCTGATGACAAAAACCATAACAAGGATGATTGAAGAAGGGAAGACTAGACGCTTTTGGTTGGAAGATGGCCTCATCTTCACCAAAGGTACAAAGCTGTTCATCCCCAAAGCAAGGGGATTGTGGAAAATGTTGTTGAAGGAATGCCATGATACGCTGTGGGCGGGACATCCAGGTTGGCAGAGAACCCTCAGTCTACTCGCGATGGGGTACTACTAGCTACACCAAAACCTGCCTTGTGTGCCAGCAAGACAAGGTTGACAGACAGAAGCCCGGGGGCCTCCTTGAACCTCTTCCTGTACCAACTCGACCGTGGGAAAGTGTGTCGATGGACTTCATTAGTGGCCTCCCGAAGGTTGGCCAGTTCTCTTCTATCATGGTGGTGATAGACAGGTTCTCAAAATACGCAACGTTTGTACCCTTGCAGAAGGCTTGCGGAGCAGAAGAAACGACATCTCTCTTCTTTAAGCATATTGTGAAGTACTGGGGATTGCCAAAGAGCATAGTAAGCGACGGGGATACCAGATTCACGAGCATATTCTGGTCTGAGCTATTCCAAATGATGGGGTCTGACCTCAACATGTCGTCAAGCCACCACCCTCAATCTGATGGGCAGACAGAGAGATTCAATGGGCTTCTCGAGGAATACTTACGTCACTTTGTGAGCGCCATCCAGAAAGATTGGGTGAGACTCTTGGACGTCGCACAACTTTGCTTCAACGCTCAAAGGAGTTCTTCTTCCAACAAAAGCCCCTTTGAGTTGGTCATGGGTCAGCAACCTCTCCTCCCGCACACAGTGGCTGACTGGGAGGGCGGTAGGAGTGCTCAGGCTCGAGATTTTACAAGAGAGTGGAAGCAAAACACCGACATTGCAAAAGCCTAGCTAGAGCGAGCATCGCGCCGGATGAAGAAATGGGCTGATCAAAACAGAAGGCCAGTTGATTTTGCTATTGGGGACATGGTGATGGTGAAGGTCTTACCAGAACAGCTGAAGTTTCTCAGAGGGAGAGATCGTCGCCTCATTCGGAAATATGAAGGCCCCATCCGCATCACTAAACGGATTGGGAAGAACGCATACAAGGTAGAACCGCCTGCGTGGATGAGGATTCACCCCGTCTTCCACGTTAGTCGTCTAAAACCCTACCATCCAGATCCCGACGACAGCAACCGCAACGTCAGCTACCGCGCCAACATCAGAACCAGGACAAGAGCCACCCCTACAACAGAAGACTGAAGCTGCTAAGATCTTAGTGTAGATTTTGTAAGTCGACGAGGACGTCGACGACTTAAGTGGGGGAGGATGTTAGAATCCAACCTCTTTGTTATGTATTCTTCTTTATTTTCCTTATATTTTCCTTATGTAATGTCTCTTTAGTCTTTCTTTTTATTTTTCTAGACCCTAGGGAGAATTACTGTGTTACTGTCATTTCAACGTTCACTTGTAATTCTCTACTAATGCAATATAAAGCTCTTTAGGGAGCGAATGGTTATTCAATCAAAGCTCTCTACCCCGTTTTTATTGCTTTAAGACTTGTGTGTTGTTTAAGCCTTTATAGATATTGTGTTTGCCTTGTTTTAAAGCATCCCCCACCAAACCAAGAGACCCTAGAGACGTCCTCATTTTCTTCGGTTCCGCTTGTGCCCGCTTCGAAGTATCGGCCGTCACAAGCCCCGACTCCGCACTCGTTGTTCTCGTGCGCCCTCTTGAGACACCGTAGGTCCGTGTTGCTGTGTGCTCACGAACCTCCTTGCTTTAGGCTTGCGCCCTTGTCGCCAAAAGACGAGAGCGCGCCGCACGATCTGGTGTTGAATCACTCGGACCGTGACACACTGCCTGCACCCGCCATGAAGTACATCTATCATCCTGCATACAGTGAAAAGGAGAGGGTGAGCAAATATGTAAAAGGTATTATCATGTTGCCAACGGCAGATCCACGAACCCACTGTTTTTTTGGGGAAAAAAAAAAATCGAAAAGTTTATTTTTTTTTTCCTTAATTTTTAAAAATAAATAAATAAGGGTTAAAAGAATTGTTTTGTAAAACAAGCACAGTGATACCAGCGCAGCTTAGTGGTTGTTTTAATTTTGCTTTACTATCCAGTTGGGCCTTTGAGCAAGCGTTTGAATCCCTTTGAACCTTGTTTTTCATTTACAAAGTTAGATTGATTTACACATTTGTATCAATTATTAATTGTAGAGTTAGATTTACATCGATCAGAATAATAATACTCTCTCCGTCCCTTAATTATATGCCTATTTCTCTCTATTATGTGATTAATAAATGTAAGAAATAGGCATATAATTAAGGGATGGAGGGAGTAATAGTTATAATAATAATAATAACATATAAATTTTGCTTCGTATAGATTGTGATTTTATTTTTTTTTCATTTTTCAAAGAGTAATCCATTGTATCAAATTCTGAGTGATCTGTTTTAATCCGAATTTTGAGCTTATGTATTGAACTTTCAGTTTATACATTTAAGGATTTCGAACGCACACTTTGGAATTGCTGGATATGCCACTGCATGTTGCTCTATATTATACAGTGTGATTCAGGTATTCAGCCAAAGCATTCAACTAAATTATATCCTACAATCCCTAACACCTCCCACCCCCAAGGACCCAACACTACCTGTCCAAAAAACTGAAAAAGGACAAAGAAAGCTGATTATAGTAATAACACTAGTGAATTAATGACATAAGATTATTAGCCAAATGCTGACATTACCTCATAAAGAACGTATTTGGTAGAAGGCTCAACCTTCATTTCCTCCTCAAGCTCAAAGATGTGAAGCTTCCACTGTTCACAAGTAAAAGCAAAAAGAGGATTTTAGGCAAAAGTAATATAATCTTCTTAGTTTCCATTTTAGTAACCCTACCATGTGAAATTACAAAAAAAAAAAAAAAAAAAAAAAGTAAATTCCTACTAAATCCTTCCACCCTCAAAAAAAGAGAGGGGGAAAAAAAAAAAAAGAATTGGTAAGGGAGAAGCATAGGGCAAGTTAATAATTAAGTATGCAACAAGCTACCAAGTGTCAATACAATAAGCAATATAACTCGGTCCCTAGAAAAAAGGGTGGCAAAAGAATGACAGCAAGTTTTGTTGAATTAGAAACCATCAAGGTTTTTCTAGTCAATTGTGGCAGCATGTTGACTTACAGGACAAGACTTCTTGAGCACCATGATTTCACCACTAGAGTCAATATCTTGCCTTGCTGCAAGACACTCCTCTACAATGGATCTAGCCGGTAACCATGATTGTGCATGAAAATGTATGCTCTGCAACATAAAATATAAGAGCAGAATATAAGCAGAGGTAAGGGAATCCCTATAGCAGTATTTATTTAGATCATGCATCCACCAATAGTTGCTTATCAGAGTTATCACTAGAGAAAATGGAACAGGGTAAATGAGCAGTTCGGATAAATGCACCTCCAAAAACTCATTCCCAGCCAATGTCATCGCCTTCAAAAAGGCATCATTTTCTCGCTCAGCTGACTGATCACGATCTGTCCAGCCAAGATTCAATCTTCCCACTCTAGATGATAAGTATGTGTTAATAGTGTATTTAGGTGATATATCTGTATTGTATTGATTAATCCCATTGTCTACAGCATCAACTGCCTGCCAGAATAGTTGATACATCAAAATCAATGAATAATATACATCCAATGAAATAAACAGAAATTTTTTGCACGAAAAATATGAGGTAGATTTTATCCCATTTACACCTTTCCTCTCCCCCCTCCCTAAAAGTATAAGAGGATCCAAAAGAGAAGCAAAAATCATGTTGCTAGAGTCTTTGGGGCAGAATCCAATGCCCAAATTTAAACTACTGCTTGTGAATCCATGAGAACAAGTGTTCCTATTTTGTGAAGGACCCTGTTTAGCTATAGAAAAATAGAAATAGAAATTGTACCATCTCTCATTTTCAGTTCATGCCTTGATTTATAGTTCCAGCAGGTTATCCTCCCAACCAGTTCTCCATGTAGATTTTCAACTTGCACTCCTATTGTTTGAGATACTTGTTCAGATAGCTGTATGAGCCAGGATAACCCCCCAATAACCCTAGAACATACAGGCATTAAGACCTTCTTAGTTACCATAGCCCCTCCTTTAAAAAAAAAAAAAGAAGTTACCACAGCCCCTAATTCCTCTTTCTGTCTCAAACAAAATCACTGAACTTAATAACTAAAATAATAAACAAAATCACTAAGCGGAAGGATCAAACAAAATTTACTGGCACCTGTTAACTAAGCAGTTGTAAGAGAGTTTTGATTTAATGGCAAAATTGATCAACTGCAAGAATTATATCAAACATAAAACCACCAGGATTCAGTGAAAAATTAAATGACACATTCAGTAACAGACAAATAGCACAAGCAGGCATCAAGAAGAATCCTTAACAGCCATCAACAAAACAGCTTTACAATGTGACTTCTGACTACCTCGACAAAATTCTTGTAGATAGCTAGAAACAAGCGATGCACATCTGGGTGTCTTTGATCAAGCTGAAGCTCCTTTGCAATTATTTCTTTTCCATAATGCTAGAAGAGAGAAGAAAACAGATATCATCAATTATCAGTGTATAAAACCAGATATCTATTACAAACAACATTCATTACAACTTCCACAAGACGGTTGTTAGCCAACAGATACACATAAGGTTTAGATACCTATGCAAATACTCAGGGAACTTTTTCTCAATCTATAACAACTACCTTCAGTTCTTAGCCATTGAAACTTCCAACAGTTTCTAAACTTAATTCCATGGTAAATTTGCAAACAGAAACCATGGGGAAATGACTAAAATAGTGACTCGTGCCACGGCCTAGTGTACAAGCAGAGAATCAAGTTAGTTCTCCCTTTTGACCATGAGATTAGGGATTCGATTCTCATCAAACATAAGGGGTTTCTCAGGACCTTCAATCCCACATTCCAATGTCTAGGCTACAGTTCCCCTACAACATTAATTTATCCTAACCCTTCCCTCAGTTGACCAATATTCCTACAACATCAACATTATCACTCCAATGCCTGTAAACGTACTCTTTCCCTAGTTGGGGTAAAGGAGGTAGACCGTTAGATTAATGCACTCTTTATGTCTACGGTAACAAAGAAACTATAATCAATCGACAAACCGATACATAATGTCAATCAGCAAGACCATTCCCAGTAATTAGGATATGAAATCACTACATTGTAATCTTTAAGTCCATTAAGAATTCACACAACCAAACACACTAACCTAACAACATAAAGTGTACAAGCAAATAAAAATTGGCTATACACAAATCCACAAACTCAAATAAGCAAGAAAAACCTCAAAAAACGAAGATTTGAATCAAAGAGGCATTTCGTCGAACACCTTGTAGACAAGTCCAGCACTACTAAGTTTAGTCCCAAACCCATGACCAAAAACTTCATCAAAACCCTTCTGATGATGATCAAAGCGATCACGGGTCGGATCATACACTCCTCCAACATCTAGCACCGCATCCAACGAATCCAACACCTACCCGATCATATTCCAAAAAAATTGTCAAAAAAATTCAGGTAAATTGTGCAAAAATGAGGAGAGAGGAAAAGGGTATCAAAACCTGAAGGTCTCGAGTTCGAATGATCTGAGAATCAGCGAATTTGGTGGTGCGACGAAGGAGAAAGCAGCCAAGAGCTTCGTCGCAGTGAAAGCTGCCGTTGTGCGTTCCCACGCTCTTCGGAAGGTGGGTAGTAGAGGAGAGAGAATGAGAAGAAAATGGCTTGCATAAGTTTGTTGTAAAGGGTGAAATGGCGGATTTTGGTTTTTCAAGAAGGAAATTTAGGTTGGAACTCCATAGTCGTAAACGCAGTGTTGTCGCCATTTTTAGAGATGATGGATATCTTTGAAAGAAGGCGGGAGTTAAAAAGAGCGTTCTTAGCGTCTTTAAAACCTTCCTAGGTCAGCGCTTGAGAGTAGAAATTTTCTTACCTTTCTACTCTCTTTTAAACCTTTGTAGGTGAACGCTTGAGAGTAGAAATTTTCTTACCATTCTACTCCTAAACAAATGTAGTAATTTTGGCGATGTTGATTTCATTATAGATTACACAAATGTTACTGTATTTTTCAATTTTGTGTTTATTGTGTAAAATATAGGCAATTGATCACATTAATCACAATTAATTTATTTAGTTTGAATCATGATTGAAAGATTTTTGAGCTAATATATACATTAGTAAAATTAGGATAATTTACAATTATTACAAGTATAGTTGTTATACTAACAAAGATGAATCATTGTGAATTTATTTGGAGTCTATACTTATAAAATAACATTAAGGGGTATTTACATTGTATATAATTAATAATTGTACCATATACCATTTAATTGTCACCTTTGTAACACATATCACCCCTCACAGAATGAATAAATAAATAAATAAACAAATATTACAATTTCTGTAAAATCTTAAAATACAAACTATTTTACTCTACTTAATCTAAAATTAATAAACAAATATTATACTTATACTCAAAGTTTAAGTTAAATCTAAAGATTTTGTCCTACTATTTTTCAATCTTAATCTTCCATACATTTTCTGAATTTCCCTTATTGCATAATAAGCATCTCGCTTAACTTTTGAGTCCGGTACATCTAAATCCTCTAAAACTTGATCACTACCACTCCTATTTAGTTGTTGTTCACCACTATTTAGTTGCTTAACATCTTCACTTTGCAATGCCTTGATTATAGTCTTTATAGCCCTAGTAGGAGACATCCGATTCGATATCATAATCTCACTTACCTCAGCCGGGCTTAACCGCGACCCGTTTTGTTGAAACAAGTCCTCCACCTGACCATATAGCTTGTGATCCTTACAACCCAAATGACTCAAAGCCAAAGCCTTAAACCCATTTAAGTCACAAAATGGGAAGTGAATGTGCACATCAACTCTACCAGGCCTTAAAACCAAAGGATCAATATGATCTTTACAATTCATGGTAAAAACCATTACTCTTTCTTCACCACAACTTGATACAACACCATCCATAAAATTCAAGACTTTAGATAAACTAATCCCATTCGATTCACCCATCATAAACCAATCCAAATTCTCGATCAAGATCAATGATTTCCTCGTAGTTTGCAACAAGAGCATCTTCAGATCCGAGCAATCCGATGGCTTTGAAAGATCGATATCATAAAGATCATACGACAGAAACTTTGCCATCGCGGCTGCAAAGCTAGACTTGCCCGTACCAGGACCTCCATATAGCAAGTAACTACGTCTCCAAACACGTCCAATTTTGTTATAATACTGCTTAGACTTCAAAAACAACTCAAGACCATTCTTAACCTTGGTCTTAACATCATCATCTAACACTATATTATCAAACGACGAAGGATGAACAAAAGGAAACGATCTCCACAACGGATTATTAAGCCCATCAACACAAGAAGAACGATTTATATAAACTCGTAGCTCTTTTTTCTTCTTCTCAATCTCATCAACCACCTTGTAAATATGTTGAATGTAAGGAACCAAAATCCTCTTCTTATCCTTAGCCTTGATCTTCAGCACAACTTCACCTCCATGATCATTGTCGCGTTTTTTATTATACATCCAAATAAGTTGAGCATGTAAAAACGTATCCATAACATATCCATTAGAGTCTAAGGACACAAGAATATCACCCGGTTTATCTCCTGAGTAGAGAGCAGCAAAATCGGAATCCCCCAAAGAAGGCAAAGATTTTATGTAAGTAAAGATTTTTCGAAACAATGGATTTTCTTGAAAATCATCATTGTATTGAGGGATTTTGTATTGATTGTAGATATGAAATTGGTTTACTAAAATAGTTAAACATCTACTAATGATACAAAAAAGAGAAGTAAGATACAACAAACGAACAAATAAAAAGATGATTACTAATGAAATTAGCAACCATACTAAGAACGAGAATTCAGGGATCATATTTTTTGAGAATAAAAAACTATAGATTATAAATAAAGATACAGAATTTATATATATAGTTAAACCATACGAAGGCGGTCAAGAAAGGGAATTAAAAAGATGAGATTATATACATATATAGAATTAGTCAAAGACATGAGAAGTAGCTGTAAAAGTATGACTAATATAAGATAGCATATAAATTGACGTAAGTTTTGCTGAAATTGTTAAATTTATTCAAAGAAGGAGATTATTATTCTATCTTTGAATGAATATAATGGTGAAGGCTTAAAAGAGTTGGGCTATTATAATGAATTGAAGAAAAAGAAGAATGAAGAGTGTTTGATGGGATAATTTTGACTCCGTGTGTTGGGGATTAGTCATAGATGTCTCTGTTTGACACTTAAAGGCTGAAACTTTGCCTTTTGCTTAGGGTGGTAGTTTTCTAGGAAAAGGAATTGCAACTCATCTATGAAAGTTGGTCGTTGAAAATCTGGGAGTTTATAGAAAGTTATTATTTCGACTACCGAAGCGAAATTTAATAATTAAATTTATTTTTAAAATAGGAAATAATCTTTTGAAATTAAAATTTTTATCTAAAAATCCAATGAATAAGATAAAGTTTTTAAACTTACATGAAAAAATTTATCCAATACGGATTTTATTGAGAATTTTATAGAAATAGTTTTCTTTAAAGAGTTGACAAGAATTATACATAGTACAAAATATTCTATATAAATCATGCATCACACAGATTTCATCTAATATAATATAGTACTCCGTATAATAAGGATACAATTAGAGAGGTAAATAAACGAGCGTGACTCTGGATGCTCAGACCAATCTGTCCACAATTTGAGCTTAAATTGCCCGATTGGCCAAAAACCCGGAATTTGGGATGTGACCCAAAATCCCTACATAATTTGACTCTCGTAATCTCTTCAAATGAATTTCACTTAAACATCCACTCCAAGTATATTGTCATGTGCACAATTATTATTTTACAGACGAAATGACGAATATATTTTTTCACTAACCTAGTAACCTGGAAGTAGTCCAAGTACCTATAGGCTATAGAAGCAACAAAAGAATGGAACATATCCAACTGAAACACATGTAAAAGACTTCACCAATAGTTTTTCTATTCGTCACAACTTATAACATTATAAAATAGGCTCATAAGACATAAGCACATTTAGTTCTACGGAACAAAAGAATTTTGAAGGTGACAAAGATAATCTCAAAATCATGCCACCCACATAGGGTCATCAACATTCGTACATAAGTATTAAACTATTATACACTTATGGGGCCGTAATTCACAAATGCCTCAACTAAGTAAAAGGTGTCACATTGTCAATGCAGAACTAGGTAGAAAGATCATACCCTCAACCGGAATATCTAACTTTTTGCAGAACATTTGATTTTTCTACAACGCTGCATAGACAGCCAACAGAGCATATGAACACAAGAAGACATAAGCTTCAAGAATTTGACTCCCAAAAATACAGTCAGTTTTGATAGGCAATGCCAGCTTCACTCGAAGAATGAGAGGAGGCAGTGGATTATTCATTCAAGCTACAGATGTTGACGAATTTCTGGACTGCATTATGATACTGTGTTCCCTGTGATCAAGGTTTAAATTTTCAAATGTTCAAGAATAATGCCAAAGAAAGCAAATTAGGCAGGTTCTAGTGCCTATAAATCCAATGAGAAATTTCATAAACATATACTACTATGAATTCTCCTCAGTAAAGTCAAAACATGTATGACCAAACTTCTCAGAAGATTACGAAGTATTACTAAAAGATGAATTTTCATGCAATACTATAGCCTCCATTATTATTCCCACAAAAAAGAAGCCTACATCATATTCTTCAACTTCTATGCAAAAACTTTATTCTCTTTTATTTTACAGATAGATGCCTGGTGTTCAAACATTTACATAAAGTTAAGACTTCAGAATCCTAATCAATTACCTATATAAAAAAGCATCTCATGAGAAGATTAAATGCATATATTTACTTAAAGGCAGGACTGCAAGAGCCTATGCCACTTATATGATACTCGCTGCATAATGGTTTTTATGGCAGACAAATGTGCCTCAAATATAGCATCAAATCAATATCATCTCCCAATTTCTTAAAAGAAATTCAACAATACTAGATGCATTGCAAATTCATGTACTCCCTCCATCTGAAAATCACATGCAATTTTAAAATTTCCAAAAAAAAGTCCACTTGTCCTAAAATAAGAGTATTGGTTTATGACTGGATTTGCAAAAATATCCCTACTTGATTAAGTAATTGAGAGAAACTAATATATTAATCTTTTTATAGCATTAAGTCATATCATTAATAATGAAGGGTTAGGTTTAGGAGGAAGTGCATATTACTAACATTGTCAGGCGTACTAAGAAGCAGATTGCAGATACATACCTCCCAATATAGCTGATTGCAGTCCATGCATTGCCAGAATTCTAAATTCTTGTTGAACAAACAATTAGGTATCTTCTGAAAACCTTTGGCAGCTTCGACAGCTTCTTCTGTTGACAACGGTTTTTGGATAAATCTGCCATTGCATTTCGTGCATCTTGACATTAGCCGATCCTCTGAAATCTTTAGCTGGAATGTTTGAATAACCTGTGTAAAACACCTCATTATCAGGTTCCAGAAAATGAGGTTCCATTCTTGATATTAGCACAGAGTCACAGACAGGCCCGGCACTAATATATAGGTTGATGGAAGAGGTAGCATTCTAGACTCCTATCTAGTGTTGGAAGGAAGGAAGATCAACCATTCTTTTAAAATCTCAGCATTGCCAAAAACCATTCTTGGCAAGTACACATGCTAGTACCACTAGTCCACTAGACTAGTACTGTAAAAAATCTTGAGTTATGCTTCTTTCATTTCTAATATCAAAGAGTAACTTTTGCAACTGATAGTTGAAAAAATTACAGCATAAAAGGTTAGACACATAATGACCCGCAATTAACCACATGCTCAATATTTACAACTAGAGGTGAGGAGTAGGTTTTCAGATCAGATTTGGGTAGGCTCCATCTGGTTTGGATCATATTTGGTTGGTGTTTTATTCACTCATTTAGATAGGTCTTGGACCTAATCGGGTCATATACAGGTCAATTATCAGTTTATCAACTGAATTATTAAGATAAATCAATCGAATAGTTAAATTAATTTTCGGGACTGGCAGCTTGGGCTGAGTTGATTTCAATTCCAATCATATATTGGGTAGGGTAATTTGATTTGGGTACAAATCAGAAGCTAAACTTTAGTGTGTGAAAGTTGAGAAACAAGTTGAACATAGACAATTAGACAATCATATTTTATAACAAACCATCCTTCATTGTTCAACAAGCACTCATCCTCAGTAACCAATAAGTGCAATTTGCAACCGAGAAATGGATAGTTTGACTCTACTTTCAAGCATAACATAGATATATCCAACTTGAATTTACTTACAAAGTTACTAAGTCAGATCATGTGTTACCTCAAGTAGCTGTTCATTCTTGAGAAGGCTCTTCACTCTGTATATTTGATTTTCTAACAAATAGTCATGCCTCAACAATTTGGCATCCCGAGTCAAGATCACCCTTTTCTCCTTCTGTGCCTGCTCTATTAGCTCCCTGGAAAAGATGAGAACAATAATTATCGATCAGAACTACGCATGGAACATTCAAGTACAGCATCTAAAAGCTAACTTTTACCTGCTCTCAGGCTTCTTTGAGTAGGGAGTTGCGGCATCAATTCCTACACAACGTAAATGTTTTGCCAATCCTTCAATCTGGAAATAGGTGCATCAGCTTGTTATATGCATAGACAAGCAATTTAACATTAGATAAGTTATCTAGCCACTTTAAAATACAAGATAAACAGCAGAAAATAACAATAAAAATAAATCAACTTACCATCACATCACAAAGAAACTTTGGGTATCCATCACCCCCATTTAGTGACTCCCATGGTGGAGGGCCTTGCCAATCGTCATCAGCACCTCTGTGTTTTCCATTTAAACTTGATTTAGGCTGTTTTTTCCCCTTCTTTTTAGAGGTTTTAGGTTTTCTATCTGTCTCATTCAGTAAAATCTTACTGCCATAGTTGGAAACAATTCTTGAAAGGGACTTGTCAAAGGGTATGGTCTGTCTGCTTAATGTGTCAGAAACAACCGTGTCCATGGAAATTTCACTTTTGAAAAATTCAGTAGCTGTTGTTGCTCCAACGATACTTGAAGCCTCACCAACTCGACTACGTACTATTCTCTCACAAGCAGTTGGCCTCTCAAGAACTTCTTTCAATCCAAGACTTAAACTAGGTAAACCAAGCACATCAACATCACTTGCAAAGTTCTCTGTTGCAGAACCAACAGAAGGATTACACAATGCCACCTAGTGCCCTTCTTTCAAAAAGAAAAATCATACTAGCAAAGCACACTTCATACACTATCTAGTTGATAATTAGATCTAATAACACGCACAGAAGCAATAAATTTATAGCAGCCAAAATCTTCTGTGTAAACATGGTGTATCTACATACATAACAGGGCAAATGCAAGGAGTGAACAATCAGAAAGTCATATTAAACACTTTCACAAAAGATACGCTGTCCAGGTTATTGTCCCTTGACCTAAATATCAAGTTCCAAGCCTTTCCCACTGCATAATTACTAATCTGACACAACATAAGATACCTCGACCTGTTTTAAGGGAAAAAACCAAGCGGTGGAATACTGCAATCATTGCACAATTCTAGGCCAAGCAGGACCAAATTTCCAATTTATTAAGTTATGTGTACAACTTTCATTGTCAAAACTACAGCAAAAGAATCAACTCAAGCATTTTATTAAAGCTTCTGAAAGGCTACATTGAGTGATTCTGAATCAAAAGGAATATATAAATGTCGAGTACTAAATGAGGTGAAAGTAATCCAAAACAGAAGTTACAAAGATTAAGAAGAATCAAGTACCAGGCTTGACGGACCTTCTTTGTCAACCTTTAGTTGGAAAATAGAAAATATCTCAAGTAGACAGTGGGCATCAATTGCAGAATAAATTTTTTGCTCCTCTGTAAGGGGGCGTTGAGACCAATCACTGCATTGAAGCTCCTGATAAAAATGAAAGCAAACTATGAGCATACTACCTCCGTTACCAAAGACTCTTAAAATCTACTGCTTACAAACAAATTAAGGCAATTGGAGAAAGAGTGATGTAAGAAAAGGTGAACAAAGTAAAAGAGAGAGCAGAGAGTGACAAGGTGTATAACATTGTACAGTAAGAGGGGTAAAGCAGTAAAAGTGGTAAAGTGTTAAAAACATTGAAAGTTTTACGAACTTTAAAAAATGTAAAGTGTTATAAACTTTCGAAAACGAAAGTAATATGTGACAAACTCCAATTAGAACTTTGGTAAGATTTCTATATGATATACTATCCCAGATTAACGTTCATGTACTACGTATATATAATTATATAGACGCGGACAGATTTTCTTTCCTAAACACCCATGACTGCATACGAGGATAATATATGCTAAACTGAACCTTATTGAGATGAATTGAATTATACTTAATGTAGCTGGAGAGCTGAAGTTAACTGAATAGAGCTTAATAGATCTTAACTGAACTGAAATTCTGAAAAATTAAGTTGTAAAGAATAGGGACTTAAGGGACTTATCTCATGGCTGAGCATTACAATCGAATAATAAAGAATCAAAATATTTCAATTCATACCTAGATACCAGATAATAATAAAGGGAAAAAGGAAGACTAAACCAATCTAAAAAAAAAACTAGAACATTATTAAGATAACCAAAGTAACCCATTTTAAAGTCTATCAAACCAACAAAATAAGAGTCCCTAGGAGCAGTGTTGTCAAAAAAATAATAACTTGTAAGAGTTATTCTGCAAACAAAAGGAATTCTCAAATCCAATTTGCCCCACACCCCATCACCAGGAAATAAAGAGAGAAATTATAAAAACCATTTCTTTTTGTGGTTTAATACCAGTGGATGGTCTTCACTCCTGAGTTTGAACTTCAAAGAGCATATTCTAGAACAAGAGCAGGGGCTTGGCAGTTGGCACCATGGTTGGTAGTTTGTCATGATGATGGAAAGACCCGTTCATGAGGCAAGCTTCATTAGGCCATATTTAACCATGAATTCACCAACATATACTAAAAGGGAAAGGGGAAATTAAAATAAAAATAAAATAAAAAAATCAAGGGCTCCACTATTTTTAGCATTCATGATCATTGTGATTGGTAAGATAAATAAAGAACAAAGAAATGGGAGTCACATTCTAGCAGTTCACCAATAAAAGTGGGCTACGTCTACAGGCAGAGACAGATAATTTCACAGTGGACCAATACAATTTAATAGCAAACCCTAACCGATTAGCTTATTTCACAACATCTCAACAATGATGCAATTTCACTACAGTTAAAGAATAGTCAAAAAATCAGGCAAATTCCAGACTATAAAAGAACATAATCCAGATTACATATTGTTGGAGTAAAGAGAGGCAAGGTGCATTGAGTTAAGAATTCTCAAGTCGGCGATGTCTATCACGACACACTGATTTTTCTTTGATCAATTCCCTGTATACACATTATCTTTTGTAGCCTTGAAAACTCATTATATACAACACATATCACATATGACTATCCACCTATGTATCACACAATTAACAAATCTCACCTTGGAAAGAGAAACTCCCAACAATTCCTCGCAAATGGCTGCCAAACTCTTGCTATTCTTTCCTATCTTTCTTCCCATTTGCCTTTTTTGTAAGTTATGATATATGCTAGAAATGTCGATAAATGGTTCAACCTAAACAAATGTATAAGCTAGTAAGCACAATAGGGAACAAAATGAAAATTATAACAAAATTACAAAAACCTCAAATATCACTCAAAAACATAATTTATTATTCAAGCAAAAAACAAAAATATACAATGCAAAGTCACCAAAACAAAATTATCAAACATCATATCAAGATAACCCTAACAAACTTAAGCAACTGATAAAGCATCAAACTTTCAACAACAAAACTAAAGCACAAAAAGAATTAACCATGCAAATTAAAAATGAACCTAATTAGCCATTAAATAACGAAAATTATATCAATTCAATAAGCAAACAACACGATAACTTCGCAAATATGATAAATTCAGAAAAATTATCATACCAAATCAAACCCAGGTTCAAACCCATTCGAACAAAACGTAGAAGACAAGTAGACCAAATCCTGCTTAAACCGAAACCCCAATTTCAAAACATTTTGATCAACAAACATCTGCTTCAATTCCTCATAAATTGAACCAAAAGGCAATGATTGCAAGTCAACGAGAAACACGACCGAGTCATCCTGGTGGTTCAACTGAGTCAACCCGGACGAATCGGGTGGAAATTGAACGAGTCGGCAAGCGAGTTGGAGGAGAGATACGGTCGGGAAAGTGCGGTCCTGGTTGGAGTCGGTTGGTTGGGTGGTTTGGGTGCGAACTGGCTTCCATTCTGCGTCGAGTGCGACGAGTGAAGAGTGGGTCAGTGCCCAATTCAGGAGGGTGAACTCGGGCGAGTCGGTGGTTGAGACCCAGTGTATTGTTAATGCTTTCGGGTATGTGTTTTCCATTATTGCTGTTACCGAGAAAATAGATTGACGTAAGGGGTTATCATACCACAAATGGATACCCCGTAAATTACAAGGGTTGTGCTTAAATGTCAAAAACACACCCGACTCGACCCGATTCGAAACCAATCCGAAAAATATCCAATTTATATTTAAACTCGCATGGACATAACTATTTAGTATGACTTAACTTTAAAAAATTATTCAGCTTGACCCGTCATATCAAACCCGATACGACCATCCGAATTGACACCCCTACTTGTGCATTAGTGACTACAACTAGTGAGTCGGTGTGCTAATGTATGAACAATTGAACATGATTAAGAATAGGGGTGTCGGGTGCTAATTGAGTAGGGCAACTCGCGAGCAACTTGACTCGGTCAACGTTCGGTCAAAACTCGACTCGAGTTTGCTCGTGCTCGCTCGAAACTCGATAAGCGTATAAGAAATTTAATATTTTTCTATTATTTCATATTTAAAAACAAAAATTAACCTTGACACTTAATAAATTTAAAATAATAAGCTTAAGTAGAAAAAAATATATATAAAGAGAAGAAAATATCATTAACAAATATTTGAATTTCAAGAGACGTAAACCTTTAAACGAGTAACTCATGATCGGCTCGACTTGAAAATTAACGAGCACGAGTCGAGTAACCCTCTGCTCGTGATCGACTTGCTCGATTAGTACCCCTAGTAAACCAAGGTTAAATAACTTTTACTAGGTTTTTTTTTAAGGTGTTTATTTTGAACTTTAGCATTTGGATTTAAGATGGGGTTGATTACAAAATGATTTGGGTTTGGAATTTGAAATCAAGAATGAAACTAGAATTGTACAAGGTTTGAATTTGATTTTTAATTCATAATTCCTTGTGTGTTTTTGATGATGTATTTGATTGTTGTTTGGAAATGAATTTTTACTTTTTATTTGATACCTAGTGGAGTAGTGGTGTATTATGAGCCATATCCACCCATTAGGATGAGTTTATTGCCATATTGTGGAGTTTTGGCTTTAAGATTCATATACAAGATTTTGTATTTTTTGCAATAAAAGTGGTGTAAGACTGTAGGTAGTCTTGAGATGAGTTTTGGATTCCAAAATTCATTATAAGACTCACAAATTCACAAAGACCTATATGATATACTATGTATTATATTGACAATAAAGGATATTTATTGATCAAAGTTCTGACAAAAATAAACAAATAAATTAAGCCTACATCGTTTGTTGTTTGGTTGGCATTCTAATTCCTAAAAAGTCTAATTTCCTATAAAGTACTTTAGAGTGGTTTAGCAGTAGAGCAGTTGTTTGGTTGACATAAACATTTCCTATAATATAAAAAGTATTATTTCCCACAAATAGGTTTTTTTTTTACGGGCACAAATAGGTTTTCAATCAATAACAATTGTTTGAATAAACATATTTGTTGGTCAAAACTTTTGAAAATGGTACCTAATACATGAGATACAATTGTACTCGTATATTATTGACAATTACGACTCGTAAACAAATGCACAAATATGATGTTTTTTTTTTTTTTTTTTTTTTGTTGGAAACAAAATACGATGTACTTCATATTGAACATAGACCAAGATTTTAGATTTGGGTTACATTACTTACATACCCAGATTTTGGCCATTTCAATAATCCTTCTCTCCAAAGTCAAAAGCACCTTTTACCGCCAAAACTGTTTCACAAACATACCGCGAAACCAAAATAATCTCCCGCCAAACACCTTCACTCCTCTTATACCCCCAACAACACCACCAAATTCATCACTATTCCCCGCCTTTCTACTCTCTCTCTCCTCCATTTCAATGGCTTCCGCAGCTCTTCGCCGAAGAACCCGAGCTCCGAAACCCGTCTATAAACCCCCTTCACCATCACCTGAATCAGAATCTGAATCTGAGTCAGATTTGGACTTTGAAGATGTGAGCTGTGAAGAGTGTAGATCTGGGAAGAATGCTCCTGATTTGTTGCTATGCGACGGATGCGATAAAGGGTACCATTTGTATTGTCTTAAACCCATTCTTGTTGCTGTTCCTAAAGGTTCCTGGTTTTGCCCAATTTGCTCTGGTGCCAAGAAGCTCAAAAGTATGTTTCTGGGTTCTTTTTGATATTTTGTGGGTTTTTATTTTCTCATTATCATTCGCCATTTTACATGACAATCAGCTAGAAATTTGTGGGGTTTGGATCTGAAGTAATAGTTGATTAGTGAAGTTTGTCGGATCTGCATGTTAATCTATTGTTCTATGCTACTGGGGTTTGCTTTAATTTGGTTAACATTGATTGACTTGAGTTTTTGGGTTTTGTTGATGTGGTGCAATAGCAAAACATTGGGAAAAAATGATGAAATTAGGGTTTGTCCTATTATATAAATTGGTCTAAATTTGGGGGAAAATGTGAATGAAAGGGTTTATTGCTTCAAATTGGTGTGGGATTTTAGTAGTACATTGCTGGAAAATGTTGTGAGATATGACACATTGTAATTTGCAAATGGTTGAAGTTGAATACTTTGCATGTCAAAATGGTATTGGTTGACAGATCTTGTAAAGGGTTCCAATGCTTCTGATTAATCTTCTTTGTTGGATACTTGATAGCATTACGGTTACACTCATCGAAATATTAGATGATTTTATTGTTGTTTTTGTTGAGCTTAAGATTTTCTTACTGTGATTTTTGTCTGTTTGATATTCTTGTTGGAACATGTTTTAAGATGTAATAAGTTTGCATTTCAGCTTTTTATACTGAGTTCTCTTCCTTTGGGCAGCATTTCCTTTGGTGCAGACTAAAATTGTTGATTTCTTCAGAATACAAAAGTCACCTGTAGAAGATGAAAAGACAATGGCAGGTAGATGCCTAAAACCGTTCTTTATGGCACTCCGTTTTATCAACCCTTATGTCTATTGGTAGTTTTTGGTAGATAATGTGGTGGTGATTGTTGAAGTTTTTAAATTGATTATAGATTCTCGCAAAAGAAAGAAGCGCTCTAGTAGCTTTGTGGTGTCAAAAAAGAGCAGGAAGTTGTTGCCCTTTAACCCAACTGAAGACCCTAATCGGAGATTGGAGCAGATGGCATCTTTAGCTACCGCGTTGATGGCAACTGGGACCGAATTTAGCAATGAGCTCACTTATGTCCCTGGCATGGCTCCTAGATCAGCAAACTGTGCTGCTTTAGAGGATGGAGGAATGCAGGTAATGCATGTATTTTGGGTGTTACATTTTTTTTATGTACTCCGTATTATTGCAAATCAAATAATCTATCTATGAGAATATGAGATATGCATTAGTAAGAGAAAGGTCATTGTGAATTGGATTCATGTTGTGGTGACATGTGAGCTTTTTACTAGTATGTCATGTTTGATATGGTTCAATTCATTGATGGGCAAGTATTTGGTTAATAATGCATGAATTACAACTAATTCATGTTGAGTTCTGGTATAGGTTTCCCAAGTTGAATTAAATCTAGTGATGCTTCAACTCAGTTCATTACAAACAATGATATGCAGACTGAAATCCTAGAATATACATATAGGTTTCCCAAGTTGAACTAAATCTAGTGATGCTTCAACTCAGTAGGCCTTAAAACTAAGTCTAATTGTGAGAAGTGAGAACTCCGAAAATTACATATTGCCAGTCTGATCCCTTTAGGTGATCTGCCAGCAAGGATATTTTGTAGGATAGCTCATACATACACATTTACTTGTTTGAAATCTTAAAATGGTATTCTCTTACGCTTGACATTAATCAAGCATAGTTTTGCTGCCATTATTATCACTGTTGTAATCTAAAAGGTTCCCTGATCAATGTGAATTTCCAATTGGTTTAGGTCATGTCAAAAGAAGACACCGAAACCTTGCATCTGTGCAAGAAAATGATGGAAAGAGGGGATTGGCCTCCCCTCCTAGTTGTCTTTGATCATAAAGAAGGGTAAGTAGACCTGTTAAATTTTTTGACTTGCACACTGGGGCAGAAAAGAAGGATCAACTAACAGTTGATATTTAATCAAACAGGTTCACAGTACAGGCAGATAAATCCATTAGGGACTTGACAATTATCACAGAATATATTGGAGATGTTGATTACCTCCGGAACCGTGAAAATGATGATGGGGATAGCATTATGACATTACTTTCAGCTAGTAATCCTTCACAAAGCCTCGTGGTCTGCCCTGACAAGCGCAGTAACATTGCACGCTTTATCAATGGCATCAACAACCACACTCGGTAAGCTCTCTTCTTTTTCTTTATTGCGGCCCTTCTTGAACTGTATTCTTCATATATACATGTTGATGCCAAACTAAATTTTGCCCTTGGGAGAAGCCGGTATACTAGGAAGGATTTTGCTTCCCTCCCAATTACTGCAGCCTTCATTCAAAAACCGTTTCCACTTAGTTCAACTATATCATTTGGTATTAAGACTTGTATAATGGCTTGAAGTAACCAGTTTGTACTTGCTTTTAATGCAGGGAGGGGAAGAAGAAGCAGAACTTGAAGTGTGTAAGATATGATGTCGGTGGTGAATGCAGAGTTTTGCTAATTGCAAATAGGGATATACGTAAAGGAGAGAGGCTCTATTATGACTATAATGGACTTGAGAATGAATACCCAACTCAGCATTTTGTATAACATCGATCTCCATTGTTCCTATCATACCTAAACATAGAGATGGATTGAATTTACTTCTGACCTTGAGCGGTTGAGCCCCATTTTTGGCTTCCCTGAATCCCTGATGTGCCGAGTTACAATCTGTAAGCTGTATATGTAGTCCGTAGGTGTCTTCTGCATGTCAGTTCATAATGTAGAATTGTATTCTTTTTCTTGAGCAAATTTAAAAAATCAAAGTTAATTGCTGATTCATAATTGCATACTACATTTTTTTTTTGTACGAGTATTAGCTAAATCTAAGCTAAAGCTCCCAAAAATTATACAAAAAATTTGACGATCTTAAGGTAGTATTTCTCATTTGAGAATTGAGATCAATTCCATATACGGAGTACAAAATAGAGGAAATATTACAGGACTACTATAGATGAATACTGACAAGTATGTGCTGATCAAGTCAAGTCAATATACTAGTATTAAATTTATGCTAAGTCTACGGTGGGTGACATGTACTGATATAAATCTACCCTACCAAGTTGGCAGAAGTTTCCTCAAGATTGCAAAATCAATTCTGAATTCTTAATTATTCAGCTCTGAAACCAGCAACTGCTTCGTTGATATACAGTTCCTCTTTTCTGCACTCTTTGCCAAAATTCGCTCTTACATGTAAGTTTGTTTTTTATATTTTTTTTTACTGAGATCGATGAATATATAGCGAAAGTATTTTGTACAAAGTATTTATTGAGAAGTAGCTTTTATATCTTTGCAAATTTTTATACTCAGATTGTTTGCGGCTTATACTGAATTATTAAACACTTTAATAATCATGAAATTGCTTCAATAACCATAGATTTATAATTCTCTTAGACTTAAAACTATTTTAGGTAATTCAATAACTTTTCATTCATACAATGTCAAAAGAAAAACCATGATGACCTTAAAAACTCAAATTAGTTCTTTGTTCTCATTTTGAGTTATAGCTCTCAGTTTCTCACCGGATCCTAATTTTAAATATTTATAGTACTATTACTCTATAAGATTGGACTGAAAAATATAAATTTCATAAATCTGACAGTTATGTGATTTTTTTTTTTTTCTTTTCAAATTTAATTTTATGTAGTAATACTTTGTCTTTGTTTGGATCATATTACTTTATTTGAGAAAAAAATATCTGAATTTATATCATTTTGGCTAAATTTATCTGATGAACTTACTCTTTCTGTATTTTTTTTTTTAAAAAAAATTCATTTGGTTTAAATTTAAAATTTTTGACCATATTTTGTAATTTATTATAAATATCAGGTGAAATATAAAAAAATTCGTAGCAGGCAGAAGAATTACAATTCAACATGCTGACATACCATTGAGACTGCAGTCATAATCGTAATAATTTTGATTTTTACCATAACTTTGACTATTAGTATCTTTAATTGTATATAACTTCGTACTTTCGTAGTATGATTTATAAAAACATGACATTCCAATAATATACTGTGTATTAAGATAAATCTAATAATATTTTGCTTATTACGACTATGAATCTTCAAGAAAGAGGAGACCAACCAGGGAGTAATAAGATGGGTGAAGCCATTAAGACTGCAGTCATTGAACTTGCTGTGAAGAAATTGGTTTCCCAAAGTTGTCAAGAGATCAAGTCAGTTGTGAACCTCGAGTCTGAAGTGAAAAGCCTTCAGGAAACAAGGACCATCGTTCAAGCTGCACTCCTTGATGCAGACTTAATGCAAGAGCACAGCCATGTTCAACAAGATGTGCTCGAGAAGCTCAGCTGGGAGCTTAACAGGTTGGTGAACTTCTTGGATGCAAAAGCAGTTAAATCCAAGAATAAAAAAGTTGTGGGTGAAGTAGGTTCATGAAAGAGGCATGCTTGTTCTTTTCTACATCAAACCAGCTTATTGCTCGATTTAGAGATGCTCGGAATATCAAGGATATAGGGAAGAAACTAGAATCCATTGCAAGAGACCATGCTCGGTTTGGTAGCATTGTTAGTGAACTACCTGCACACCAAACACAGGCAGGAAGTGTTCAAGCAGCTGGGTCTCAAATTATCTCTGATGTAGTCATTGGGAGAGACGTAGAAAGAAACACCATCATAAGCATGCTTTCTGACATTTTCATTTCTTCAGAGACCCTCTCTGTTGCATCAATTGTTGGGATTGGTGGAGTTGGGAAAACGACATTGGCTCGCTATGTGTATCGTGATGAAAGGGTGAAATGCTGTTTTGATGTTCGGTTTTGGGTTGATGCAACTAAGGGATTTTGTGTTGAAGAGGTGCTGGAGAAGATTTTAGCATCTGCTATGGATGAAATGCCTCGCAGGTGTGGTATAGATCAGTTGTACCATCACTTCCTTGAAGCAATTGCTGGAAAGAAGTTTCTGCTTGTTCTGGATAATATTTGGGACAATGGAGCTTTGAGGCTAATTTGGATAGAATTAAAGAAATTGCTAGCAGTTGGTGCCTATGGGAGTAAACTTCTCATTACCACACGCGATCAGAAAGTTGCTGCAACAATGGACTCCACCAGTCCTTACATGCTGGGGGATTTAACAGAAGACGACTCTTGGCTACTCTTTAAACAGATTGCTTTTACACAGTTACAAGAGCCGGGTGTGAAGGCTATTGGGAAAGAGATTGCAAAGATGTGTCCTAATGTGCCTCTTGTTATAAGGAGTATTGGCGGCCTTTTAGCAGGAAAAATTACAAAGAAGGAATGGGAGGCCTTTAGAAATGATCAGCTTGCAAATTTCTCTACCTATGGGCGTGACATTATGCATACACTTAAATTTAGCTACGACCAACTAGATGCAAAGATGAAGCTTTGTGTTGCTTACTGTTCTTTATTTCCGAAGGGGTTTGAATATGATAAAGATGAAATGATTCGTCTCTGGATTTGTTTGGGTTACGTAGAGCCACAATATAAGAACCAAAGCTTGGAAGAAGCAGGGGAAGAATATATTCTCAGCTTGCTAAACTGTGGTTTTTTCCAGAGAAGTTGTGGCTTAAAGATGCATGATGTGATGCATGATGCTGTTGTCATGCTTGCAGGACACAAGTATAAGATGGTTGATTCAAACACTGTAGAATTTGATGAAAGAGTTCATCATGTGTCTGTTGGCAATGTGGTGGACTCATCATGGGATGTCCTTTCCTCGCTCTCTAAAATTAAATACCTCGAGTCCTTCCTTGTTGTATCTAGGGAAACAAACTTAACAGCGAGGAACTGGTTCATCTATCATAAAGTAATGCTTTCAAGGTTTCAGTGTTTGAAGATATTGGACCTACACGGGATATGGATAAAGAAGTTACCAAAATCGCTAGGTGAGCTAATTTGCTTGCGACATCTTGACTTGTCAGAGACTGCTATAGTGAAACTACCTAACTCAGTTGTGCAGCTGGTGAATCTACTATCACTTCAATTGTATTCGTGTATTAACCTTCAAGAGTTGCCGAAGGACATGAGCAACTTGGTCAAGCTTAGACATCTTCAGTTAAGTGAGTGTTCAGAATTGATCCATATGCCTAAGGGGTTGGGAAAGCTGACAAATCTTCAAACATTAAGCGTATTTGTAGTCAGAGAGAAAAGTTCTCGAAGTAAATTTGAGGCCAATGATGTAGGTGGATTGGAAGACCTTAAGCACCTCAACCATCTGAAGGGAGAGTTGAGTATCCAGGTGTGTAAGCAGCCAAAGGATATTGTGTTGGGAGCTAGGATGGCAAACTTGAGAAGAAAGGAGAAGCTCATAGACTTGTCTATTGATTTTAGGGATAGCACAAAAGAAGATGAGGCGGTGCTAGAAGGCCTTCAACCACATGCCAACCTAAGATATCTAAAGATCCAGGGTTATGGCGGGGAGAGATTACCAAGCTGGATGATAAATGATAATCTCCATTGCAGGCTTCCAAATTTGATTCAAATCAAGATATTAAATTGTAAAAGCTGCAGATACCTTTGTCACTTGGGAAGGCTCCCTTATTTAAAAGTCCTATTTCTTGAGGGGCTAGATAATGTGGAGTACATAGAGAAGTATACTAGTAGTAGCAGCAATAGTGCTAATGACAAAGGCTCAACTCCTGAGTCCTTATTCCCCAGCCTAGATACATTTCGGCTTAAGGGCATTCCCAAGTTGAAGGGATGGTGGAATATGTCGTCGATTGGAGACCATGATTTAAGACAGCACCATGATTTTCAATATCAGAATCATCTGACTGTATGGAGGCCTGCATTTCCTAAACTGAAGGCCCTGACAACAGACAGCATAGAGTTGGCAATTACAATAGCCAAGGGGCCAGGATTTGCTTCTCTTGAACATCTTTATATTAAGCACAATTCAAGAGCGTCTCTACCTTTGTGTCAACAACAAACACCAACCCCCCTGAATACTTGCTTTCCCAACCTCCGTTGCTTGCAACTTTCAGGTAATCCGGAGATAGAAGCTCTCCCTGACGAGATTCAAGACCTTTTCTATCTTGAATACCTGCGTATTGACAACTGTAAACAACTCAAGGCTATACCAGAGTGGATTGATAGCCTTAGGTCCCTCACAAGCCTCTATATATGGGAATGCCCCAGACTGGAATCCCTACCGCATCAGATAAGCAATCTCTCCAACTTGAGGTTACTCGGAATCAGTAAATGCTCTGCAGTGCTCACAGAGAAGTGCCTGTGCAAGAATCCGACTGGGGAGTACTGGCCTTACATTCAACATATTCCTTACATAAACATACGACTTTCTAATCAGAATCCAACTGGGGAATACTGGCCTTACATTTAAGTATTTAACATATCCCTTAAGTAGTTACGGACATACGCCTTTCTAGTCCTACAGCTGATGCTTAATTATCTGCTTACTGTTCTCTGTTGTGTCAACCCAAGTAAGTACTCAGCACCCACGTACTCCTGTCTCTTTAAAACACATTCTCTTTTACTAACATCCCCTCAACTTTACCTTACCTTCCTTGCCTTTTCAATTTGCAGAACCTTCAGATATGAGAATGCAGTTAGTTTCTGATTATAAGTGTGTATTTGCTAATCTAGAAATCTGCAAATATATTTCACTACCTGCGTTTTTCCACAGGTATAGCCATTTCTATCCCTGATCATCACCTTCACAGTTTTATTGGGAATATGCTTCTGCCTTAAAACAAATTAACAACATGAGTAAATGATATCAAATAAATATGGCACAATGCATAAACCGCTTACTTAATTCTTTTTGCAGCCTATCAGAGAAAGTGGAGCTACAATTCATAATTTCAGTCATTATTTCTTTCAAACAGTATTTGAAAGTAAAACCGAGTATTATACAGTTGTGTTCTGTTGCCTATCTGAGTAGGTTTTCTTGCTCTCTTCAGTGATCAGTTGGGACCGAATTTAGCAATGAGCTCACTTATGTCCCAGACATGGCTCCTAGATCAGCAAATTATGCTGCTTTGGAGGATGGAGGAGTGCAGGTAATGCATTCATGTTGGCTGTTACAATTTTATTTTTTTTTATTTTTTTTTTTTTTTTTTTTGTTTGTATGTACTATTACAAGTTACATAATCTATGAATGAGATATGCATTAGTAAGAGAAATATCACTGTTTGCTGGAATCATGTTGTTGTGCCAGACATGTGAGCTTTTTACTAGTATTTCAGGTTTGTTATGGTTCAGTTCATTGATGGGCAAGTATTCGGTTCATAATGCTGAATTACAACTAATTCATGTTGAGTTCTGGTATAGGTTTCCCAAGTTGAACTAAATCTAGTGATGCTTCAACTCAGTGCATTACAAACAATGATATGCAGACTGGAATCCTAGAATATAGCTTTCTCATCTGACTTAGTATTTGTTGCTGGGTTGGTGTTATGGACTGACTTAGTAACTTCTGATTCAAGGACTAATTAAGATATAAAAGCTTGATAATTTAGATTAATAATGGCAGAATTAAAATACAAAGGATAGTTTAATAGCTTAAGGCTATCACTCTCTTGATAACTTTAGGTTATCACTCTCCTAGTCCTAGTAACTTGAGGTTTCTACTCTCAACATTTTTCCTTACAATTCACATAAAGCCTAATGCATATACTATCTCCTATTTATACTAACGAGTAAGGACTACTAACCTAAAACCATCTAAACTTCCAAAATTGCCCTTGCTAAGGTTAATCTATTACAGTTGGGCATCAGTAGGCCTTAAAACTTAAAAGTCTAATTGTGAGAACTCCAAAAATACATATTGTCTATTTGATCCCTTTAGATGTTCTGCCAGTAAGGAAATTTTGTAGGATAGCTCATACATACACATTTATATGTTTGATATCTTAAAATGGTATTGTCTTACGCTTGACATTAATCAAGCATAGTTTTGCTGCCATTATTATCACTGCTGTAATCTACAAGGTTCCCTGATGATCAATGTGAATTTTCAATTGGTTTAGGTCATGTCAAAAGAAGACACCGAAACCTTGCATCTGTGCAAGAAAATGATGGAAAGAGGGGATTGGCCTCCCCTTCTAGTTGTCTTTGATACTAAAGAAGGGTAAGTAGACTTGTTAAAATTTTAGACTTGCACACCATGGCAGAAAAGCAGGATCAACTAACAGTTGGTATTTAATCAAACAGGTTCACAGTACAAGCAGATATATTCATTTGGGACTTGACAATTATCACAGAATATGTTGGAGATGTTGATTATCTCCGGAACTGTGAAAATGATGATGGGGATAGCATTATGACATTACTTTCAGCTAGTAATCCTTCACAAAGCATTGTAGTATGCCCTGACCAGCGCAGCAACATTGCACGCTTTATCAATGGCATCAACAACTACACTCCGTAAGCTCTCTTCTTTTTCTTAATTGTGGCCCTTCTTGAACTGGATTCTTTATATATAAATGTCACATATTGTAAATTAGCATTAATTTAATGTAATCTTCATATATGCAAGTCACCTACTGTAAAGAAAATGAATTCACTTAATTAGGCTACTTTTGGTTGAAGGAAAATATTTTGAACTGAGTTTTCTTTTAACGGATAGTGAATATCAATGGGAATTGAGTTACTGACAGAAACTAAATTTGCCCTTGGGAGAAGCCGGTATCCTAGAAAGGATTTTGCTTCCTTCCCAATTACTGCAGCCTTCATTCAGAAACCGTTTCCAATTACTTTAACTACACGATTTGGTTATTAAGACTTGTATAATGGCTTGAAGTGACCAGTTTGAACTTGCTTTTAATGCAGGGAGGGGAAGAAGAAGCAGAACTTGAAGTGTGTAAGATATGATGTCGGTGGTGAATGCAGAGTTTTGCTAATTGCAAATAGGGATATACGTAAAGGAGAGAGGCTCTATTATGACTATAATGGACTTGAGAATGAATACCCAACTCAGCATTTTGTATAACATCTCCGTTATTGCCATCATACCTAACACAAGGTGGATTGAATTACTTCTGACCTTAAGCAATTGAGCCCCATTTTTGGCTTCCCTGATGTGCTGAATGCAATCTGTAATCTGTATATGTAGTATTGTAGTCCTTAGGTGTCTTCTGCATGTCAGTTCATAATGTAGAACTGTATTTCTCCTTGATTAATTTTTAATAATCAAAGTCAATTGCTGATGCATGCTATTTTCTCTCTTTTCTTTTCTTTTCTCATGTTTTTTTCTTCTTTTTTTTTTCTATCTGTTGGGCTAAATGTAAGCTAAAGCTCCAATATCTTAAGGTGGCATTTCTCACATGAGAATTGAGATCAATTCCATACACGAATTCTCTTTATAGGATCTACTCCTTGACTAGTATAAAAGAGTTCGACAATTATGATGTAAAGGAGGCAAAACAATTAACATCATAAAAGTTCCTCAGTGAGGGTAAGATTAAACCTACAGCATTTGTAAACAATGATGATAAGTTACATGTAGGTAGATCATATTATCTCATACTGACATTTTAACTATCACTTAGCTAACGATGACAATCTTCATGAAACTAATATTCGACTTTATGAACTAACGAGCATCTGACTCTAGAGTACAAGTAGATAGGAAGAACTCTATACAGATATAAGTGTATAACATTGTAATGTAATGGAAAGAGTATGTGATTTCATCGCTTGACTCGTATGCAGTATATATTAGGCCGTGAACCTGCGTATTTGGAGGACTCTCACAGGAGTCAGATGTCCAAGAAGTCTCTTACATTCTCTTCTCTAAGGCAGATTTACATCATCAATGCAACATTGTGAGGTTTTTTGCTGCCAAATCTACAGCAAGATAGGAAGCTAAACTTGGGCTAAATTGGATCCTAACAAAAGTCCACATAAAAAAAAGTAGGCTTAAAGGCCCATTATACTCCCTACAATCTTGGGCTTTTAGCCTATATTGACTTCCCTCTTTGGCCCCTCCACAATAGAAAAAAGAAATTGCAGTTTATTTTGATATTTTCAAACAGTATAATGCATGGGATTCTGGTAAATTTGTCCAAGTATATGTTGACAAAGCTCTGAAATCAATCTGTACCAATTTATGATTATATTCCAAATCTCAATGCCAAATGCCCTCCCAAACAATCATATTTGTGTAGAAAAATACAAACTCAAGACTTGTTCTTGTCACCACTTTACTGGCTACTCAAGTCCTACAACACCAGAGCCGAACATCAAAACAACGGATATATATAAGCATTAAATATTAAATACACGAAATATTCTGCTCAATTATAATTAGTTACATGTAAGAGTTTATGATAAAATTATACATTATTGGTTAAATGAAACATTTACTAGTTCTACATTGAAAAAATTTACTTAACGCTTAAACATTAAGCTAGGCTACGTTTAACATTTTCCGTAGAAATATCATTTCAAACAATTATTAAGAAAAAAGGACTGTCAGTCAAGTCTGGGCTCGACTTGCTTCTTGGTAACAAACTCCAATTTTCAAAACCACTTCATATGCTACACTCCATACAATATTATTGGACCACCCTACCCTATGAAAAATGTGTTATAGAACTGAAAATTTTGTGAGTAAATATTTTAGGGTGGTCCAAATTTTTATTGGGTCTCTCCATAAAAGACTTAAAAGTCCATAATAATACTTGTAACAAAAAATAAATACTGTTATAATATTTTTTAATTAAAAAAAAATTGAAGAAAAAAGAGAGGGAACTTGATTGTGTTTGTCAACCATCTTCCAGAGAGCTTTGATGTATGGGATCAGATCAGATGTATCCCCACAAAGTGTGGTCCAATGCACCCCCCTTCTTAGCTGGAAGGCGTGGTTACCATCTGATCTTAATCAAATGGTCCAGATTGCTTTAATCAGGTCCCCTACAAAAAATCACAAGGTTTGTATATTTTGTGTGTACTTGTGTTTGGGTGTTACAAGCAGGCTAGGAGATCATCTGTCATCCCTCAAAGATTTTGCATCAGAAATTTAGCAAAAACTGTTGTAGGTGATTCATTTGGTCCCTCACTTGATTCATCACCCGTCGTCCGATTTATAAAATATACATCTATTCTTTATTTAGTAATGCATGCAAATTAAGTGTCGTACAGTGGTACAGGTTGTAATTGACATGTCATCCGCAGTGTGGGATTGTTACGTAGATGTATAGGGGCTTTTAAAGCATGAGTAAGGTCATTGACGACTTTTATTTGCATTATTGTTACCTAAATGACAACAGCTATAATTCTACTCAGATGTGTACATGACAGGATGGAGTGTGCCACGGTGCAGTTAAGTTGTAGGACATACAATACCTTTACATGCGTTTAATTGCATTAAAAATACATTTCACGTACGCGTAAGATATGTAATATAGATTTTGACATATCAGCTAATTAGACTGTCGATCACGATCATAAAACATGTAAGAGCTAGCTAGCACGTACGCGTTCAATTTCTTTCCTTGCCCTAGTGTAATAGTGGTCCTAAAATAAGTTATGCTCTCCTTGGAAAAAGCTCATTTAATCATATTGATTGTATTGCTGTTACTTGTTGTTGGGTGCGTCCTTGTAGTAGTTCTATAATGCTTCTTGCCAGGTTGCCACTAAATTGAATTGCAACCTTAAAACAATGCAGATATGATATAGGATTCGTTTTGCATGTCTGCTTTTTTTGGCTAATGACTTTTGATTTTTGGACAATTTTTTAGTCCCATTTTTTTCATCCTTCCATTTTACTTATTGAAATAATTTCTTTTGTGTAAATAAAACTTGTTAGTTGCACGTTGTTCTAAGTTGATTTCCAACTTCAAAACCAATAATGTATAATGTATACTTGTATAGGCATGTAGTGAGTTTCCTTGTACATGCCACGTAATGGCCATTAGCTCCTCAAATGGTACGGAGTACAATTCAAGCATTATACTTTCAATTGCACATCTCCAAGCCCGTGTCACTAGAGTTAACCTAAGATGGTTCGATTTTTAATTAAAAAAAAGGTAAAAAATTAAAAGAGTTTAAATCAATCCTTAAGCCCAATCATCATTAGTTTAAGTTCTTTATTGAGTTAATCATTTAACATGGTTTTCAAAAACCAGGTAACATGAAGGTTAGGATCGAGTTCTAATCTCATTTATATAATCAGACCTGTGCTGCATCTATATTTTAATCTCATGTGGTTTGATTCTATGCGAGGGAACATGATAAAGTATAAATTAAAATCAATCCATGGAGTTCAAATGTTCAATCACTAGATTAACTTTTTGATTGAGTCGACCAAAGGTTACTATTATTAATCATCTATTTACGAAGTATATTTATTTTTATCAGTTTACGTGTTTAAATTTAAAGGTCGGAGAAAATTTTATTGCAATAAATTAAGAGTGGCTTAAACTATTGTCAAATATGGCAGCACTTATCATTTATTTGTCAGTATTTTTAATTAGTTAAAGGAAGAAATTAGTTGAAATACAAGACTAATTCCATTATTCTGGCAGTGGCACCCGCTTTCATTGTGAGATGACCCTAACACAAAGGACTTTGTACAATTGTACGTATTCATCAAGGACAGGATATGCATTAGGTATTGCTATAATTTAAAGTATAGAGCACAAATATGGAGAATCAATTATATTGTACACCTTGCTATTTTTAAGTCAATATGTCAAAGGTTTGGTGACTTTGAGCATATTTGGCCGTCCCACAATAAAGTCTGATCGACGAAATTCAGCAATTGTAGATATCAGCTTGTTATTACGTTCATCCTCTTTCGAAGGTGTAATTTGAAATTAAAAAAAAAATAAAACTAAAAAACAAGTAGAAGTCTTCTTAACCAATCAGATCGAATAAAATACATGGATGGCGCAAAAAGAATGGAGAAATTGACACCATAAACTAATATGGAAGTGCTAAATCGGATAAATCATTATCAATCAATCTTTAGAGATATGAGTAGGTCACAATAATATGATTAATATCCGATAAATATAAGTATTCATGTAATATAGAAGTATATATTGTCTGAAAGTGCTAGTTTTATTGAGTAGACAATTATATGAAATTATCCAATGTATTATTATTATTATTATTATTATTCCATCATTCCATGTATCATCATCTGACTATCTGAGCCACAAAATTGTATTCGATCCATTTTTTAAAATAAATATTAACAGGCTGTGTTTTTTTTTTTTTTTTTTTTTATTTGTCTTGTGGAATATGAAACAGTATTATTTCCTACCATACCTATTGGTCTCCTTCTTCTACCAATAAGTTAGCGTGCTTAATTAGCCACCTCTATCGATCTATTTTTTTACTTGCATTTTTTTTTTGCTTTTATCTCAAATTCTCAACCACTAGTTAGCATTTACACAATCTAATTCCATGACAAGATTGACAACATACGAGTTTGAGACATCGTTGTCAATGTTTTTTTATGAAAGAGTCGTGCGATAAACAAGATTTAATGTCAAGTATAAAATTGATCAACTATATATGAGTACTCGACTACATACTCGTAGCTACTAGCTAGGTTAATTTTTATGAAGTACGTGTCATATTAAGAGAGTTTAGGGAAATATAATTATCAATCAAGATTAGGTCTAGTGGATTATAACCATTCACGAGATTATAGGATCATAATCATTTAGAGACACTTTGAGTTAATCCTGGGCACCGTGCCGTGCCGGGCCGCCGCGGGCCGTGCCTGGCGGGCCGCGGGCTGGTTCGTGCCGTGCCGGTCGTGCCGGCGGGCCCAGGATTTCGTGCCGTGCCGTGCCGGCCATTTTCACAGGCCAGCCCACGGCACGGCACGGCACGGCCCTCGTGCCTGGCGGGCTCGTGCCGTGTCGGCCACGTGCCGGGCTGCGGGCTGGCCCGCGCGGGCTGGTGCAGTTTTCAATTTTTTTTTTTTTTTTTTTTTTAATGACAACATTATTAATTAATAAGTTTATAATGTATATAAGTTATAAAATTATAATTATAAGTTTTATAAGGTAACTTATAAGTTTATAACTTATAAGTTATAAGTTATTAAGTTATGAATTTTATAATTATAAGTTGAATATTTATGTTTTATAATTTGTATATTCAATATTTATATTTATATATTTACTTTATACTATTACTTTAAAATTTAATGTTTATGATTTATTAGTAATTGGTATAATTTTATTTTTTTTTAATA